CATATTGCCGCTTAAAACATTATCGCCTAAAAAATTGATCCTTTGTCGCAAAAAACGGGTTAGAAAGTGTTCATGAAAAAACTAACCTCGGATTCGAGTTCCTCGGCCCCGATTACCCTTCGGTCAACCCTTACTCGACAACAAAAAAATTTCATTGCTCAATTAGCAATTAGCTAATGAGGTAATTAGAATTTCAGAAATCTAACAGCGGATTCGGATTCCTCGACCCCGATTACCCTTCGGTCAACCCTTACTCAACAACAAAAAAAATTTCATTAATTAATTAGCAATTAGCTAATTGGAATTTCAGAAATCTAACAGCGGATTCGGATTCCTCGACCTCGATTACCCTCCGGTCAAACTTCGTTCTCCACTGAGGGTCACTGAATAGTCACTATCGAACAGTGATGTGAAAGAACGAACCAACGAACCAACGAACCAACAAACCAACAAACCAACAAACCAACATCAACTCGTTTTTTTGTAATACCTGCTCGACGCATAACCCTCCTTTCAGTAGAGGGAATAAGAATTCTCTATATAGCTGAAAGACTACAGCGATTAGACAACGAAATCTACCTTGTTCAAAACCACCAGATCGGATCCTGTGAAGCAATTAGCTAGACGAAAATTGTTTTTCATCTATCTATTTTTTTTTATTTAAAATTGTTTTTTTTTTAATATTTTTTATATAAATAACTTGAATAAATGAATGTACCAAAAATTTTAAAAAGCAATGAAAATCAGGTATGAAAACCTGAAGAGACCTGTTGGATGCTGTCGGAATTCATTGGCAAGATTCCAGATGACTCGTTCTAGGTAGTAACACGATAAAGAAAGAAGAGAAAACAAAGGTCATCATGCGTATACCATGATGGTCAGTCAGCAAGACATACGTATATCACACGAACGAAAAATGTACAAAAGAGAAAAACGAAGATGAAAGAATACAAATCGAACGATGACTTTAATAATAGTTGTCAAGATATCTGTTGCTAAACTAATTTCGTCCATAACATGACCATAGCATTCAACAAATACATTTTAAAAGCTCAGTATTAGAGCTTAGCCTATTAATTACTTTTAAATATTTCAGATGTTCAAAAAAGTCTGAAAAAAACAAGGGGAAGAAGACTAGACTTTTTCCATACCACCAACTAGAAATGACAAACTGTATATATGAAAGAAGAAAGAGATAGAGAATATTCTATCGTCTTAACAAATGAACAGAAAACGATGACAAGCACTATGCAAAGGGTGGAGGAAAGAAAGACCTGAAACGTGGAGATCGCCCCGTAACAGTCAGTGCTGAATAATTCATCATTATATATACAGCCTTATGCGCATTAACTGCCAAATTTTTTATTACTTTCTAAAATGGACACATCTCGTCTTTGAGTAATTTTGTCTACTAGTAGTCTACAATTAAAGATAAATGTCGCACTGTACCTTAAAGTATGTGAATATTTTGAAAACAATTAAACTGTAGGCTGTGTAGGAAGTTCACATACAATCATATTTATTTCAAATATACAAATCTTTTCTACTACAGCACATTTCATATTGTAGTGAGACAGATATCGAAAGAAAATGTAAATATGGAAAAACTATTTTCACAGTAAGGTTCCGTTATTAGTGTCATGGCGTACAACGGTCAAAAGAGTATATTTCAATATGAGAGTAATCAACGAAATCGTCGACGACATACAGAATACCTTGCACTCGTACAGTAAGTTGCTGGTGATGACAATGGAAGAAGCAATTGTTCATTTACTGCTTTGAGAAATATCAGACATGTCTGGTAACAACAGATAGAGCTAATCTTCAATTTTCAATACCTATGAACACATCAATTCTTTTTCCTTCTAGCGTCATTTCATACGTCGAAGATGTTACTTGAACTTGGAAAGCGAGTTATCTTTCGTTAATTTTTTAGCACTTACATAATAAATACTTATCAGAACAAGAAAACGAATATTTTTAACCTTTGCCTCTTTGTTATCTATGGAATTTTGCATGATACATATTTCTTTTATTTCAGATATTTCGACGCAATTCGCTGCCCATTACTTTTTTTCACTTATATGTTACTGCAGGAAAGTCCGTTCCTTGGTACGATCATCTCTGTACAAACATAGAAATGAAAGAATTTAATATTGGCTCATGAACTGAATCGCTCGATCGGTGTTTGGCAGAGATGATGTGAAAAACCGATATTTTTTCTTACTGTTATTCACTCAATACTCCGAGAGCAAATACGATACATTTATTCCTTGGGCTTCGTGTATTTCAAATCTAATCACACTTAAGAGGTAAGTAAATATCCATTATATTGAAATTCTGATCACAGTGAATGCTGATGAATACGTTTTGTAAGAAAGAAGAAAATATAGAAAAGATTGATTTCGTTATGCTTCTTTTCACGTATTTCAGATGGTAAATGGATAATCATCAATTTCGTTCGATTCTTTTAAAGCTTCAAGATCGTTTGAGTGATAACGACCGTCAACGTTTACATTTCTTCCTTGGAGACGATATTCCGCGACGAATACGTGATAATCCAACGTTGACGGGTACATTGAGCTTACTTGAATGTCTTTTTGATCAAGACAAAATCAATGACCAAGATTTCTCATTTTTGATTAACGCTTTTAACGAGATACAATGCATCGATGCCGTTAAGCTACTCGGAGGTAATTATCATCATTGACAGACACAAAACTAAGTACGATAAGAGCTTATGTAGCTGACTCAGAAAAAATACGACTATTATGTTCGGTTACGTATGTGGCACTATTAATCATTTAGATGTCAGAGGCATATTTAGAAGAAGAAAGAGGCCCTATTACGTCGAAAGATGAATAATCCTACTTCTATTTTTGTAGCGATATTACTTGACATTTTTTGTTCAGAATACAAGCAGAGAATGAAAGCCAGTCCTTGTAATCAGTCAACATTAACATCTATAATGCCTCCGTTAAATGAAGAAGTTATTCATGATCAAGAAGACGGTAGCAGTACTACGTGCAATCGTAAGTTAAATTGATAAAATGAAAATGAAATCCAATGAATAATATTCAATTAGTTTTACAGCAAATCAACACTTACGGAAATTATAACAAAATAATCAATAGTAGCAATACAAACATTAATCCAGTGACGATAAATGTAGATAATCAACAGTTTTTATCGTCAAAATTAGGTGAACATCGTTTGGTACATTTCTCATTGAAAATCAATAAATATTTGATTTGTATTGTTTTATTGTTAATGATCATTCTTGCGTTATTATTATTCAGCGTTTTTATTCTTAAGTTCAAGAGAAATCATCCAACAGATCTTCGCGAACAATATGAGCGACTATTAGAAGCACACAAAAGCAAAGAGAAAATCATATCTGAAATGCAAACACAATTAAATAAGACAGTCAACTTACTGAACAACGAGAAAAGTAAATGAGCGATTTCGTGTACGACCATTAAGCACCTTTTCTTTGTAATTTGTTTAGAAAATTCATTCGTCTTATCAGGTCAAATATTTGGTCATTCAAACGAGAAATCTTTTGACGACTCGTTAGCTGCGGATTTTAAATATTTACCTTATTTGAATGGCTTCTGTGCACAAGATAACGATGACGGCTTAGAATCGTATCAGTTCTTCTACTTATCTCCGCTAAATGAAAAACAAATAATCGAATCGGATGTTCATGGAAATCAAACAAAAAATTTCAAAAAAAAGTTTGATTTTTCAGGAAAAAACGAAAGAATCATCCAAGTTCAAGGAAGATTGGTAAAGAAAAGCGTGTCTTCATCGAATGGAACAAATCAAACAATTAGTGTGATTACTGGATTGGAGTTCATTTCCAACGAAGGTCGCGTCAGTCCATTATACAGTGATGAATTAGGTGAGGAATTCAATGAACAATATGATGGATATACATTAGGATATGTGACAGGCAGATCAGCGCAATATATTGAACAACTGCAATTCATCTGGTATCGAACAAAAGAAACAAATTCGGATGAAGATTACTTGTAGAACACATTTTTTCACAAATTTCTTTTCATTGTTAACACGAATAAATTTGCATTTGTTAAGAATGAAGGGATCGTGTTACATAGTGCAAGCAAATTTGCTTTTCTTACTCGAGATAATAGTAAAATCGCCAGGTTTGATTTCTGTCTTTCGATGGAATCACACTTATTTTCTGAATTCAATGCAAAGAATTTATTCTTATCTGCGCAGTTTTGTTAATTCTATCTTCGTTCTGCTTATCACTGGACTCTCTTGTCTAAACGTATAAGAAACCTGTTTCTCTTTCGTATTCATTCCATTCTTGATGTTTTTGTTTGGCACTAAAGTAATCCAGCACTACGTGAAAATATCTCATCGAATCGAACGATTCCAAACGTGTTCCTTCATTCAATGACTAATTAAACCAATGATCAGTTTTGAAGTAAAGAAAATCTCAGCAGATACATGAACTTTATCCCACATTACAGAAAATGACAACAAATCAAATAAAAGAGGAACATTTACGTAGCGTTCTCGTGGGAGTCCTTCATCTGTTGAGCGAAAACGATCGACAAAGTTTTCATTTTCTTATTGGAAGAAACGTTCCGCGACCGATCCAAGACGATCCAACCTTTCAAGGAACATTAAATCTTATTGAAACGTTATTCGACCGAAATAAAATCAGTGTTAATGACATCTATTTTCTTATCGATGCTTTTAGAAAAATCGGCTGCCATGCGATTGCAAAGGTTTTACAAGGTAAAATCTTTTCCTCGCCATTAAGATTGAATCTTAACGATTTTGTCACATTTTAGATTACCAAAATCAAATTCAATCAAATTCAGGGTCATCTGAAAATGGACGATTGATTGATGATCTAGATTTAGAATCAGATGCGCCGACTGTACTACTACATGATTGTGAGAAACTTCCTACGATAATAATGAAATTATCGGTAGACGTCTTTTTCATTCGTTTAGATCGGAAAAAACATTCAGAATTATCTTCATCATCGAAAAGTACAATTTATTTCATTATCGTTTTATTGACTTTAATGGGATCAGTTATAATTGTGTCTGTTTTCTTTAACAGAAGTGTTCCGATAAACGTCGCAACGAATTATACAGGAGGAACGGGTTGTTCCTCAACACCAAGAAACGACAACGAGATCCTGATAGGAACATTGAGTCTTTCGATTGAAGATAAACCATTGTTTATCGTGGGAAAGAAATTCGGTGAATCAAATGCAACAAAATTCGATGATTCTTTACATTGGGATGTTAGCTCTTTGCCTTATTTCTACGGATTTTGTCCACGAGTTGATTCAGAGGGTTTAGAATCATACCAATTCTTCTACGCATCATCACAGAATCGCCAACCTAAGATCAAATCAGATGTTCATGGAACTCAGCCGAAAAATTCCCGATCTGATTTTGATTTTTCGGAAAAAAACGACAGAGTCATCCAAGTGCAAGGAAGATTGGCAAAGAAAAGCATGTTTTCACTGAGTGGAATAAATCGAACGATTAATGTTATTACTGAATTAGAGTTCATTTCCAAGACAGGTCGCATCAGTCCATTATACAATAGATCAATGCAGGAAGAATTGAGTGAAAAATTTAGCGAAGAATACGAGGGATATGTATTAGGATATGTGACAGGCAGATCAGCGGAATATGTTGAACAAATACAATTCGTTTGGTATCGATCCATAGAATTAGAATCCAACGAAGATTAACTTTCGAACTCTCCTTTGTATACTATTCCAGTTGTATATATAAAAATTAATAAATAAACCTATGGTGATATTTATTTTTATACAGTTATTGTTCATTTAAATATATCAAAAGGGATTGAATATTTTTATTTATTCTCATATGAGTACCTCGTTATCTTATCATTGAATATGACAGGTTCCGTCTGCTACGTGTCTGTTTTTGACTTTTCGACCATCTTCTTTTCTTCAATCACGTCTCGACCAATTATCTTCTGTATGAAAGTGTTTAAATCCTCACAAAATACTCATCATATACGATCTTAACAATGCGAGTAGTAATCTCCATGACAAATGGTGATCCGATACTAAACAAGTGACAAAAATTGAAAATGGAAGATTTTGGGTTCATATATACAACGTTCAAATCGACAGTTGATATGGCATTATGTCGTAACATTAGTCGTTTGAGCATAGAAAAATTGAAAGAAATCACTGGTGCATTCCAGTTTTGTACATACAAAATTCCAACAACTGATTCAGCCGAACTTGTCATAAGAAAAGATATGTTTGGCTTTGGGGTCAAAGAGTATCTTGTTGATCGATTTTATTAATCTATTGCGACCAATAATCAAATGGCGTATAGATTGACTCGAAACAGCATAGATCTGTTACTTTTGTTTGTATTCTACCGTGTTGAACTGGCATCTTTTATTCTCTTTTTGTAATAAAACTTCTCGAGAATCAAACATGTATTACTATTGTTAGAGACAATTTTGAAATATAACAAGAGCCCGAAAATATCAGTTGACGGGAAGGATGATCGTATAGCGATCATCGTACTTTAAATGATCCAGTACCGAATTCGGAGTTTTTGAACATAACGTATTGCAGATTCGGAGTATTCGATTCGAATGAAATTTATGAAGGATAATCATGAATTAGAAGTTTGATAGTTTGCACGACGAAAAACATTCGATTTGGTTCCCAACGATGTTTCCCACTTCAAAACCTACACTGATTGAAGGCTTTTTATCTCACAGAATCGCACACACAAATTTATGTTTCTTTCTATTCCAATTCATTGAAGGAAAAAATAGAAACGTGACATGAGTTGAACGAAGACGAAAGGTCGAAGTTAGTATCAAATGAGATCACTCGAAGTGAAATCGTATCGACAAAATGCATGGACACCAAGCATCTCGATCGATCTACCATAGAACACAGTGTTCACAAAAGAGATCCTAAATAAGAATAGTTTCGACTGACTATATCAATGATTTACAAAGAGAAATACTTTACAAGCCAATTGGATAGAGTTGTGATATTCCGACTGACAAATTGACCAGAGATTAAATGCCTATAAGTGGAAGAATTTGTAGTAGGGGAAGATTATGAATATTTTTAAATCAACAGCACAGTGAAGAAATACGATTTCGTTTGACTTTGATCAGGAAGAAAATGGATCCGAGGGCGAATAGCTGAAAGACTCGTGTAATATTAAGATAAATGTTCGATTATAACGCGAAATAAGTTCCGCGTTCGAGCGATCTCAATCAAACAGGATCGATCTTTTTCAATGGTCAAATGAATTAAAATGATAAAATCGTTGATGATCATCTCACGCCTCCTATAATAATAACAACAGATTACCTCTTCAGGAAAAAACGAAAGAGGAAAAAAGATTTTACTTCACAACAGAGTTGGACAAAGGACTAGATAGAATGTTAAAACGTTGTCTTGTGTTCATCTCTGATTAGGACGAATATGAGCAACCAGCGATGTAGTCAGGATTTCCAGACCAATGGGGCTATTTGAACAACAAGATCTTCTGTAAAAGAACTGCTTCATCGTCTTTCTTTTTCATCAATTATAGTATCTCGCTTAAATCATCCGAAGAGGTTCTCATCGATGAGACTGTGGAATTGTTTTTGTCCTTTGATCAAACGACAGAGCTTGCACAACTAAAACGCGCTGATATAAAACCAGAGCTATGTCTTTTCTGTTTCATGGTTTTACTGAAATCTAGACTCATCCAATTAACTCCAAGATATTATATACGATTGTCCATTTGCTCTTTTTCTATACGTCTGCTAAGGAAGGATCAAGTTGAAAAGATCGATGGTGATCTTTCTCTCTTATTTAAGCGGCTATCACTTTCTCTTTCCGATCAATTTCGATCGACGAACATACGCAACAACACTTGTTGACTTCATGGTAAGCATGTTTAACGCGTTCTTCGATTGCGCTGATCAGATTTTTTCACTCTGTGTTCATATCAACATCTTCGAGGTCATTCTTTTTCTCCTTTGTAACCTCGATGAACAATCATTCTCTTTCTACTGATGAAACATAGACAAGAAACAGCCTGATATATACGGGAGATATTAATCATTTCGGTCTGACCTANAAAGGTATATTCAAAGGTGCTGTTGTCGTACGTGGTGCTGATTGGGATTGGGGTGATCAAGATGGTGGGCCAGGTGGTCAAGGAAAAGTTCAAGAAATTAAAGGTTGGGAAAATGAATCTGGACGAAGTGTAGCAGCTGTTGCTTGGTTACATAATCCACATGTAGCGAATGTTTATCGTGTTGGACACAAAGGAAAAGTCGATTTAAAATACGTACAAGAAGCAAAAAATGGTCAATATTATAAAACGCATTTACCTGTTCTTGGTGAACATATCGAACGTCTTGTGCCACCGCTTGAGCTTTCACAGTTTTCCGTTGGCGATAAAGTTCGTGTTATGTCTGATATTGATCTAGTTAAACAACTACAAGAAGGTCACGGCGGATGGAACATACGTATGGCGGATGTTTTAGGCAAGGAAGGACATGTTCATCGAGTTACGGAACGTGGTGATGTTCGTGTACAATTTCACTTAAATGATGAAAATAATCAAGAACAATCGTCATCATCAATAGCACAACAAAATCGTTGGACATTTCATCCGGGAGCATTAAGTAAAATACATTCTTTCGCCACTGGTGATCAAGTTCTTATCTGTGCCGATGAACAACGTTTACGACAAGCACAAAAAGGACATGGAGAATGGTCACACGACATGATCGGTGTATTGGGAAAGCAGGGAAGGGTTTTACAAGTTTATGGTGATGGAGATATCCGTGTCAGCGTCAATGGTCAATCATTTACATTTAATCCACAATGTTGTGTGCCATTGACAACAACAGCAACACCATCAGCAGCAGCTAGTTTACTTAATTCTACAAGTCATAATACACTTCAGGCATATCAAGCTCAACAACAAATGGAATACGCTTCAAGCGTTGATTGGAGTTTACACGGTGGTTCATCCATCGGTGGTGGAACAACAAATTCATCGTCTTGTAAACAAATGTTAATCTATAATACGCTCTTGGGACATAACGATGCATTATCATCATCGGCCATTGTTCGAGATGCAGCTCAAGGAAAACTTCAAGCTGTTCGAGATGCATTAAACAAGAATCCACAATTAGTAGGATCATATTCCAATATATTCTTTTATTAACCTCTCTAATTTTCCTAGGTTGAAAGCCGATCTGGTGACAAATCTGCATTAATGTTAGCAGCACATCAAGGCCATATAGATATTGTTCGCATTCTTCTCTCCCATGGAGCTAATTTAGAACAGCGTGATGCTGATGGTGACACTGCACTTCACTATGCGTGTTTTGGTAATCAACCCGATTGTATATCGTTATTATTATCAAAAAGTGCAGACATCAATTCAATTAACTCCACGGGTTGTTCGTCACTACATATTGTAATTAATAAACAATTGTTAGAGTGTACAAAAAGATTGTTAAGCAATCAACAACCAGCCATCGATGTTAACTTACAAGACATTTATGGAGATACCGCACTACATGATATTGGTAAACATCGATCACTTTAGGATATGATTACATGTTTGTTTGTCTTTCTAGCAAATACTCGTGTTTTCGGCCATTTTGCTGGTCTTGATGAATTGTCTTCATGCGGGACTCATTCGAGCATTTTGAATCTAATCAAACAATTAGAAGAAACGCGTCACCAAACGAATCTTCTTCCATCCGAAGGAACATCGCCTGATCGGTAAATGAAACCATTTCAAAGTTTATTCATCTAAATGTTCTTGTTTTGCGCAAATATTTCAGTTCCAACAACGAATGTGTCGATGGGCGAGAACTAATCGATCTTCTACTTTCTGTACCGAATATAAATTTCAATTTAAAAAATAAACGTGGATTTAATGTTCTTCATCATGCTGCACTCAAAGGAAACGCTTAGTATGAATATTATTCTTCATTGACACATGTCTATTCTTCTTTTTCTAGTGTGACATACCGATTAATCGAATTATGTCGACAGTTAGTCGATTCGAAGAAAGATGATGGTTTCTCTTCTCTTCATTTAGCTTGTTTAAATGGCCATTTGTTAGTTACTTGTTTATTATTGCGTTGTGGACATGCGACAGTTGAGATTTGTAACAGTCGAAAACAAACTCCACTTCATTTAGCCGTTGCCCAAGGACATTCATCCATTGTTATTCTTTTAGTACGTGATCATCGAGCGTCAACTAAAGTTCTCGATGAAGATGGTGATACACCGCTACATTTAATTCTTTCAAAGACTCAACAGTCTGACGATTCCTGTCTAACATTATTAGGATCGGATTTAATTCCACAGATGCCTGTTGATTATCGTCAAATACCAAATATTGTTTTAGCTGCATTTTTGATAAAATGCGATGCACCGTTATTGGTTAAAAACCGTCAGAATAAACTACCTTTGGATTATGTCAGTGATCAAAAATTGAAAGAATATTTTATCCTATTGAATCGCTCAGCAATTATCAAACAAGTTATGCCGAATACATCAGCATTATCACCGTGTATTATATGCGATGAATGTCCCGCGGATATTTTGTTTGAACCATGTAAACACAAAATATCTTGTAAAGAATGCTGCGTCAAAATGAAACGATGCGTTTTGTGTCAACTAAATATTGATGCTAAATATACACACGGTAAGAATCTCGTCTCATTCTGAGAAGATCGACTTCCGTAAGGAAATATTTCATGTCATCAAATAGTAGAAAAGGAGCCATTAAGTGTTATCAGGAGGAGATTCGCGCGTACTTGAACATGGCATCCTGTAAAGTTCAAGATTTGAATTGAGAATATTAGTTAATCAATCATATCTTTGTTTATTTAGATGGTCAGTTGATCAGTAGTCCTTTGGTAGGTGCTACTCGACATACTCATCGATTACCATCAACAACTACGGGTAATATAAATTCTGATGGAGAAATTATCAACAAAGTCGTACGTGACCTTGAAACGAAAGTTCAAGAATTAGAAGACGGACAATCATGTTCGATTTGTATGGAACGAGCACGAAATGTCGCTTTTCTATGTGGCCATACCGCTTGTTCAAATTGTGCTCATCCATTGAAAACCTGCCATATCTGTCGAAAGCCTATCACGAAAAAAATTAATCTTTATTCTTAAGAAATATTTTATCCTTCAGTGTCTCTCACTGTTGTTTTCTTTTCCTCTAGTAACAAAAGAGAATATTTGTCATTTATTACAATAAATATTTTCAAAATTTTCGAGAAATTCTAGCTATTCTACTCTGTATCAAACTGAACAGTGAAATTCAGTCTTTAATGCAAGAATGATGCAGACAATATATTCAAGATCAATGAAGGATGTTTCCAGGAATCTTTACGGTTAAAAAAGCTCATCGATATCGTCTACGATATGTAATCTATTTCTTATATAGTTTAATCTGTATTTGTCAATCAATATTGCAAAAAAATCTTTGTCACGATATTTGATGTTATTGTATAACACATTTGGGCAACAATAAAACTCCAAGTAGCATGATATATGGTTTTCACTAGATAAAAAGTGCTTTCAATACGATCATCACAGCTGATAAATAATTCTTGACAAACAGAAAAATACGAGAAAACAGCTGAAAAAACATTGTTCACTAGCCTTGGATAACAAATTAAACGTTTCCAAAGCGTTCTACGCGGTCGGTTTTACCTTATCATATATTACACAGTCAATATTTGTAAGTCGAGTGGTGGACTGTTTTTTTCCGTCACATTCATTGATTTGCATATGTTGCTGCTCTCTCGGGTAAAAGAAAGTTTTTTGCTTTAATGGTTGTGACAGCGTCGTTTAGTTGTCTTTGACACACGTTCAAGTAATAATGTATTCGTTAAGCTTAATGAGACAAACCGAAATCGAACAGAATCTAAAAGTTGTTCTTTTAATCTTCTACTTTAGATAATCTTATGTTCAGATATGTCGACGTTACCGAGACATGCGTAGTTTTTGTTAATTTTGTCTCATACATAGATCAACAGGATTTATCGAGCTCGACGAAATTACTCAGTTTACTTTGCTTGAAAATGAAAATAGAATTTCGAAACTGTTCTTATTAGAATCACGAGAAAATGTCTCGTCTTCCGACATAAAAAACACATTTTACACAGCAACCGTTCTAATCCGTGTAAAGAAGTTCTTCAGAACTCTTGAATTACGTTTGTTTTGCATTGTAAAACAAGTGTTGAATATTATTTCATTGAACTTAATGCGTCTACTATCAACTCGTCGCCTATTAGTTTTATTGCTTATTGTTACTTGTCGTCTCATCTATATTTACTATAAACACAAATCAATGGCAATAGAACCTAAGATACCTCAAATTCTGCCATCAAACAATATCAAAACATTACTCAACCAATTTTTCACTCCTGGAATCACATTGCAAGAAATTCAAAATTGTTGGAATCGATTAATGAGTGCCTGGGAGAAAGTCCTGATGAAATTTCTCACCGAAGGATGTCAACACTGTCACCACGACATTTATAACAAATGTTATACTTCAGTTGATCTTCAACATTACATCTTTTCTCTGAATAGATCATTTTATCCATACGATGAAAGTATTCGACCGAATGGAATTGGTTTGTATTATAATTTTAACTTGGAATTAATGCGTTCGGGAAATCATTCGATTCTGTCAACAAATGTTAATATTTGTGATTATTTTCATATGATACAATTATTGATGCATGTTCAAAGTATTCTTCATAGATTAAACATAGAATATTTTATAACAAAAGGGACTTTTATTGGTTCATTACGACATCATGATATTATACCTTGGGATGCTGATATAGATTTTTTTATTTCTCAATCATCGGCGTTCAAACTGAAACGAGCTTTTCAACAAATGAATCGGTTTATCGATTCAGGTAATGGAGAGACTTTTGCTAATATCAATGAAAATGTTAATTTGAACCAAAAAGTTTATTCCAGTGAACCGTTGTATCAACGGGATCTTTTTGTTCATCAATTCGAAAACACTCGTCGTGTCACATCATATAAAGTTTTCTCGATTCATTCTGCTCGTGTCGAGGGTACCTATTATCGATGGCCAAAAATCGATATTTTCTCATATCAACAAAGTCGTACACACGTATTTGCACATCCCCGACAAGATCATAATCTTGGCACAATGAAGCATCTCGCTAAGGCCGATATCGAACCGTATCATCTCCGATTGTTAGGCCCTTTATTGTTGCCCAGTCCACGACACGTTCATCCCGCGCTAAAAGCTATGATAAGATCGAAAATATCGGATCTATTCAATGCTTGTGAAGGCAATCAATTTTTGCATCGTGAAAATCGTGCTACAACTGATCTATGGCGCGTTCCTTGTTATACTCTGACTTCACATTATCCTTTCGTTAAAAGTCATTACAGTACAAGTAGTAATTTGTGCTCAGAGACTGTCGAATTTAAAGAGAAGACTCATAGTTTATTTTTATACGAGTGTAAGGAAGATCTTCGACGAACATTGGATTAATTATTTGAAAATAAACGAGAACATTCACAAGGCTTGATTTTCAGTTCTTCATTGAAGTCGCGAATTTGTAAACAGTGCTGTATGATTAATAATCTCTGTTTGAGAAATGTTTTTTCGTATTTCGATCCATTACATAGTAAACAAACGAAAAATAAAATGTACTTTGAATACGTTTAAGAACTTCTTCAGTTTTTCCACACTATCTGAGGGCAATCCGAGAATTGGATTTGATGCTTGTACAGACAATTGATGAATGAGTATCGTATATTTGCTAAACACAAGAAGCATCTCCTAGGTCATTTTCAAGGGGGTTAGTTGAAAGGGTGGAGACATGGTTTTTGTTCGAAATAAACTTCATTCTTTAAAGATTTCTTCGTGCCACATAACATTTCTCATGGATGTGTGTTAATTTGGATGCAGAAATACTAAACAACAAATTGAAAACTTTCCACGGCTTCTCATTACGAAGAATAAAATAGAATCTCGCTTTTTTCCCTCTTCATAAATATTTAACCAATCTTCGCGAAAACAATTCCAAGTCTTATTGAATCAAATATGATCAATATCGTTCGTTTTATTATCATTTTTCATCTTCCTCTCGTTTATTCCAACCATTTCTACGGTGGAACAATCACATGGAAACCAGTGAATAATACTGATTTTAGTTCAACAGTTCCGATTATGTTCACTCAATCTTACCAATGGCGACAAACACAAACACATTGTGATGACACCTTTCTCAAAAATCAAACAAGGAAAATTCCAATGAATGGAGATAAACTTCAATGTGTTTTGAATTCATCATGTTCCACGTACACCGCATTAAGTGTTAATGGATATTGCACTGATTACAGTATGCTTATTGACACCAGTTCAAGTCAAATCTCAGACGTCGAAACAATTGACATGGATTCGACATTTTGTGTAGCTTATCGAGGTTCAACATGGCCAGGCATTATAACGAACAGTTGTGGTTTCAGTTGTTATGTTGACAGCGCGAGATGGTCTTTAGGTTGCTGTCTTAATTTAACAACACGGGAGGACGGTTTTATTAATTCAGCACCTGTGGCAACAGTCATTTCACGTATGATTCTTACGTAAAAAAATGTAAATTATTTTTCCATTTACTTTAGCGATTTATGTGCCGACGAACACGATAAATGTCATAACAATACCGGTTACTGATGCGGACGATGATATCTTACGGTAAAAATCAATTTTGCGATTGTAAAATTCATCAAAATCAATCCTTCATTATTTTAGTTGTCGTTGGGCGAGTAATACTTCATTATTTGACGAATGTGGTGATATTTGTGGAATAGCCTCTGGATGTACACTTTACGAAGAAAACTGTACACTGATATTTAATAGTACAGGAAAACAAACGGGTGATTATTATGCTGTAGCATTAATGGTCGAAGATTTCTACAATGACACGAATAGTACAGCTTTAAGTAGTGTTTCAATACAGTTTTTAATTCATATTGTTGCGAAACCTTCATGTTATTCGAAGCCGACCATTTCGTTGAATTCATCAATTAATACAACTTTAGAGGTTGGAACAGAATACTCCTTCACTTTCATCATTAAGACGAACTGTTCAGGTGTATCGATTGTTGATTATTATCGATCACCGTTATTAAATATGGGTAAAAGCAATTTAACATATAATACTACGAATAACCTATGGACAATTACTGAAACATGGAAGCCAACGGCAAACCAAGTTGGCTCTCAAATCTATTGCGCCGTAGCAACTGACAGGTAGAAGGTTTTTTTTTTGATAGAGTTGATATGTGATTAGTAATTTTAGTGTTGCAATCCAATCAGATTTTTTCTGTTCAACATTTCTTGTAATTGCAATCATCGATGACAGTAAACAACGTGATTCCTAGGCTTTTATTCTCAATCGATCTCATTTTTAGTTCTGGACAACAATGATTCCAATAGCACAGGAGGGTACGTATGATCGCCTCTTATCATATTACATGTGACTTCACTTTTTTTTATAGACCGTCAATGAATTATACGTATGCTGTTATTTTCAGTATGTTGTTTAATTCTAATTATCTATTCTTAGCAGTGAATATAATACCAATTTAAATCCAACAACATTCCAGTAAAACTGACTATAATTACACTGGATGAAACTGATATTGGTTGTCGTTATTTTAGAACAATAATTCTGACGTCGGAGACGACTACGACAACAGAAACTACAACGACGACGACGACATCGGAGACGACAACAACTGAGACCACAACAACGGCTTCAACAAGTACTGCCTCAACATCAACCACTTCTACAGACTCTACAAGTACTTCATCAACATCATCAAGTTCGACCAGCTCCACAAGTTCCTCGTCAACGTCGACAAGTTCAACGAGCTCAACAAGCACTTCGTCGACATCGACAACTACAACCACAGAAACAACGTAATCTTTGCTTTTTTCCTCAATCCATACGATTGCTTTTCTACGAAAATCTTGTAGAACAACGACCTCAACATCATCATCATCTACTACAACTACCACAGAAACAACAACGTAAGTTACCGCACTTTCTTTAATACTGTTCAGACCAGTTTATTCTTTAGAACAACAACATCAACAACAACAACTACGCCACAAGAATCTGTCACTGTTATAGGTCCACCATTGCATCAAACTGAAAAATACTCATGATATACTTATGTTCTCTCTTTCAATTTGGTGGCCATACCAATTTCGACGAAAGACAATTCAGGATTATTAGGATTGGGTCTAGGACTTGGCTTACCGTTAGGCTTAGCATTTATAGCACTGACGGCGTTCGGATTGTACCGTGGATCTGCTGCACTATTAGGGTATGAAATACAGTAAAATGGGAGAGGAACAATTGCAGTCTGACATTTTTAGGTTCGACTCGCATCACAAATTCTTTAGTCGCCCTGGCAGCTCAATCAACCAAGTTGGTTCACTTGAAAAATTTACGGATACCGCGGATAAGAGTCTTAATTCTCAGATTGGTCTCGATGAGTATAATCTTGAAGAGATTCATACTATTAACGAAACCATGACAAATGAACAAACAAATACGCCAAATGAAGCTCTTCGTGATCTACAATCATTATCTACTGATAGTCAAATAAACCGTCTTAGTCCTACTGAACCTTTTACAAATAAACAGGCGTTATCAACAAACGAGCAGGAACTACTTCCAAAAGCAAATTCCTTTGCTACTGTTTCTATTTCTGATTTTGAACTTAAAAATCTGGATAAAACACCGTCGCCTCCACCTACATTCTCAATAAAACCATTGGTTTCACCAGTGATCTCCCCACCACCACCGCCAGAGGACAATGAAAATATTGGACACATACAAACAATATCTATGGATATGAACTCAACGCCATCAACCCAGGCATTTTCATTAGACACAAATACATCACCATCGAACGGTTCGATTCTTGTCAATGCTTATTCAGAACAAGAAAATGATCGAAGAAATGTTGTCTATCGACTCGCTTGATCAAAAAGTTTTGTTTTGTTTTGATCAAATTGCGTACCTTTTTTTGTTCTCAATCGAGCTCTGAAACAAGAATAAAGTGACTCTAACCAATTGTATGACTTCTTGAAACAAAGCTAGCTCGACCGAATTAATACTCATCTATGTCATGAACTATGTCATGAACTATGTCAAATCTTTTCAGGTCATATCTCCAAACAATGAAGCAAGCACGACATAGTTAGATACGCCTAAAATCATAATTACTTCCTTAAGGCTTCATTCGTAGCCTTCAATATATATTTTTCTCTCAAATTATGTTCAGAGTGATCATTCAATATTCTAGCTTACGTGTCGTATGAGTATTTACAGTAGATCGACCATAAAAAAGTTTTATCATTATGTATGTTTGTAATTGAATTTTTGTCCTCTCTATTCTATTGTAAATGAAACCTTTGCAGAACTTTTTGCGTTCGTCCGCCTAATAAGTTTTGTGATACAATTTCAACTAGGAGAAAAATTTGCTTTTACTGCTGAATTCAAGAATGATCAAGTACAAAATGTTTGCTCTCATCATCATCTTATATTGCGTGTCTGTAATTAAACCATATCCATTCGATGATAATCCATCAACATCAAAATTGACAATATTTCGTAAGCTTTCAAAAATTCAGAACGAACACAATAGTAAATCGATTATAAAATCTATAGGTTTACACCGGAGCTCTATTCATACTGAGCATAAGTTATTCTCCATATCGAAAAGAGCTATAATACAAAATGGTAAAAACGAAGATGTTCTAGATGTTTTATAACTACACATCGCCTTTGCTGCTTTTCGATAGGATCAATCTATATTGATACGGATAATACCGCTGGACTTTCAAACTTGGACTTGATCCTAGGCCTCGGACTTGGGATTCCTCTTTTACTAATCTCTGCTACATTAGTTATATGTGGTTGTTGTTGTCATCGACTTAAGTGTTTCAAGTACGTGTATTACAAGAAGAAAAAAAACATTCGAAAAAGTTGATCATGATCAATTCTTTTTTCCTTTACTTAGGTCTTGTCTTTCGAAAATGTGCAACTATTCAGACGATTATATACAATCGAATCGAAATTTAGTAGAGAACTCTCAAACTCCAAGTGAATTGAGTTCCGGAAAAAATGCTCAAACTAACAAAAACGTGAAGACGAGCAATCAACGTACAATTATCAACAAAGAATATGTTTCTAACAATAATTCATCCGATGGAAAAAGTATTACATCGGCTAAAAACACAACCCAAAGAGAAGGTTCGAAAGGTTTAAACAATTCTAATAGTAGCAACAACGTTCGATCACTCCATGACACAGACCATTCATCAATCAATGAATCTAAACCTGAGAAAAAAGCAAATGATATCAAAGAAGTCGAATCCGCAAATAACGAGTTCAACGAAGATTCAGATCACTCGCTGACAAATGAATCAAACAAGAATAATACAACAAAATCATACGATCTCCGAGAACTTCCATTAGCATACGACTTTGATCATAATCGAAACCTTACTACAACGAATGTGAAACATCTTCGATTCCTCAACACACCTGATTATAGTGAACAGCAAATTCCGATTGATGAGAAATCATCTATGGTGATGAATATGACGCGAACATCGCTCTTTTCGCCTCCGATCGAAGGCCTTCCAACGGCAGATGTACAGTATACACATACGTCTAACCCAGGTTCGGTTCTTGTTCATGCATATTCTGTACAGGAAAACAAAAGATCCGATTCGACACCACTATGCTGAAGAATTTATTTTAAAATAATAAATAAATAAATGAAATAAAAATAAGATAAGATTCCTTTTAGCGACAGACACCCTTTCTAATTAATTTAAAAAGTGTCTCTAATTTCATTTCAAGATCAAATTTTCAAAAAAGACGCTTTGGTGGAAATGGATCATTGAGTCGTTGTCCACAATAATAACGATCGAATGCATCGATAGCTCTTGCACCACCCAATGGTTCAAATGACAATGATGAGGCGCCTTCAACTCTTCGGCCCATGAAATAAACGTTCCATGGATCTTTTGCATAACCATCACCTAAAAGTCGAAAATTTGTTGATGATACGCCATCAATTAATCTTCCGTTGTAATAAACATTCCACGGATCTCTGGAGTAACCAAAGTCAGGCCAATCGAAATGTGCCATGAGAAATCAACCAAAAGTCTCGTAATTCAAATGGTAGGTGTGTATCACAACGATTAATCGGACATGTATAAATACTACTGTAGTTTGTGTAAATATTGACTCGCTTTCGATCGTGAGATCAAAGGTTGACGAATAATATTTACGCTTGAATTAAAATCATGTTGAGGCGATTTACCGTGTATAATATCTTACGAAAACTATGCATTCATAATTAATGTTTCTCATCCCATACGATTACTTACCTATGTCTCGATCAGACACAACTTGTCACACGATTATACAAGGAAATTTTATTTGAGTCAACGATCAACGGGAACATTTAATGCGAAGTGGTTTTCGTCGACCAAGTATACATTGACCTCGATGTAGACATACTATTGATTGAGTGAAGACATTTTCAAATGAATATGATTTAGCATAGTCGCTTATATGTTTTTCAAGTTGCTTGTGAAAAGGACAAACTACTCAATGAAAGAAAAGCTACATTTATTATATCAATTAATAAACAGTATAAACAACAGCTAATCATTCAAAAAACAAATCATTAGCAAAATTTATGTAAACTTGAAATTCTCAGAGATTGTAACTTTCTCCATTTGAGATCCGTGAATGTTCCCATAATTGTGATTGTAAATAAAATCTGAGCGAATTGAAATATTCTAAGTATAATTGTATGTGTTGGACTGATAAAAGTCGACAAAAATGACACAATCATTGGAATACAAACTATGATTGGTACGGAGACTACTTCATTGAGTAGAACGTGTATCAGGATACCGTTGTAAATAACCATGAGGTAACCAGTATAACGCAGGTATTGTAAGTTTTTCGACGTCACATAGCAATTGGTGTCAACTAACACTTCGAATTGATTCAGCCATGAATACTGCGTTAATAATGCATGACTACACACATTCGTATTGATATCTTCGACAAAGAACTTTGCTTCTTCGATCATCTAATGCGTTGAATGATTAATCAATATCTGTTTGTCGTAAATGAGACCGTAATAGTACGCAGACATGAAACCAAACAAGCCCATTGCAACTGAAAACAGAACGAAGGATAGTGGTAAACTGATGTCATCTGGCTTATAAAGCCACTGGACACACCGACGAATGCGTGAAAACATAGGATTGCTGTTTACGAATTTCTATATATTTTGAGATTATTGCTAAAAGTAAAACGACGTATTTTGTTCAAATTTCTAGCGTCTACAAGGATGCTGTACAGAGATACACAATGTATGTTCCGTATCATGCTTCTAAAATATGAATGGTTTTAGTGATTGATAGCTGTCAATAAATACTTGTTTTCACACGATAAGTTTTACTTAATTTTTAATTTTATTGAAGTATCGCTATACAGCGATATTACAATAAGGAACGCTGGAGTATCTAGGATAGAAAATAAAAAAACGTTTTAACTGCATCTTTAGTTCAAGAATATCTATACTTATAGGACAGCATATTCATCACAATCTGATATGAGTTGTCGTCTTCTTCATTTTGAGTTGGAAGATAAAAACGAACGAAACTTTGCTCAGCGCATTACATTTCACCACCGTTTCAAGAATGTGTATTAAATCTACATTGATGCACTTTTCACAATTTACTAAAGTCATATTTAGTTTCTGACCAATCACGATGTTTAACTGAATATTCGTTTTTCACTTTCATAGTGTATTGTAGTCCTCATCGTAATCGTAATGTACAGTATGAACTTTCGTTTTTTCCACACACACCCTCAAAACATGAGTCATGCAATGCATTCAACGGATAAATCTAAAACTTGACCAATTACAATATGTGTTTTATTCCTGTGCGATGTACATTAAAACGTATAAAAAATTGGCAGTAGTTATCTGTTTACCTTTGGCACTTGAAATCATATTATGCATGGCTAATCGATATTTTTGTTTTGGAGATGATTATTTACCTGTCTGGAATCAAACATGACATGCATGCCAATGAGCGAATCATCCGTTGATAATTTGTCGATATTTTTATGCAAACGAGAAGATGGTATGATTAAGTGCAAAATGCTTTTTTATTTGTGTCAATCTTTAATAAAACCACGCTATCACTCATATGATGATACGTAGTTTGAAAAAGAGCCACAATGCACAGTAGCAACATCTATTGAATTAAATTTATGCTTTGCTCTTATACTATCGTTTGACTCATGACTGATATTATTGCACAACAGAAGAAAGGTGTACACGTGGCAAGAATCGATAAATATAAAGAAAACCCGGTGAAAAACTCTTGATTTTCTCCAGAAGATGTCAAATTCGGATGCCGAGAAAGAATCAAGCTGCATCACAGCATTTTCCGATGACGAGGGTTTTACAAAATCATTTTCTATAAATGAAACCAATGAATTACTTGATTTCTTTCACAAATATGGTTTCGTTGTGATACGTGACATCGTCGATTCTCAATCACAAATAGAGAACACAGTTGATGAAATTTGGAATTTACTTCGGGTATTGAATCCAAAAATCGATAAAAATGATAGTTCAACATGGGAAGATGCTAATTGGCCTATTCAAATGGGTCTTAAAGACGGTAAGTCGATCGATTGATATTCTACCCAAAATTGAAACATTTAATACAGGTGGTTTTATATCACATATGTCTGATGTGGCAACTAAAATGTGCTGGGAGAATCGACAACATCCAAATATCGTGAAATTATTTCAAATTCTTCTTCAACAAGATGATCTTTGGGTTAAATTTGATCGATACGGATTTATGCGGCCAACAAAAGATATTCCTTTTACAAATAAGGATAATAATTCCATAACGATCGAAGATAGACCAGAATGGCGTTCAAAACCCAATTGGTAAAGCAGAATTTCCCTTCTCACCAAATCACTTCCCTCTTTTCTCTTTCAGGTTACACTGGGATCAAGTAAATATGATCAATTGATTGTCTTCTAAACTCCAATGTACAGTTCTTATCTTGACAGAATCCATGGAAATATCCTGACTTTATGGGTATACAAGGCCTTTTAGCATTAAGCGATACAAATTCAAATACTGGCGGTATAAAGTTTTCACTTTTTTTGCTTAGTAAATTTATACGTGTATAAGTAGGATTTCATTGTGTTCCCAGTTTTACACATCGTTTCAAACAGTGGTCGATTGATAATGAACAGGCTCATCGATCCCGTGGTGGACTTGTCAATGTTCCTTCAGATGATCCAATCAGAAATGAAGTCAAACAAATTCATGTTCGAAAAGGTTCTTTTGTCGCTTGGGATTCGAGGTTACCTCATGGTAATAATCAAATCTCTCTGAATCAAACATAAAGTTTTCATCTAGGCAACTTTCCCAATAACAACAATCAGTTTCGAATTGTTCAGTATATCGCGTTCGAGCCAGCGAAAGAAAATGATGAACGAGAATTAACAAGTCGAATTGATGCGTTTCATATGCGGAGATTGTGTTCCAAGGCTGATGAACAACTTGCTGGATTTCCTGAACCACAATTAACAGAATTGGGTGAAAAGATCATCGGTATCAGAAGTTGGAAAACGAACGAAAAAGTGAAAAGTTCTTTTGAATAATTTTGTTCAATATCATTTTAAAGCGAGAGTAATTATCAAAATAAACACCGATAACACACAAAAGTAAAAACAAGAAGAGAGTGCAGCATCTAGTCATTCGGTCGGAAGGAATATTCGTCGACTGTTGTTCATTGATTTTCTTCACTTGATCAAGATTGATGCCAGTTGCAAACAATTTCAATGCTCGATGATGAGCATGGATGGTGACTTGTTTCGCATCGATCAATTCACCATCGCATGACCAGTTTCCAAGTTCATTGTCGTGATGAACAACAAGAGGATGAATGCACACTTCAGTTGCTCGAAATGATTATGATGAAACCATTCCACCACTTCTTCGTCGAATGCTAAATCTGACGAAATTGAATCTATGTTTAACTCTTGGACTTTTCTCTCAGAAAATCGTTGATGGAAATATTATAAGGAGAGATATCGTTAGTCAATTGCCGAAATTGAAAAAATTCGATTTTTTCATTCACTCAATAACATTTAAACAAAATGAAGATACTATACCATCAATAGACGATATTCAACGGACATTTATCGGCTTTGAGAAAAGTTCTGTTCAATGTCATGCAAATTATCTTCCGAAATCAAAACAAAGTCATTGTCACATTTATTGCAAGAGATGTTCGATGATCTATTTCAATTTCATTACGAATCATTTTCACGGTGGAATATTTCATTCTGTTCGGAAAATATCTTTACTAGATGAAATGCCGTTTGAAAATGAATTTTTTCGTCGAATTGCGCAATCATTTCCAATGTTGGAAGAATTATCCGTAATCAATAATGAAGAACAACAACAGAAGAAGCAAGTGTTTATCTCAAACAATGATCTAGAAAATTCTTCCCCTATCAAATATCCACATCTTCATGAACTTCGTCTAGTTCGTGTTCCTGATGATTATGTCGAACAATTTTTGCTGAATACAAAAACATGTTTGGAGAAGAAATTCATTCTTTATGTTGAGTATGAATCTTTACAACGGGTGACACACGGGCTTACGAGAGATCAAACACGAATGAATTGCGAGAAAATTATTCAACTGTACTTGTGCTATAAAGGGAAATCCATAATTCCTGTTGTGCAAGAGTTTTCCTTGTGCGCAAGTTGATCGTGAATACTTTTTTTAAGAATTTCTTTGACTGTTCAATAAACAAAAAACAGAATAAAAGAAAATTGTCTTATCCATCATAAGAAATGAAATCTCGAAGCTTAAATGGCTTACCAGTTTAACTGCATTTTAATGACACGTAATGAACGTGAAGGTGATGGATGTCACTATAGCGCAGTTGTACCTAATCTTTCTGTTCGATTGGAACAGGTCGTGATACTTAATTCGATAGAAAACAATTGCCTCCGAAACGAACAATTTGGGTTCTTATCGACTGGCCCTCTTTACGTTAACGTAATGTCCAGTCACATGCTGATGTAGACGGATATATACACATACCGACGTAAACGAAAAAGTATAGTAGAATGAAATACGATGTCATGTGCAAAGTCAAACAGAATTTAAATCAGAATGGCGTCATAAGAAAGTGAGAGAAAAAGGAAAGGTCGAGAAAGGCATTCACATTTCTTTATTTTCATAGCTATTCGAAACAAATGATTTTCTTGTCTTTTGAATCAATCATTCTTTTTATATTGAGATTGAACGGGCAATGAATTTTCTTGAAAAAGAATTCGGACCAGGGTGGCCAGATGTGTAGACGTGAAAAGCGGAAAATCTATCGAGGAAAGCGGAAAAAAGCGGAAACGGTCGGTGAGAAAGCCGGAAGAAATCCGGAAAACAAAATCTTGTTGCTAATTCTTACGACTGATAAGGATTTCAAAGCCTTTGCATCGTTCACATTCTTTATTCCAACTAAATTTCAATTTCAAAACATAGAAGATGCAATACAAAGAGATATTTCACTGGCTAATTTAATCTTTCACTTTGTATTTGCGATTGGCACTGATTGCTGTTAGCAATTCTTTTCGGGATAATAAATAATTGTATATGTTAGTGCATGGAATGCGAGCATTTCTTCGAATGCTCAATTCAGCAGCGATGGAATCTACACACATTCGATTACGAAAGTCATTCAACAAATGTTCCATCTCGGAGAAGACGCTCTCCACATAGGCGTTGCTCGCAGGAATCGAATAAATAAAACAAACTAATTTCTTCATGTTTGGAGTTGGTGTTGGATGAACGGCGAATAACATCGCCCATAGCTGATCCGATCTGAACAACTAGTACGAAGAGTGGCTACTCTGTTTAGCCAATTGGCGTTGAGAAAGAAACCTTCTGAGTCAAACATCGAAATTTCGAATTTTATTTGGTCCACTGGTTCTAGTCTTTCCACAACGATGTTCACATTTTCAGCGAAAAGCGGAAAAAAGCGGAAGTGCGGAAAAAAGGCCGAAAAGCGGAAATTTTCCGCAAAAAGCGGAAGATCTGGTCACCCTGATTCGGACTACCCAGGTTATTATGGCACGGTCGGTTCCGCCCGGTTAGGTTCGTTTTCCAACCATCTCCTTGCCGCCGGATTCGGGCCAGAATCCGGCGGCAAGGAACCTGCCGGAACTTGCTGGAATCGGCGAAAACTGCGCCGGAATCGAGAAGAGCTGTACCAGAACCGACTCAGATTTCAATGGATCCAGTCGCCGGAATGATCTACCTGGGTATATACTTATCTAAAGAAGATATCATCATTTCTTTTTGTGTTTGAAGAAAAGCCACATCCCAATCCAACGTGCAATGAAATCCATTCACTCCCCTCACAATGTGAGAGTGAGAACGATGATCATCATCGTTCATTATCTCCCAAAAGACAACATCTATTAAACGATCTACAGTTTCAAAAGATCTTAGCTGATCTCAAATTATCGCCAGCAACATCCGATAATAAACCATGACAAAACAGTCCGACTCGAAGTACACTAAAATAAATCAGACAAGAAAAAAAATCGATTGGAAAATCATTCTGAAAATATTCGAAACGGTTCTGTCAAATAAAAATCGATTTGGATATGTAACATAAGTTTGATCTTCATGTTTTATCTAGACAACTATTCAAGGTTGTTTTTTACGACTGAAAAATTGCTCTGGATTGAGTAAAGAAGATGCCTGTCTTTTAGATAGATGTGTCAGTGGACGAATGAAACGTTAGTTTACCTGCTTAGAATGATTAATCCGGCATTCAGATCCCGTCGGATCTGTTGAGGTGTACTCGACCTGAGTAGATCGCATATCCAAGAAGCACCGATAAATCATTCGATCGAATATTCTCGTCTCACCAACACGCTCCGATTTCGGTATCTCATTGAGTGAGACGCTTTGAAGAATTTACTTATATATCTTGGTAGCTGATCTATTCCTGGCTTATCAATAGAAAAAAAGCATTTATATGATCATTCGTGAAAAATGTCGAACTCAATGTGAAACATTAGCCATTAATTTTAGCTGCTCTCTTTATAAAGATGTTCGACAATTAGTATCTGATGGTATGTCAGTTGTGGTTTGTGAAAAGAAACAAACTCTTTCAATCGGACAATATTTAAGCGATTGATCGTTTGTCAATATGATTAACTCGCTATTGTACGCGTGTAATTCTTGAAAGGCAACTTGATTCAATGCTTGTTTGAGAATACTTCGTATTTGATATTGGTAACGGGAGAAAATGAGAAGACTTTCTCCGAAAAACCTTCAACAAATGGGAAATGAATTTATCCGTAGAATTCAATAGGTTGAAAATGCAAATTTAGAAACAAGAAATACAGGAAACTGTTGCAAATAATTCCAATAAGTTTCTGTTACACAAAGTTTGATTTCTTTTCAATGAAAATTTATTGTACAGCAATATGCTTGACACATTTGCTATTCGCGAAGGAAATCTCTCTTCGTTTGTTCCCAGATATTGATATCAGTGGCATGTTGACAAGGGAATGAGCAATGAAGTTCTTACTTATTCAAATCTTTTCACTTATTTCTGGATTATTCATTTACTATCTTTTCCCTTTCAACCGAATCACAGGCGCATCTCAGAAAATTTCCCTCTTTTCATGTTAATAAATCTGGCCGTGACAGCTTGTCTCCACCCTCGCCCTTAAGAAAGTTCTTTTGAATAATTTTGTTCAATATCATTTCAAAGCGAGAGTAATTATCAAAATAAACACCGATAACACACAAAAGTAAAAACAAGAAAACAACAGATGATCAAGAAGAGAGTGCAGCATCTAGTCATTCGGTCGGAAGGAATATTCGTCGACTGTTGTTCATTGATTTTCTTCACTTGATCAAGATTGATGCCAGTTGCAAACAATTTCAATGCTTGATGATGAGCATGAATGGTGACTTGTTTCGCATCGATCAATTCACCATCGCATGACCAGTTTCCAAGTTCATTGTCGTGATGAACAACAAGAGGATGAATGCACACTTCAGTTGCTCGAAATCGTTCGACATTGGATAGTTTTTCGATTCCACGGCTATCATTTGCTGCACGATGAAGGAAACGAAGAAAGTGTAAACGCCACGAGTGTTTGACGAGCACGACATCAAATGAACCATCGGCTACGAATGATACCGAAAGACAAAGAATCACATTTTCGTTTTGTTTCTATGATATTGACAAACCTAGATGAACAGTTGAAGACATTCCTAGTTTACTTTTATGGCAACGACCAGGCATATTTAGACAATTAATTGTTTCATAATGACCTCGACGTTTAATTTGATCCGATTTGTTTGATGCTTGAGTGATTGTTATTTCGGTATTATACGATACATTTCGAAGGAATTGAACAATGCCAGAGAGAGTGTAGCGTAACGGACCGAAAATTCTCCAATTCTCAGATTGTTCAATAACGTTACCAAAAAATCCGTAGGCAAACATCGTTGCCATAAAACGTACGAAACCATGCTCATTATGGACCTTTGATAAAAATACGATTTTTCTCAGCCAAAATGAACTCTTCAACTCACCGTAGTTATATCAATAAGAAGGGATTCACCAACAATAATCTGTAAAGCACTCGTAACAGGATCGTTGTAGCCAGTTGTACCAAACACCACTGCATCAGTTGAGCCAGCTGGTATAACGCCAATACGCAATCGTGGTGGAACAAGATGAGTTTTAGGATCATTTACATCGAGTTCAGCTTGTTGTGCAGTTTTAAGTAATAAGCTGTGGCAGATCTCAGAAAACATTCCATCACCACCGACTGATATCATACCATCATAATCATCCAAAGAGTTCTTTTTAATATAATCTCGTGCATGATTCGCACGCTCGGTACAGATGGTATTTACAGTTAGATTCATTTCTTCGAATAATGGTAACACTTGCTCTTCATAAACCGAATTGCCGACACCTTTCCCACATTCGGGATTGATAAAAACCAATAGATTTCGAGGACGCTTTTTCAGTTTCGATAAATATCGATTTGACAGTGAACATAATCGCTGTGCAATTGAACGATCCAAGTCTACTTCTAATTGTTTTACTGTCCAAAGGAATAACTCAGATACATGAGCATAACGAAGTCGGATTCGTTTAGATTGAAGAGGTGATTTTGTTTCAAATCGTTGCTTGACCGATGATGAAATAGAATCGTTCAATGGTTCATCGATCTGCCGAATATTTAACAACTTGTCGAACGGAATCGTTTCTAATTTTGCAGCATCAGTCTTGTTGTTCGTCAATAGTTTTAATTGAAGTTGAATCGAATCTATTTGATCAATTAATGACAATATTTCGTCGATAGTTGTCGCTGATACATTTTTAGAATCATCATCAATACAAATAAGAAGGTCATACGGTTCTTTATCAACAGCACACGTTGTTAAAAACAAAGTAGTTGGCATCACAGGATTCAGGAGTATCTAAACAGGACGAGAATGTATTATAAAACGAAACTTTAAATTAAGACGACATGTGCTACACAATTTCAGTCGTTTAACCGTTGAAATCATCTTTCTCAAAATTACGAACATGTGATAAGATCAAGCATAGAATGCTATTCCTCTACTTCCATTTCTCTGTTTATTCTGTTCTTTTTCGTATTATCATCTTCCTATCAAGAATCTTTTTTTGTTTTGTCGTTCTGTCGAACACATTTCTTCTCCGTCTTTCTCTATAACAAGTCGACGACAGATATATTCACGTTTTCTCCAGGAAAAAGAACCGGGTCTTGTCCAAGGGTGAGACAGTTTGTTGTCTGTTATCAGTCACAGAACTCAGTACGAATCTTTAATTGTTTCTTGTCAGATTTTATTGAATGTTGGTGATGTGCACATCATTTTTTTGAATAGTGACCCTAAGTCCTTAGAGATTTTAGATCTTTTTCGATATGCTAGTAAGTTTATTTTACTGGTAAATTATATCAAATGCGTGTAAAGAAACGTTCGTTGATTCTCTGTTTCGAAAAAGACACTGTTGTGTATAAATAATTAATCAAGGAAGTTCCAATGAAGGTGTTGAGTAAGTTAACCTAATATAATTATGCCCAAATGAAATTTCTGACGATCTATAAGAAAAAAGTGATCATGTTTTCTTGTTAAATTGATTCGGAACGTTTACTGTTGAATTGTTGAAGAACTGCGACGTATCATTGTTGGATTGTTCAAAGTAATAATTGCATCTCGGTCTCTTTTGCTCTCAGATATTGCCTTTGAAGTATAGATCTGAAAATCTAGGAAAGGATAAGAAGTAGATTCTATTTTAGAAGGATGTCCAAATAAACATTCACCTGTCCGAATCAATGTTGGCGGATACATAAGAAGTCGAAGAAAACAATTATAAATTCTTACATCACTGATCAAAGACGTCTGAGGTGAAAAGATAACAACTGAAATAAAAAAGATTTAACCTATAAACAAAGCTTGATGAAATATGGAATGAAATACAGTATCGGTTGATTCTCCGTAAGATCACAAGTAATTTCGGACGCAAGACTGATAAAGATTCTAAATGTGGCATTAGTTTATTCACAGTTACTTCCGACAATTGAATATCTCCAAGTGCAATCTTCGAACCAATACGCCATCTGAATGAATCGAAATGCCGATATTGTTAGAAATTGACGAGAAGAAGAGATTTGTTTTACTTTGTTAAAGTTGGATGATGTGAATAATTACATTTGTAAAAGCAAATGTCAATCAATGGTGATCGTCGGAGAATGTACAAACGATTCTTATCTATAAAAATGCAAAAATTTCCTTTGTTTTCATCATTCTCTGACGAAATCTATATACTTAAGTCGGAATAATCAATTCGCAGATCACTTAATTCAAATTGATATTTTGCGTAAAACTTTCGATCTTCGGGATTGTCCTTTAACGAGAGAAGAAATAGAATTAAGAAGCAACAAAACCGTTCGACCATACTTGAAAGAGATCGTTGTCAATTGCCTTCCTGTCCGAAGAGGATTTTAAAGTTAGTTCGTTAAATTGAACACGAATTGTCGAGAAATTTCTAAGATAAAACAAAGTTATCTCTATCAACAAACTCAATGAGAACACTGGCATACTGTTTTGTATCATTATTTTGCATTAAAAACAAGGCAGTTTTCTTCAGATTCATATGTATGTTAAAGATTTTCTTTGGTGATAGATCTGCGTTTTGTTTGGCTCTAAACGAACGATAAATTTCACTATCACATCGATTGATTATACAAACTTTGTTTGTGGATGCCATTCTAACTTATCTTTCGATGAAAAGCAGTCAACGAGCCAATTGAATATAATCTAGGAAAAAAGGCACGAATTTTATTCAAGAAGAGTGAGGATTTTAACTTGCTTCATCGTAGAAAACTTTAAGTGGTTGCATGACCAAATGAAGGCGATAGTCAGATTTTTTATCCGCAGGAAATAATTCGAATTCCACATGAACAAACGGAGAAAATGTCGACATTGTTCCCATGATCAGTATCGGTCGTTGTTCTTTATTCGATTGCATACCATAGATGTGCGCTGTTTGTAAATCAATCATACATCTCAAATACGAACATAATTCTTATGTGGAAAGGCAGATATTTTTTGTCATACTCAATACTTCTTGAAACAGACATTCGTTTAATGTTCATCCAAATATCCGTTACGCAGATATATGCAATTAATTCATTGTTTTGCATGATATTCAAATCAGTTTTGTTTACAATGAGTTCCACGTCAATTTTAGGTGACTGAAACCAAGAAGAAATCGTTATCAACATCGTTTCAATGTGCACGAATTGCTTACATCTTCGTAATAGTATTCTTGTTCATTTTCAGCAAATGCTGCAGCTGTTGTGGCTATGGTTGTCTTCACTTGATCGATAACTATATGACAAATGAAGAAAAAAAAACTATCCTTCGCAGATCTTTTACATTTGCTTTACCTTTGGTGATATGGTTGAAACCATGTTTGACTTTCGATAGTGATTTCCAACGGTTTTGACGAGTAGTAGAATTAATGCCTTGTTGATCGAATTTTTGATCTTTGGTTGGCGGATGGAGAATATTGACTTCCAGTTCTACTTTATGTTTGATATATGCCAAATTGAAAACATCCAATTTCATTTCAAGAAACTGAAAACATGATCATATCAATACAATAGAGAAGAGGCATTTCTCACATAAATACGTTGTTTTTGTTCCTCTGTTATTGGGTGTCTGCCTAATGATTGTTGCATTAACAACTGACGATATTCACGACAGCGATCTTCGAATAGAGTTTCGATACAAATTCGATTGGATATTAAATAATTTTACCGAAGAAAGTGGTATAGTTTTGCACTTTAATAAATGCTAAGATGTCCGAGATCTGTTCGGAATTCACGAAAATGTTGACTTTTTCAACTTGAATGTCACAATACATCCGTGTTCGCTCATAATAACTTTCTTTCGGTTTTAATACAACAACACATTCTGTTATAATATCCATCGGACGAAGAACTAATCATAGAAAGAGAAATTCCACTTATGCGATAAAAACTTTGCAGTAAAACAGACTATAATTCATATCAGCATTGTTGGGTTTGTTTTGATCTGTTGCTACTTTTGACTTCAAATCATTCTAAAATAATCAAATAGATAGCGCATGGCGATGAATGATCAAAGTCGTACCACAACATCGTTGAATGGTATATCGAATCTTGATTGACATTTTGTATTCCAATAGATCGACAAAGATCTCATCTCTTTGATCTATATTTATCTTAAGTAAGTAGTTAAAATTCGAAGTGCAAACCTACTTTGTAAACTAAAAGTGTGTTCCCTTCAATTCGTCGACTTAGTAGAACATTAGTTGCGGTCTAAAATGAAATGTCTGTTATATTCTGTTCACAAAGGTGTGAAAGAGCGAAAACCTGTATTTCTAAATAATGCAAGGTGATACCGAACGAGAATGGATGTCCTAGTTTTGTCGATGATTTCATCTCGTAACTGATATGAACATTTTCAACAGTAATAACAAGATTTTGCATGATTTGTAGTCGCATTTTTTCAACGAATGGAACTTCTCGATTGTAAATCTTTCCGTTATCTATTTGTAAATGATTAGAAACGAAATGTGAGCAAATGAGAGTTATGAACCTGGATCAGATTTTCGTAGGTTTTCCAGTTTTTGTTGGACTCGTGCCATTTTCTCTGAATAATGTTCATTCAAATCCGGACTTAATTCTACAGAAAAAGAAAGGAAAACAGAATGAACCGATTTGTGGTTTTCTTTTCTTTTTCTTACCACTTTTAGGAACAATTAATAGATAAAGTCCACTGAGATGAACTTCAGTTGCTTTGGTATTCAAATGCATCCATGGAATAGTTATTTGAAGTCGTTCTAACAACATAGATGATGAATACATGTCAGAAATGGAATTTGAAGGAAATTTTACCAATGTATCCAACTGCGACAGTTGCAGGTATATTGAAGTATGCCTAAAATGATACGAATAAATAGCGACTGGCAAATTCGAATGCATGTGTACCAATGCTTCTGGTTTTAAACGAAGATTATCCAAGTTAACATGACCTATTTAGAAATTAGATGTAAATAATGCGTAAATAAACAAATGCGTAAGACCAGTTTTTAAGCTAAGCTTTAGCTTTTCATAATCCAGTCGTTCAATATAATTTTTCAGATACTTATTGATTACATAATGAATAAAATTCTTCCACACCATTTGTTTGTTGATTAAAAACAATACAATCGTCTACGATTGTGCTTTGTATATGCCTTTTATGTTGAAATATACCTTTGGTTTACATGTGCATAAACGTAAAGGCAATGAAGGAGAAACAAATACTGTGTCTTTCTCTTTTTCGTTCTCTCTTTCATGACCATTACTCATCAAGCGAAGAATTACAAACGACAACATGTGTCAATCATATGTATCATCAATCGTATACATATATACCAACTAAAAATGACTATAACTTTTGCGCATTCAAATGAGGGCGGTTGCAAATTTGTTTTCGCGTCATTAGCGGCCAAAATCAGGTGTTCGACAAATTGTTGATGAATATGAAGAAACACAATTTGGTGTTGCTCTGTTTGTTCGTTAATAATTTTTGTTGATTGAATTAAAACTTAGGACGAACAACTAGAAATGCTGTTGGAATGTCAATCAAATGATTATGTTTTACAGTGAATAGGTGTGTCAATTTTAAAGTCACAGTTTGTGTGCTTCTTCTCATAGACTCATATGTATGTGGGCATTTTGTCATCATGATCCCTGGGGACCATTCGTACGTCGTTCATCTCTCATCCTATATGAGACTGTATCCGATGTATGAAAGTCCGCAATGAAATCTACCATCGTTTCTCAAGGTTTGAAAGACACTATCGTACGCTGTTGATGAAACAAAATGTCATTCGACATCTTATTGAAAACTATAGCGTGTATAATGATCCTTTGTTTCAGATTGTCGTACGAAAACAGCTGCTTTTTATTAGAAATACCATTTGAAAATCTCAAAGATGTCGACGAGCAAGTGAAAGTGTTGAAGTTCACTTATCAGACGATGTCAATGCTGGCTCAAACAATGACGGTAAAAGAGATAAACAATACTTCGAATGGGTAAAATCCTCAACAAATGCATTATCGTATGGATGCAATCGAAAGATTGTTATTAACATTTGGAATATTGAATGATAATATAAACAAACCTCATCAAGATATCCGTATATTAGTTTCAGAATCGGATGAAATACACAGCGATGTAAAGTCGTCAGACCGTTTATTTGAAGATTCATGACTAATTTTTTGACACTCGTCTTTAAAGTGAAACGTAACCAGCTAAGTAGGAATATTTCGTCTACTCTGCGATGATATTAACGATAATAGAAACTATCATGATAATTTTAAATTACTTCGTTCAAAAGTATCACCTGGGATATATGTGAATCTCTAAACCATTCGAACCGTTCTGTGTATAGTTTTTCATTAAAATGAAACCTCTCTAACACACTATACAGAAAGAAGCGTTTGGTAAAATAAAAACAGCATAGGGCATCATTATTCATAATTCAAAACTATACGATCACATATTTCTATTCGATATTGCACCATAAATATGATTTAAGAATTATTCGATAACAACTACCGATGATCTTATTCTCAATTAAAACTAACAGCACCTTCAAACATATGCATCAGTGATTGTACACCCTTATAATGTTATATTCTCTAACCACGTTTTTCACTGTATCGCCATCGATGACCGAAATCAGATGTAAACAAAGCATTCGTTTTCTTTTTCTTTCGACAGAATATACACATACGATTTGTTATTTTTCACATGTCTTTCGATTGGAAATTAAATCCGCCCTATTCAAACTTGAAACAAGACGACAAATTAATTCAATATCATGCATCATGTTACTGTGGATTCGTTCAATATGTAATTTATGATGAATTTCCAGTCGATTCAACTTATTGCCATTGTCATGGATGTCAAATATTACAAGGAGCACCGTATCAATGGGCGTGTATATTTCCGAAGACATCTTTATATTTTCAATCGGGCTTAGATTCATTGAAATTTTATAACAATGGGGAAAATATACAAGATCATGTTTTACCATGTAAAGTTAGTTGTAAATATTGTTCAACCCCGTTGGCTGACGAAGGACGTCGAATGTGGTTAGCATTTCCGCAATCTTTCAAAGAATTTCGTCAATCGGAAAGTGTTCGAGAAAAATTAAAACCATCGTGTCATATTTTTTATGGGCAAAGAACAATTCTAGGGAACTTTTTAAAGAATGATGGGTTAAAGAAATTTGAAGGGCACAAGAACAAATCGAAAGAAATCTTAGATGAATAAAGATGAAAAGTAGGGTGACATTCTTCTTACTGCAATGTTTTTATTCCTCAAAGCCATGTTGTTCTCTTTTTATTTGATGAAACTCCTTCTCATTAGAATTCAGACGAAATAAATCAGCTCTATAAAAACTCGAAGATTTGCATTTTCATTTCCTAAACATACAGATATTCACGACAGACAATGTTTTCTCTTCGAATCAGTTTTCTTGTGATTTTCATCTTTCATTTCGTTGAATCGCGACATTTCCTTGGCGGAACGATATCTTGGAAAGTGTTAAATAACGAAAATCGAACAAATTCCAGTGTACCTGTTACATTCACGCAATCTTATCAATGGAAAGAATCGGCCACCTATTGTAATCAATCTCTTATCTTCGTTTATCCACCTGTATCCGCAAATCCGGATATTCTCCAATGCGTCAGTCCAACTAGTTTGTGCGGTGGTTACACAACGTTGAGTACACAAGGATATTGCATGGATTCAAGTCTGATCTCTGATACACGATCAAGTTATATCCTTCATACAGAAAATATAACTGTCGGATCGAAGTTTTGTGTTGCGTTTCAAAATATAAACTGGATGGTATTGCAAGGTCCATCATGTACCACATCTTGTCCGTTGTCAAGTGCAGGATGGTCAATCGGTTCTTGTATTGATTTGACAATTCGACCAAATGGATTTATCAATACATCACCTGTTGCAAATATGATTTCTCGTATGTATTGATGTGATGTGTGTTGGCTAAGACGATCTATATTTGTCTCTTCTTTTCATAGCGGCCAAAGTTCCAGTGAATAGCATGACGAATATAAAAATTCCTGTTCTTGATGCTGACAATGATATTCTACGGTAAAGAGCTATGTCCATCGTCCTTATTTAATTATCTCATTTTAGCTGCCGTTGGGCGAAGAAGTCGTCGGCATTGGATGAATGCGGTGATGTTTGTGGTAAAATATTGGGAAGTCAACTTGATCGTGACAACTGTGTATTATCATTCAATAGCACAGGGAAAACTGTTGGGGATTTCTATGCAGTAACTTTAATGGTGGAAGATTTTGCTAATGCTACTTCGAACACATCATTGAGTAGTGTCCCAATACAGTTCCTGATTGAAATTGTCGCTCCACCTCTGTGTGTATCGAAACCGATGATTAGTTTGAATATTTCACAATGTGTTGCTATTCAAGTCGGAATGAGATACAATTTTACTGTAATAATTGATCAAGGATGTCCAAATACATCAGTAGCTGACTTGATCACAGCATCACCATTATACATGTCGAAAAGTAGTCCTGTACAAATAGGATCGAACAATCGGTGGTCAGTTTCACATACTTGGATACCAACTGCGGAACAGATCGGTTCACAAGTCTATTGTGCTATGGCAATTGATAGGTAAAATATAAGATTAGAACTTCATTGGTTTTTATCAAACTTTAGTATTAATATGACATCGGACCAATTATGCGCTGCATTCACAGTGGTCGATACAAACCAAAATCTTCTCTGTATGTCAATGCGAACTTAACCATAGTTTTATATGTACGTAAATATGATCTAGGTCCTGGCGAAACAACAACAAGTACATCTACAAGTAGTAGTAGTAGTAGTAGTAGTACGTCGACGAGTACATCCACAAGCAGTAGTTCATCAACAAGCACAGCGACCTCAACAACTTCAATCACATCTACTGATGATTCTCGATTACTGCTATTAGGTCTCGGATTAGGTATACCTGTGTTAGCATTATTGTTGGGTTTGATTGTGTATTGTTGTTGTTGTTGTTGTCCGGAACAATGTAATCTTCTACGGTATGTCATTAAAATGAAGATTTCATTAGTTTGATTTGTTTTATTCTAGTGGAAGATGTCGTCGACGATTTCGTAATCGTACGGAAGACATTCAAAATGAAATGTTCATTGATCAGCGCAATGAAAATTCCTCTGACTATCGTAGTTTATATATTAATGATAGAAATCCTTCCCCGGTTGCCAGCGAACTTCCAAGTGATTATTCTTCGCATAGAAATGCAAATACTTCGATTTTAGTTGAAGCATATAGAACACAGACGAATCAAAGAACAATTCATAATATGACCAAGCATGATACAATGTGACAATGAAGAGTAATTTTGTCTATTATTATTTTTGCATTTGGATTATTCTCCCCAAAAATCTTCGATTTCTGCCAAATTTTTACATTTAGTTTCTGGCATCTAAAATAAAGACTTGAACTTTTTGAAAGGAAAACAATAGTAAAGTGCGGAACTTACCTTCAAGAAAAGAAAGACGAATGATACAAGAGAACAAACACAGAAGACAAGAAAAACATAACCTCCAAAAGCTGATTGAATTAATGGAAAGAGAATAACGACCACTAAAACAAAAAGAAAGCTAATAGTGTTCTGGATACGATCATCAAAAGGAGAGAGCACATACTTAAATTTGTTAAAAAAATAAAAAATATCGTTACAGAATGCGCAACAGGTCGAATACTAATCGCAAATACTTCATTTGGATAGAGAAAAGGTATCGGACCAGGTCCAACAGCGAACAAAGCAATGTATAATAAAATCAATAGAAGTGTTTCAATAGCCAATCTCTCTAAACGAAGAAAAGAATTGAATTGAGCGAAATTTCACTTTCCGGATATACCTGGATTGATTTGTAGAAACACACACAGTAAAATCATAATGATAACAGTCAAGGCAAGCGGATAGACAACCAATGGACGTCGACCGAACTTTTCAATAAGTTTAATTGATGCAATAGTTGCAACTAAATTTGTTAATCCAGTTGATAAACCACCCCAGTAAACCTTTTCATCAACAAATCCCATTGTTGCCAATGTTGGGCCACAATAATAAAATACCTCAAGTCAAGTGAAAGAAAATGCTCTATACTGTGATGAAATGGCACCGACTTACTGAGTTGATACCAGACAACTGGGCTGACCCACTGACGAATAGACTTGTTATCAATGGCCAACGAAAACGAGGTGAAGTGAAGAGCCGTATAAGAGATGCGTCTTGAGAACTAACAGTCGCTTCTTGTCGTTCAATCTCTTCTAGTTCAGCGCCGATTTGATTTGTTTGTCGAAGAGATCGTAAGATTTCAGCAGCTTCTGGTCCACGACGTTCTTGTGCAAGCCATCGCGGACTTTCATGTAATGTCCACACTGACAAACAACCAATTAAAGGAAATACTCCGACCCATCCCATGCCCCAATTCCACTTACTAGGTATAAGGTAAGAACTATCCTATGAAAAAAATCATACTGAGTATTCAGTTACTCATGTTGGCCAAGTAGCCAGGGGAGACTAACAACTTGACCAACGAGAATGCCAATAACGATTAATAGCTGATGATAAGTGACGATTTCACCACGCATTGTTCGAGGACTGATGTCAGTCAAATAGATGGGTGTTACAACACAAGTTAAGCCTTGAAATAATTACACTCGATCAATATGGTTGAAGAATGAGTACCGGCAGTTACCTGCAGAGTAACCTGAAAGAAAGCGCGATATATAAAATAAAGCAATTGCCAGCTCTTTATTGTCTAATGCTTGTTTGATTTGTAGGAGAGTTGGATCATTTAAGTCATATCCATGATAAATCGGTAGTGCACAAATCATCAGAATCGACGCCATGATTTGAAAGAGCATCGCCATAAGAAGAGCGTTTCGTCTGTTTGACAGAAATACTCATCAACAGATGAGAAGAGGCAAGTCTATTCGAAACAAACCTTGTTAAGCATAGATACCAATATTGACCAGTAAAACCTCCCACTGCAGCTCCAATGACAAAAACGATTCCATGAAGTGAGTCAAGGAAATTTTGAGTAACACGCTGACTTTTTGGAACAGCTGGCAAATAATAATAGCCATTCTCATTTTTCGATGCTGTATGAATATAATCACATCCTGACCAAACAGTGGCGATCCATTGAGATGTGCTACCTTCCTTCTGACAGGGAAACGGATATCCACGTAGCCATGGAGTGATGAACTGCGAATATGAAATTGCATAGAAAGAATTCTTCATCCGAGTAAAACTCTTTACTCCATTGTATAGACTTGGTCCACCCGTATTGACACCCATAACAAAACTTGTCGAAAATGTCACAACGATCACTGCCCATATCATTGGTTTTGTCCATTTCTATAAATAATATAGTACTATTTTACTCCGATTCCATCAAGTTTTAGTTACTTGATCATTATTAATTAATTGAGAATGTTCTGGAACTACTACAGCGGTCGCTCGAGCAACTCCTGATTCGATTTCACGTATGATATTTTTTCCTTGCGTTGACTTCATTCCCCGTTGCTTCGATGTACGTTTTGAGAAAACAGAAAACACCTTCGGTATTTATATCGTGAAAAGAACGGCATTCTGCATGGTAGGTTCTTTGCTCGATACATCTGCGAAATAAGAAATCGTCTAAGCACCCTCTTTCTCTTTTTCACTTGAGATGCTTTTCAGTTTCACTAAGTAGGTGTGACTACTCCGTACTTTAAAAGTATTAACGTTCTTTTTCCATATTTTCAATACTTTTGCCGGTTGAACTGTGTCGTGCATATCAAACTGTCACCCTGAAATTACTAATTAAAAGAAGAATAAATATCAAAACCATAGAATTTATCTATTTTTACAAGTTGATTAACTCGAAGCTTTGCTAGTTTTACGAGTGACTCGATTAGGTCACGTTTTATTAGATCGGACAAGAAACAATGGCTCTAGAGATGTTTAATATAGAGCATCACACGCGACTTTATATATCAAGCAATATTTACATGTTTTTCATTTGTATCGTTTTGAATCTATAGAACATCTCACTCAAATCGTTCTTGTCTTAATCCTTTCCCTAATATACTACAGACGAAATACTAAGATTTCTGTTTTTGTATTAGTACTTTAATTATGGCTTTTTATGAATATAGAGAGTACACACGATCTCAGTGTAACATGAATAATATGAAGATATTCTGTTGACTACCAGAGGTCTGTCGATCATATTCAAGCATATGATACGTCTGTATGGATAGTTCCTAATGACAAAATGTAATATGATATTGTTCTTCCCTTCTTCATAGCGGCAGTGCGTATGTTCATAGTAAGACGCATTCGATTCATTCCGATATTCGTCTTTATCCTGATTTTAAATAACAAACTAATTTTCGAGAACATTCAAGAAAAGTTAGTCAATCATCAATCATCTCGACGCCTGTTGATATAATACCATCATAACCAATGATTGACGCAAGCACAATAACATTACATAATTAGACATGCATACATCTGCTTGGATAAAAACAAAAGGATATAATCCAAGAATGGCTTAATAGTTTTTTTTTCTTCGTTCCTGTTCTGATCAAAATGTACTCGGTTAACTCGTATTCGTTATTCAATTTATTGAGAGACATTTACAACTGATATCCATTCTTGCACGATCAAATAGTTGTTCTTTTTTTTCTTTCTCTCCTCTTTGTACAATAAATAGAAGAGAAGAAAGGACAACTCGTAGATATTTACTCTCTATGCATTATCAATCTATTCTTGTACTGGCTGTATGTGATACAGTAAAAGCTGGATTAGGTGTTCTCACTCGACAAAACACATTAATCACTTGTTAAAGTTTACATTTGATGAAAGTGAGCAAATGGTATCGAAAAATCGTTCTGTATTTTCGTCAAGAGAAAAACGAAATATAACTATTTATATCGTTGGAATGGTACTCTATAAATTTGGATTGGAAGCATTTAATGGTTCAATCATAACTTTAGCAACCAATCGGTTTGATCAAGATGCAGCGAAAAGCCATACAGCACCACATACATTCGAAAAAGTCGGATTGGTTGCTGGTCTAAATCAAGCGTTACAATGCTTTGGCTCAATCATCATCTCACCTCTTATTAAACATTGGTCGAAGAGAAATATTCTCTCAATTGCAATCTTTATTTTCGGCCTTTGTACAGCAATTTTAATTATACTTGATTCGGCAACCGGCGGTTATATGAAACCGAAAAACTTTAATTCAACGAATAAAAATGACTTCAGTTATTATGGAGATTATAAGTCCGATTGGATTATCATGATATTTGGTTTAACTGGTATTGCCTATGGAACAGTGGAATCGATTCATCGAGTCATTCCGACTGACATTGTCGGAAATCATGTAGAAAAATTACAAAGATTCGATGCATTAGTTCATATTTTTTATGCAATCTCAGGGGCTTTTGGCGCGTTTGTGACCGGACTGGTTTTAATACCGAAACTTGGAAATAATTACGCATTTATTATCACGCCTATTCTGTTCACTGCATCGGGATTGATTTGGTTGTTTATGAATTCTTTAAAGAAAGTCAAGAGTAAACAAGGGGAACAAATTGTAGCGAATGGGAAACAATCGACCAGATCAAATTATTTAAGAATCATTCTAAGGAAAATTTGTGCTTGTGCACAATCTTTTTTCATTGGGGGAAAAATCATTTTTACCAATCGGAAATATATTTGGATATTCGGTTGTTATTCGATAGCACTCTATGCTCACCGTTATCTGGAAGATGGTATTGCACCACAAATCGCTCGACGATATTTAGGCAATTCTGCATGGTCAGAAATTATTATTGGGGGGTCAAACTTTGGTGAGTTACTTGGCTCATTTTTCATTCTATTCTTATCGAACTCAGTTCGAACACCAATACCGTGGCTAAGAATAAGCGCGCTAGTCTTACTTGTTATTTGGTATGTTCCATTTTATTATCCACCTGTTAATCAAAGTAGATATGCTTGGCTTGTTGCTGTAACATTTATTCCTATTTCATTCGGTTGGGCAGCGAGTGATGTTGCTCTTGTTGCACACATTCAATCGGCAATGACGCGTCTCGAACCCTTATACGAAGATGTTTCGGTACTAGGAGCAGTGATGTCATTTCTTTATTCATCGTATATTATTATTTATGCAGTTGCAAATCCATTTCTGGGAAAATTTATTGATAATACGTACAAAAATAAAGGAACAATAAGACCAGCACTTATTTACACAGCCGGTGTTCAATTTACAGTTGTAATGCTAATTATATTCGCATCAACTTTTATTCCGAGAGGTGCATTTGAATGGAATCCTACGATCGACAATGAAGATGATGAATCATCCGATGACACAGATAATTCGGATGAATTACTCGATATAAATCGTCGTGATGATGAACTGAATACAAAATAAATAAAGCGTTGTATTTGGTTCTTATAACTTTTTCCGTTTTATGTAAATAAAAGTAAAAGAGAAAGCCGATGTTTATATGCGCATATATATTTTTTATACTTATACCCAGGTCAACAAATCCAACCATCCGATAGGATTCCTGGTGACGGAATTGCATCGGATTCTGACTGGAAAAATCCAGTCATTTGTTGCAAATTTTATGAGCGTTATTTTTAGCTAAGTTCTATGATGACCCTTACAAAATCCATAAAATCCATGTTTCAGATCCGACAGGATCCGATCGGACTCGAGTATGAGATTCGCTCAACACGTGAGTGTACCAGATCCATTGTTCTTCACGTTAAGTAGACAGCCAGCTGTGAATCACAACAACATATATCGTTCAAACATAAATTCGCCATCAAAGCTTGGTCGATTTCATCACCATGAGAGAGATATATCAATTGTGATAAATGGTTATCAAATACCTCAGCATAGTCTACAGGTAAGAAAACATTGAGAAATATGTCCTATTTATGAAACTGATATTTTTGTATAGACGGTGCCAAAGAACACCCTGGACGATGGTTCCTGAAACAGAATTCCTAAGGAAACTCGCCATTTCCGAGCGGAGACGACCGTTTCCGTGCCAGATTGTTCGACCTGGGAATCGATTTGGTCGAACGTCAACGCAACAGAGTTAAAGATGCCAACGACATGATTAAATAGGATTATTTCAGCAAGTATACAGACAAAAGTTCCATTAACACATCAATATTTTTTACAGTGTCCATCATCAAACAGATGTATAGTATGCAAAAATAACTGAATTGCTTGGTGATGCCGATGCCGATGAAGACGGTAAGTGAGAATTGATACGTGTTTCGATGTAAATGCATTTCATTTAGGCATCGGTAGGATAACACCTGATGCATTAAAGGCAACCGTGAATTATCTATTATCACCGGAATATACAGAACAACAAGCACATGATACATCGGTGTGAAGCTAGCACGAAGGAGCTAGCACGAACAAACGATATGTTAGCTAAAAACTTTTTTACTAAGTATGTCCTCCCGCCCATGAGAACTACACCATTCGACTCAGAATTTAATTCTGCATCGAATGGTGATACTTTTATTCGCCGGACAAACTTTGGAAAAATTCTATCTGGATTATAAATAGACATAATTGAAACGAACAAAGATATAGATAGAAAATTTTCCAAAGTTTGTCCGGTGAATAAAAGTATCACCATTCGATGCAGAATTAAATTCTGAGTCGAATAGTGTAGTTCTCATGGACGGGACATACTTAGTAAAAAAGTTTTTACCTAACACATCGTTTGTTCGTGCTAGCTCCTTCGTGCTAGCTTCACACTGATACATGATACCAGTGATGGATTTACCGTAAGTCTATTAGAATGACTTTATTAGATAAATGATCTTCTGTCGTGCTTGCTTGATTTTGTCTGCTTTCAAGTTGCTGATAGAAGGAAAATAAAGCGAATACGTTTAGAGGACAAATGGTAATCTCTTAATCTTATACTTATGACTATGAAGGATATAGTCTACATATAAGGTGATTTCCGTTCCACAGATTTTCATTAGTGAGTTAACAGATTATTTCTTATGCATAATACTTTCGTCGACATAAGGTCTAATAACATTCTTCAGTCTTCAATGAAATCGAAAGACATCTTTCATAATGAATATTACATTTCAGTGCTGAAAGCAAAAGCTGGAGCTCCACCTAAAGATATTTCTTAATACCATAAGAGGCGTTGCTCGCAACATTATTCTTCAGAAGCAAATAGAGTATATAAACGAGAACTCATGCTGCAAAACCTTATTTACAAGTTATAATCTGATCTGACAGTGTAATCATGTCAACCTCATCCACTAACAAAGACATTCTTCTTCTTCAATCGATTTCTAAAGTTTTCAATGGTTATGTTATTTTGGCACTTATCGCCATTGGAACGATTGGAAATGTGTTGAATATCATTGTTTTTCTTCGACACAAAACACTTCGTCAAATGTCCAACTGTGCTTTCTTGATTACCTTCTTCGTCAGTAACCTGATATCTCTATGGGCATCTCGTTTTCAACGTGCCGTGTTAGCCATTACGGGAGTTGATCTTCTAGTCGGGTCAATCTTTTATTGTAAATTTCGCTGGTTGTTTGGTCGCTGGAGTTACAACATGTCATTCACATGCATTTGCTTATCAAGTGTCGATCGCTTTCTCAACACTTCACGAAGTGAATGTTGTCAAAGACTCATCACTTTTAAACGAGCTGTCGTCATTACAATTGTAATAAGTTTGGAATATCTGATCATTTTCATGCCAGATGCTATTTATTATTCTGGATATCAATGTACAGCATCGAGTAGTGACCGTGCTATGTATCAACAGTTCATAGTATATTACAATTTGATAATGACCAATAGCATTCCACCAGTGACTCTTGGCATTTTCTGTTTACTCACATGGTATAATCTTCTCTTCATAAAACGCCGAAAGAGCAATCGATTGTTTAATCAATTAAATCGAATGATGATGGCTGAATTTTCTGTGGTATTTTTCAGTTCGATACCAAACTTCTTATACAATATTTATGCACAGGTGACCCAATCTACTGTCAAATCCGACTTGAGAGTGGCACACGAAAACATCTGGAGAAATGTGTTTGTCACACTTAGTTTTTCATTGAATGTTGGAACATTCTATATCTATTTTTTGATGTCTAGCGCGTACAGACGAAAAGTGAAAGCAATTTTTTGTTGTAGAAAACATAATTAAACAGCGTCACGTAGAATAATTCTACAAAATTCAAAACTTATTTATCTATTCGTGTCAAATACATTTGCAGTACGATAATATCTGCATCCACTTATCGTAAAATGCAACGTTTCGTTGTTTCTGCCACCGTATCTTATTAGTCTTGCTGTTGCCATTGTAAAATAGTCCAGAGGTTCTAGAGTTTCAGAATAAACTAGTTCTGTGCATAACAACCAATACAAGTACTATGATTACATGTGAGTATATAGCTTGAGGATGAGGGTGTGGGTCTAGTACACATACGATTCACTATCTGACATGGCACTCAGATAACGATTCTAGTTCCACGTACTTCCGACACCACATTCTTTTTCAAAGACACGAGCACGTAATTTGAGGTGGTCGCGAAACTTGTGAAGTGCATATAGACCACCGAATCCAGTGCCAACGATGATTATATCGAAGTGAAGCTGATTTTCATGTGTATTTGGCCCCATACGTATTTTCTATTAGTCTCTTGAATGTAAATTTTTCGGAGGAAAAGTAGTGACGATCGACGAACGCACTTTTAACTCTCTTTTCTTTCTTTTCGTATCTCAAAGAGCTCAAACAGACAGAACGAATTAAAATCAAACTAACCAATGAAATCTATCGGAACGTTATTTTTAATTTATATATAGAACAGAGTTAAACCGCATAAGAAAGATGATCTAACTTAATGCGCATTGAATGCCCCAACAAAATGACATATCGTGTCACCAGTTGGACTAACATGTTGGTCGCCCTTCATACCAAGATTTCTTGCATCATATTCACCATGTACCTGCGTAAATTACGTGTATTCTCATTGATGATTTAAATACTTGGCATATGCAATACGTCTTTTTGTTATATCAAACCAACTTAATTCACTTTCCATGTAGCGTTGAGCGCTAATTTCTTTGCTTTTTCATTTTTTCTCTTGACTGATAGGGAAATCACGTGAACGATAACAGTTCACTTGTAGCTGTCGGGTCTAAATGTCAAACAAGCTTCATCTTACTTTTTATCCTGAATATCTACGTGAAATGGCGATGCATTTTTTTCGTAGGTTTTTCAAGTGTCAGTCGAAATGCATATAACTATTTGTGCAGCGCTGATCTTTGATGATAACTTATAAAGATAGATCTATTAGAAATACAAGTGAAATGTTGATTGGAACTATTCTTGACAATTTTATTTACAGAAAACTCGTGGCATATTAAAAAACCACTCTCAAATGAACTATTTCATGAAAGAAAAGATTTGAAAATCTTTTATTCCAGTGAGAAAATACTTGTGAAGAGTAATAAATGTTTTATAACCAAACGATTTTGATTCAGAAAGCGATATTTAGATAATTGTCGGCGAGTATTGATTTGATTTAATTGACAAAAATAACAGAAATGATAGATTTTATTATCACTGCACTACCAGTGACAATTCAAAGAAGAGTACTGTCACTATCATCTTTCATCTCATACTCAAATAGACTGGATTTCGTCTCTTTCATACTTCAGACAGAAGTTTATCTAAGAGAGAAATTACCAACTCACAGATTGAACATGCAACAACTATCGCTCCTGGAACTAAACCATCTATCTTCATCGAGACCCACACTTGAGCTCATTGATGAAACACACACTTGAAATATTCCCACACTTGTCTTTATGCTATTTTTCTTTTCTGTTCGCCGTTCTCACGAATGAGTATTGCACCATATCAAATTCGTTCCAATATAACACACTGCTCCATTCGGATTCTATACGGAGGTCCGAAAGTGATGGTTTATCATTTACCGAAAAGAAATTTCATATAATGACACCTAACATCACCATCACTACTCATGACCTCTTCTTTTTTACTCATTCAAACTACATTTCTTATCGAACAACCACAAAGACCGATCTTTCTATGCAGGATCGAAATTTGATCCTCATTTGTTTTCTAATTTCTGCAATACTTAGATTCAAGATGCGTACTCTTTTCAATAACTTAGTACTATTCTCATTCTCCTCAATCAACAGTTGATTTTGAAATATTCCACTGTAGAATTCTCTTTGTCTGATGATTATTCCTTTTCCTCATGCTTAAATAGACATTCTTGTGTTAGTTTCAATGTACATCACGATCCTGGTGAGAACTAACGAATGTATCATATTGTTGCGAGAATGAATCAAAATTTAAACTGATGTTAAACAGCTTTGCTGTAAAATCACATTTTCCAATGATGTTTTTAGGTATTCCGATCAGAAGAGGGATAGTCCTTTCAAAATTGAAAAACATCTACTACTAATGAAGATTCTTTTTGCATCCGTCGCAACAGTCCTATATTTCCTATATCTGAACGAAAAGAAAGATGTTGTGCTAAAGTTAACGGATTTTGCTTATAATTTCTTGCCTTTGGTCGAATGGTTTGACATTTGTAGTCCGATACAGTCGCCATCTAGTTGTTGTAGTATTCAATTTAATAGCCTTGACTTAAAACTTTCTCCTAATGTCTTGATTTCACATATTGCCATGCGTCTTAATAGTTTGCTGGATAAAAGAGGATTTGTGAAATGTCTGAAAAGCTATTTCGTTGTTTTTTCCTGATGGATTCACGTCACAACATCTCTCGAATTAAAGCATCAAAGGACAAGCAGAGCGATAAAAACATGCATCAGTTAACTTTAATACATACAATACGCTCAACTAAATTGTTTTTAAAAATACCTTTAGATTAAAAACGGTTAAACCTTACTGTTGAGCACCTTTATATTGAATGTGACGAAACACATTTCGAGAGATAATACTCCTTTTTTTTATCATAGTCCTATAAATACGCTGATAGCAAAATAAAATATAAGATATGTACACATGTTTTACGATTTGTGATGAAGAAGTGTTGGAGTAGATTATCTAAGGAAAATGATTACAAAGTTAGACAAAGACCTGGTCGTCTTTCTGATTATTATCTTAAAAATCAATCAATATTCATCAATCTACTCCATCTATCAATAGAATGAAACTGTGCTCTTTCATTCTTCTTGCATATGACATAATCAGCTTAGCTAGTCAACTTTATTCTTTACTTCATGGACCGTGAAACCTGAACAGAAGAAATTTATTATTAATCATGCCATTCTTTTTCTTCTCTTCATAAATTATCAATTCTATTCACGAAGATTAGCCTTGAAAAAGAAGCGTCTCAGACTCGTGACGTTCCTTTTTAGAAGTTATGTTCGGTGATAAGCATCAGTTCATTGGATTTCTTCTCACCTCACTGTCAATTGGTGAAATCATCTTCGCATGTTTATTGACATCGATCGTTTTGGTTTTGATTATGTTTCATTTATTCTATAATCGAATCGAACAAGACGATCGAGTTATACTTATTCTCTCGATAAATATCTATCTGTCTTGTTTGATCTACATGCTTTTATTTTTTATATTCCTTCTCCGATCCGCATTAGGTGATATCTATCATATTGAATTCGATACCATAGGATGCGCTTTTATCGGATACATATACGCTGTTAGTCTTTGTGTTTTATATCTTTCATTTACCAATCAAGTAATGCATGATTTTTCGATTAAAAAGATTCGAAGTAGGCTTGCTTTTTTTCATCTAGGCTTTCTTTCGTCTTTGTCGTATTGTTTATCCACAATATAAATGTTTGCAAACTTCGAATTTATACATTCTCATCGTCCCTATACAAGCCATTTTTGCTTCAATACTTCTGCTACCTATTTATATTTGGAACGATATCGTTTATCTACCGAATGATCATTTTTGTTTTGTACCAATTTCGAACGTTCGAGGCTATCTTTGGATATTCTTGAGCGTTTATGGTATTCCTGTTGTTTCATTGTTGTTGATATATATTCGCATAACGATTTACATTCGTCAACAGTCCAATCAACCAATTCGTATAAAACGAAGACAAAAACGAGACCTAAATGCCATTCGCGGGATATTCCTTCTCGTTGGCTTTCTTTTATTTCTGGGAATTCCAACGCTCATCTTAATGATCATCATGTTCATTACCGGTGATGAACATCCATTAACGTTTCGTGTGACGTGTTTATCAATAGGTACATCGATGGTAGGACTCAGTGTAGCTATGATAACTTCGATTCCACAATTGAAAACTATCGTTTGGAAAGGCTCTCAATCAGCGTAAGTTGTAATGTTTCGTCAAATATCTACTCGAATCTATTTTTCAATAATTAATACAACGACAAACATAAAATCACAATAAATAATTCGAAATATACAAAACAAGTTTTCTTTTTTCTAAAACAGAGTTCATTTATTTCTTTCGCATCGAAGCAGATCTTGTTGGTTGTTTTCGTGTCGCGACTGTCGCTTGCTTTTTTGTTCGTTTTGCAGGTGTTGAGGCTCGTTTTCGCTTGGTTCCAATCAAGTTGTCAGTATTCGTTGTATCGCCAGTTTGCTTGATTAATGTATAACCACCTTTGAGTTTTTCTTTAATCTTTGTTTGGTAATACTTTTTTGCTTCAGATTGATTCGAGAATTCTTTATACAGAATGATTGCATCGGAGTCGGTTTCGTTTAGTAAGCCGTATTTGGTTTTTGTTGACTTGTTTTCAATAGAAATTTGCCAATATTTTTTTTGTTCATCATGTTCCAGATAAGTTGTATTGGCGGTTGAGGAAGTTTCGGAAAGATTGCCTTGAAGTTTTTCTTCGTAATGGAACAGTTTCTTCAATCGGTCTTGATCGTTCTTTTTCAAATCAGCAAAACCTTGCAGATCATTCGTCACGTCGGTAATACGTTTCTTCTTTTCGTTGCCTGTTCGCAAGTAATTGATCATACACGGAACATGATAATAAACAGGCATCAATTGTTCTTCACGTGTCGAAGATTGAGGTATGAATGGATTACGAATTAAACGAGATAAACGAAGTGTTCCCTTTGAAATCTCGTTTTCACAAGATTTGCCGTGGCACTTTGCATTGCTGCTCTTGGCATAGTCACAACCAAAGGAAATTGTAGTATTTTCATCACTATCATCTGCGGTAGTCTTTGAAGCCATGTATAGTATTTTATTCGATGGAACAGATGAAACTATCTGGAAAAAGAGTTTTAGTGAAACAAGACTAATATTTGTCAATTTTGTCCTTCAACCGTCTGTCATGCCAATGAGTGCATTCAAACAACCAATGAGATTTCCGTCCGATCAATTCTTGGATTTTCGACACAATAAACAATTAATCAATAGGAAAGTATATTGTGGAATGTAACCTTATCTCTGAAAAACGAGGAATTGAAATCGCATGCTCACTCTTACTTCGTTTTCGGGCTGTAGGTAGCGCTAGTAGCACAGTCGCTTCCGGTAAGCCGCGCTTCAAAAAGTCTCTGTGAATGTAAGTGTGTTATCGATTTTATAACTTTCGGTATCTCCGAATTGGTATTGAATGCCGAGAGTTGAAAGTTTGTAACAAGTAAAACTGTCACTGCATAGCATAAAACGATTTATTTCTGGAATAAAAAGTAATCTCTAATCCGCGTTCCTCGTTCAGTTTTTATCTTTTATCTGCGGCGAATTCTTTTATTTCGCCATCGGCTGTATGACTTCATCATGGTCGACGACTTTGGCCGAAATCTTGTTTTTGGCCATGGTTGAGGATTACAATCCTGGACATTGTGTTCCCATTGTTCGATTATTTGTTTCTTGACTTCGTCAATAGGAATTTCATTTGTAGTCGACCGGATTTTCTTACTGATGAATAAATAGAAATTTCCCGAAACATTTCCATTTTGTTCTTCGACGATTTTTTGAAAATATTTGTAATTGAAATTTTCGTTTTTGATGATATGTAAGCGAATATTGTATTGATCTTCTAACTTACGTAGATGTTCGCCTTTCTCTCTAATAAAACGGCTCATTAATCGACGACTTTCTTTCAGTAAGAGCGTCAATTCGAATGGAAGACACACGAATTGAAATTGATCTTTGTCATCAAAGGCAAATTCTCTTTGAATAAATCGAAATTCACTGCTTCTTCCCATCTTTCATTGATTTCTTGTTCGAGCTCATCGATTAGGGTTGCATCTGTCGTCAATTTCGATTTTCTTCGGATTAACACGCGAAGTTTGTCATCAGGAACTATTTTTTCTATGTCATCCTTGTTTTCACCATTGATGCTCTTCTTGACAAGTGCCTTGTTGGACGAGGTGTCGATAATGTGAATGTGAACATGGTATTTATTTCGAAGAGCATCGAAATTGTGACCTCTTTTTCCAATAAAACGAGAAATTCTTGCGCGACGTTCTTGAGAAGACGTTCCCGCTTCGAACGAAAGTTTAACAATACGGAAGAAGGCGTCCAATGATTGATGCGTTTTATCCGACACAATTTCATCGCATTTGCTAACCAATACATTGAGATCGATCACATTCAAACCTAACATAAGAGCAGACTTATCAAAAATACTCATCAATTGGATACTTACCTATTTTTCCATCACACGAACAACATCGTTTTGGCAATTCATGATAAACACGTTTGTTAAACTTATTTGAACGTTGAATTATATTAACAGCATGATTAAATTTCGATCGGTACTTGGAACTATGCACAATACATCCGTCAGTTGCTGTTATTACTTGGAACGTTTCCATGGCTAAAATATATAACACGTCAGTATTCATCTTCACAACGATTGTCTAACGATTCGTTGAATATGTCTCTATGAACATCATGTTATACTTCTGATACTACGCGGGCAAACATACCTTTCATGAATTCATCGATGGGATCTAGTATATCGGATGGTGTGAATTGATCATCTGTGTTCTCATCGTGTATCATCGGACTTGAACGTGGCGTTTCTTCATGATCTGTACTATACTCTTCTTTCGTCGATAAAATTCTAAACACATTCAGATGATGGTCATTTAATTCTTAACTGAAATAATTTAACAAACTTGTTCATATTTGATGAGAAGCCATATTTAATGGCAGTAGATAATGACCACTTGATGTCTTCACACATTTGACGGATAATTTCAAGATCGATCGGTTTCAGTTCTAAGAATGGCGATTCTAACGAAAAAAAATCTGAGTGAATGCTTAAATTTACCTTCCTTTCCATCACAAGAACAACATAGTGCTGATAACTCTTGAAAAACATCATCCGAAAACCTGTTTTCGCAGCGGAGCTGATTAATAGCAGTTTGAAATTCCGATACATGTTCAGAGCAATGTACAATACATTTGTCAGTTGCCATAAAAACCGTAATATACTCTAAAGCCAATGTACGAATACATATTTATATACGAAAGAAGAAGAGCAAAGGAAAAAGCACACTATTTGTTATCTTGATAAGAATCTAACTAGTATGAGGCAAGAAACAAACGAATCACATTTGAAGGAAAAAAAGAAGAAAAGAAAGGAATTCTCCATTTCCAATGTAGGTATTTGCTACAAGCGCATGCAGAAATCAACAGACTCTTTCTACAAATGGTGCCATTACTGCATCTCGACGTTACCAAGAAAAGGAATAATCATCAGACAAAGAGAATTCTACAGTAGAATATTTCAAAATCAACTGTTGATTGAGGAGAATGAGAATAGTACTAAGTTATTGAAAAGAGTACGCATCTTGAATCTAAGTATTGCAGAAATTAGCAAACAAATGAGGATCACATTTCGATCCTGCATAGAAAGATCGGTCTTTGTGGTTGTTCGATAAGAAATGTAGTTTGAATGAGTAAAAAAGAAGAGGTCATGAGTAGTGATGGTGATGTTAGGTGTCATTATATGAAATTTCTTTTCGGTAAATGATAAACCATCACTTTCGGACCTCCGTATAGAATCCGAATGGAGCAGTATGTTATATTGCAACGAGTTTGATATGGTGCAATACTCATTCGTGAGAACGGCGAACAGAAAAGAAAAATAGCATAAAGATAAGTGTGGGAGTATTCCAAGTGTGTGATTCATCAATGAGCTCAAGTGTGGGTCTCGATGAAGATAGATGGTTTAGTTCCAGGAGCGATAGTTGTTGCATGTTCAATCTGTGAGTTGGTAATTTCTCTCTTAGATAAACTTCTGTCTGAAGTATGAAAGAGACGAAATCGAGTCTATTTGAGTATCAGATGAAAGATGATAGTGACAGTACTCTTCTTTGAATTGTCACTGGTAGTGCAGTGATAATGAAATCTATCATTTCTGTTATTTTTGTCAATTAAATCAAATCAATACTCGTCGACAATTATCTAAATATCGCTTTCTGAATCAAAATCGTTTGGTTATAAAACATTTATTACTCTTCAAAAGTATTTTTCTCATTGGAATAAAAGATTTTCAAATCTTTTCTTTCTTGAAATAGTTCATTTGAGAGTGTTTTTTAACATGCCACGAGTTTTCTCTAAATAAAATTGTCAAGAATACTTCCAATCAACATTTCACTTATATTTCTAATAGATCCATCTTCATAGGTTATTATCGAAGATCAACACTGTATATTAAATCATATGTATTCCAGTGTTTCAGGACAAAATAGCTCAGGTGTGTGTTCAGCTTGTGGTTAGGCACAACTTCAACTAAGGTATAACGAGCTCTTTTAATTCTGGACATATATATATCTTCACCAGGTTACTCTTATGACCGTTCAAATGTACGGCAAAATCCGGCCAAGTTCGCTCTTGTAGTTCCTAGTGTGATTTCAAGATTGGTTCCAAGGATAATATTTTAATGATACTTATCGACATTCTGACTCGAATAGGTTCAAATGAATATCGTGATTGTTTTCTGTTGAGTTAAATTATGTTCTACACGATGAAAATTTGCTTTTCTGTCCTATTATTGTTAAAGTTTATTAAAAATAGAAATCTGTTTTTAAGTGTTATTTCTATTGAAGGTTCATTTTCAATCAATTTAATTCTATATACATTTAAATGTCAACTTCAACATTTCGTTTTTTTAATTAAATGAAGTAGAAAAGATTTGTTAGCGTCGGAATAATCAGTGAGTCAAGCACGAGCTGCTGAAAATCGATGATTTCATCCATAAAGTACATATGAGTTCTTGTAAAAACATTTATTTCTTGAAAAACTCTTTAAGAATAAAGAAGTTCGCCACAAAAAGTGTTTGTATTGCTAAAACGTAACTTCATCAAGAGAACTATCACCATCAACTATCGAATATAATGCTTGCTATATTCAAAATTTCCAGTCACCTTCCATGCCAGTTCGGAAGCAAGATGCAAAGGCAGTGTTCGAGCTAGGATGAGTAAGACCCTTGGACATAAGATCCAAAAGAATAGCTAACAATTCACCATCATTCATCATTACCTTCAATTCTACACTCGAAGTCGCCATTAGGAAGCTGATGACTCATGTTGATTTTACCTCTGGGTTCATTGGACTTCGGCAAAGCTATGGATATTTCTTGTGCGTCTTTTCCTGAAAGAACATTCACTAGTTTAAAATCGAAGATTACCAGTATTGTAAAAATTACCTATTTGACTTAGTTTAGCAGTGTTCAATTTTCCCCACGAAACTGCATAGATTCTTTTCTATCCCATGACTTAAACTGATATGGGAAGGATTTAGATGCTTTCTTTCAAAGTTAGAATCTTGTTCACAACCGAGAGTATTTCTGCACACACAGTATATTCATAACTTGTATCTGATAGGAATGGTTAGAATATCTCAAAATGAAGCAAATCTATGAATGCTGCAATAATATTGCAGCAATTATTGACAGTCAAACACAAAAATATACCTTAGTATATGAGCAATGAAGGTATATTGACTTTTTTGTTGAACATTACGACAACAAGTGATCATCTCGTTTCTTAAATTAATATATATTTCTTTGACGAGAAAATTATACACTCAACTAGTACTCGAAAAACGGTATCGCTAGTCAACGGTTCGTTTAATCTACTAGGCAGACCGAAAGCAAATTTCGTATTCTTTTGTTTAGAAAATCAAGAGTTTGGCAGAATTTACGCGGCATATTGGACTTAACCTAACATTATCAGTAGCAATTCTTTGCACAATCTGTTACACTAGAACCCATCGATCTTCGCCAAGTTCTACAGATATGAACGCATAAACTAACGAGAATACGCAAAATCCGCTATTATTCCTCAAAGTGTCAAGGTGAACACGTGTTCATCACTGGAAAAATTTGGTTACCTCAAAACTATCACGCTGTCATGTGCGACTTAGTTGGAGGTGAGGAAATTTCTCAGTAATAGATAATTTTAATACGAAAATGATTATTCGAGGAAAAATATCACGTTACAACATTTTTCGCAAATCGCTACATGAAGTTTTTAACAAGATGGATAAGCCGAAAGAAGAAATCATTTCGAATGGAATAGGTTATATAGAAGAGTAGACTAGATTCTAAAAAAAGCATTGAACTGTATACTGACTCGGATGTACTTTAATGTATTAGAATTCCATATTCAAGTAAGTTACTGAGTTGCTCTTATGCAGAAGGGAGAAAAATCTTAATAAACATTTGGATCAGGTTGAAGATGCTAGTCAAATGTGTTGGCTTACGGGTATGCATCTGCTTCAGCTTCAGAAATATCCAATGTCGATTTTTTCGCTCATCTGACTCAACAAAATCGACTGTGAAACATACACCAGGAGATAATAATTCCTCTTCTTCATCTGGAAATTGTGAGAATGGTTGCAGATCCACAGTAAAAGCATGCTGAATCTCCATGATAAACAAAGTATTGCCATACGCCTCTGCAACTTCTCGATTTCTACTGCATGAAGTAAATGCTGGAAAGGAACGATTTGGTCTACGGCTCTGTAAGCAATCATCCTTGAAAAACGATATTGTCTCTTCTGTTAATTGAGCTCCGCGATATAGTATCGTTTTAGGTTTAACTGAATTGTAATTCGATGGACTATCCCATAAGAGTAAACTAAATGGACCCAATGTACCAATTTTACTACGCCAAATGTGTTCGTGACCGGCACTTCCTATTAATCGCATCGTTTCATTCAACTTCATGTATACAAAACTGGTCAAAGAGTAAATATAAGCACAACGCTCCCACACTGTATGCATATCTGCTTCTTTTTTCTTTAACAATAATTCTGCTATTTTCTCACCTTCAATTTGTTTTCCAAGTAATTTACCTTCTTCAACAATACCTTGAGCAGCCATTTCCACCAACACGGAGATAATCCTGTTGTCTTTAGATGGTAATTGTTGTGGTGTAATATTTAAAAACTTCACTGTTTCCTTTATGAATGGTGAAATCCAACCATATGTTCCAGTAAATGGACGTTTAGGATCAATAGGAACAAAGGCGAATCGATCTTCCCGAGCAGAATAATCGTCTTTGTCGCGTATTACTCGTTTAACAGGGCGTTGCTTCTTTCCATCGGTATTCAAAATTTGAAGATTGCAATGAAAGTCAATATGATAATCGTCAAGCATCGCGTGCGTTTTATTTGATGCAAACGCTTCTTCAATAATTATATTTTCCACATCAGAATATACAATCCATTCCACGATCAATGACTTTGCAAATGGGTTTTTGTTCGAATTCCACATCCATTGAACACATGTAGAAGGCGTACCTGACGAGCCCGTCGAGCACGCCATATGTATCTAAAAGTTAGTTTAGCTAGTGTGGTTATAACATAACTCTCATGTTTGGTATGCCAAAAAAAAAAGAATGCGCACAGGAACTTCTTATTTCGAAAGATGTTAGATGTGCTGTCATCAGACTTCCTTTTCGTGCTTCGATTTGTTTCGATTAACACGTGTACGAACCTTATCAAGTATTTGCACAAACATGCTGAAGAACGATGGCTTTTTGTATCAAACTGGTTAAGAAACAACGGATAAGCGCATCAAAGATAAAATTTTGGAGTTCTGTGTGTGACATTCGCATCGATAAATTGTCATAAAAAAGAAAGGTATGTTGAAATAATTTGTGATAGGAATATTTATTATTTAGATGTTGTATTACTACACATAACTTTGAATAATCTTATAAAGAAAAGACTTTTCCAGGTTAGAGAAGAGTGCTTTATTTATATACCAGCTGGATTTTATTTGAACATTACTAATAAAAATCCGTATATTTTGAACAATCAACTACAATAACTATACGGAAAACATCGGTGGGTCCTGCTGTTTAACTTGTGCAGAATCATTATGTGTAATCAGTGAAATTGTCGTGTTTTGTCCTATGAGATCGTCATCATCAACTTCATTTGGTTGTTTATCTGATATAGTGCTCGTCTTTAAAACAACATCGGACACAGCAGCAGCAGAGAATCTTGCAGAACTATATAATTCTTCATTCTTCTTTTGTATTTTTTCAATATGAAGATTCAGAATCATTCGACAGTATGTAATATGCCCCAAACCTAAACATCCCACAATTGCACAGGGTATTAATATCGCTTTATCATATAACCATTCATGAGCGAACCAACCAACAACAGAACCAAACAGAAAGGATAAGTATAGAGGTACTAAGATTTTTAATTTCCACAAGTTTTTACGGGTTCGCTTGTGAAAAACAGCTTGTCCAAGAATAAGTCCAATGTCTGTCATTGTTCCTGTTACGTGTGTCGTACGAATAACAGCACCTGAATACGTCGTACACATACCATTTTGTAGTCCAAGTCCCAAACATACTAAATATGCACTCGGTGATAATGCTTCCCAATGAGAATTCAATGAAATATGAACATTCTAAAAAGAGAATTCGTTCACAAATTTGTGTTCCATGTTTTTCTCTCCTTACTTCGAAAAGACTGCCAATACCGAGAGCGATGGATTCAAGAAAGAGTACAAAGCCATAATGATGTTGAATTCGAAATGAAGAACCGCCAACAATTGCAGCCGAGATAAAACTTCCCAAAGCGAATGAAAAGATCAATAAAAAGAAATGAAAGCCAATGTCAAAGCGGCCTTGAGCGAGAATAATCGCCATTTTCGACGTACTACCCGTCAGAGCAGTTAGTGGAAGACGAAATGCATTTACAATACAAATTGTATTCACGTATCCTGCGACAAATGTTAGAAGACAGGCGATGCAAACTAGAACCGATAATGCATGCCAATGCCATTCACGAATATACCGAGTCGGAGATATAATTGTTGATCGACGTGACCGTCGGAAAGGATCCAGTTTCTGAAAACAATGAAGAAAACCATCTCACACACATGATTCTCATTGAATCGAAATGTCTACGTACGGCCATCGGTTGTTTCTGATGTGAAGTCATTTGTAATAACTACATTCATAGAGTTATACTCGATGAAATATTAATATTTATCATAACGGTTTTTCTATTTATCGAACTCTCTATACGTAACAGCCATTCATGTTGAGTAATTGTTAAAAATATTATTTAACTTCATCAAAGAGACAAGAGCAAGTACGTAATGCATAATCAATAATTGTAATGGTTGATGTGTTTTATTTATGTAAGCAAGAGAGATATAAAGAAGCGTCTTCCTTTCGCTCTCTCTCTCTGACCAAAAGATACATTACATGATTATATGTGTATCTTTTATCAAAACTTTCAATCAATGTGTACAAAGAAGTATGTTTGAAAAGGCAAGACAATACATAAATATGAGGTGATGATGAATCATAGCCTTTTCTCGCCAAAAGCATACGATTCCGATACTGACGCTGGACTTTTCAGTTCTGCATCGTTTGGCAGAGAATGTGTTGAAGTCGATGTTTGACTGAGATCATTGTTTATTAGCTCATCCGCGTTTGTTGACTTGCGATAACACACGGCAAGACAACTAAAACATACTGTAGATGAACACAAGTACAGAAAACATTAACGAACCGTGGTCCACAACAGCAGAGCAGAAGCACTGCGAGTATTGGACCAATCCAAAACCACGGCGAAGTCGATCCTACGGAGAAGATTTTGAAATTTTCGTAGTAACAAAATAATCTTACTCGATGTTACCGGTGCTGCCGAAGTTGAATTATTATCATAACTACGGAAAAACTATTTACAATGATTATAGAAGCTACTAAAACACTTACACTCACTGTTCAGGACAAAGTGGAGCATCATTTTCAGCTACTGTAAGTGTAGCACAATATTGTTTCAACATTAAACAAACCTGTCCATTGCCACAGCACAAAGTACTCGTGATCCGACTTGTGTTGGGACAGAAAGTTTCAACAAGAAGTGGAATTTCGTATGATTTCTCTACTTGAACACCAACACATTGAGTAGATTCAATAAGAGGACTCGTCAAACGTGGTACATGACACGCTAAGCTATCTTGGACATGAACTAAAAATTGAATTGGAATACTGCTCAGTGGTGTCTTTGAAGTTGAATCAATGAAATCTACAATCTAGGTTGACATACAGTGTACACTCATTTCATGCGCTCGTTATTTTCTTACCATAACTGCAACGATGTACCAATCAGATGACTCACTACCAGTGATAAGTAGTGTACAATTCAGTAATATTAATGTTTCGTTAGGTAACGAGGCTGGTGGACATACATTGACACATTCTGGTGAACCTTTAGCAAATCGACAAGGAACTTCATCATTATCGGGATCGATTGTTCGTATAACAATTGCTTGCCTTGTGAGCGTGAGAGTGCTGCGGTGAGTGTTGTCGTGGCCACCGACGTGGACTTACGCTATACCTGAATACTTGAATAGCTGAATTGGATTTTCGAGTTTGACACTACTGACAGACTTGGGTCAATTCTGACGACCAACACCCAGATAGGTCGCTGGAGAATTACTGGTCGAAAAACATAATCCTATCACATCAAGAAATAACTAGGAGTGAAATCTGAAGTAAATGAACAATATTGGTCAAGGGAAAATGTAGTGATCATCAACGTCAGAGAATTTCACTCAAAAATGGAATATATATTCATCATCAGTGAAAATCAATGAATAAAACGTGTAAAAATTGGAAAAGAACTATGAAAATGTTCTTCAAATATTGCCTTTAATACAAAGCGAATGAAAAATAGAAAAAGCGATAATTGAAGACATGTTTGGTTGATCAATGATTTTGATCGTGAATTTCAATCCAGAAGAGAACTTCATACCGTTCTTCAAATATCTATTGGCTATCAAGTAGCCCTGCATACCCATTTCTCTGCAATAATCTTTAAGTCAACAAGAGAATGACTTTTATTAGGATAAACCATCACAATTCACGAAACAATAGCAGGAACTCCACTGTATACGAAGGAAATCTAATCAAAATAGAAACGATCCGGACAGAGCATATAATCGACGCTGTTCTTTACGAAAAATTCTCTAAATCAATTCGTTAGAATATGTATATTGATTTTCTGCGGAAGAAAATGATATCGGTTGTCGACGTTTTCGTTTAAGATCAATGAGAAAAATGTTGAAGCAATTAATTAAAATGAAAAGTGATGGTTATTTCAACGCAGATGACACGAAACGTTAGACAAAAAATTCCTAATTACAATAAAATACAAGAACACCATCGGGCAATGGAATGATTTTTTTATCGAGCAGGACACCCTCTGACCGTACGGTCCTAAAGGGACCATTAGAGATTAACTTTGAGCAATCCAAAAGATATCGAAATATAAAATATTTAAAAAAAATTTTACCCACGCACAGGCAAAGATGAAAAAGTGCAATATAGATGCACCTAGACGAACCAATGAAAACAAAAAACGAAGCAAATAAGATAGAGAGACAGATAGAGAGGGAGAACCCTCTAAGCCGCAATAAGCAGACAGAAAAGAAAAGGCCCGGATTTTCACATTATGCTGGGAAATAAAGTAAAAGCTTAAGCAGAGTTCATGTACCAACCCTCACCCCAAACAGTTCCAAGCTTAATCGGTTCCGTTAATTGTAGTGAGAGCTTCCCGTCGAGGTGCTACCTCCTTGACCATATCTGTGCTGAATGTTTTCCTAAAATTTTCCAACGCTTTGCTTTGTTGCATTAACTGATGCTGCATGTTTATCATCTGTTCTTTTATCTTCCCATCTGTATCTGGGCTTATTGATGTAATTGGCACTCTGTGTTTGGTAACGTCATTATCCAGGGCCTGCACCTTTTTAGATACAACCCCTATAATCCACGCTGCTCCATACTTCTGTAATCCCCAGATTACGACGACAACAAGCATTACCCCCCGCATAGTAGTAGAAGCAGTAGATCTCTCCAAGAACGATGCGGCATTGGTGAATCATAAACATGTTTTGCTATTTCCTTCGATTTATCTACTATCTCTTTCACATGACTGGAATTCGCATAGTTGTTTATTATCAGGTTTACTTTGTTTTCAATGTTCTTGATTTTGTTATTATGGTTCGCGATTGTATTAATAAGTCCTTGGTTTTTGTGCTCATTTACCGATGCATCCCCATCACCCTGATGTATGTTATCGTTCAGCGCTTTCTGTAACATATTTTCCAGATCGGTGTGTGTTAGACGAGATTTGGATCGACCAACAGCCCTCAATGCAATGATTTTCTGTGTGTCATTGATTTTTTTATCGAGAGTATTTAATGATTCATGGATCTTCGTCATTGATTGCGCGTGCCGGTTTGTTTTATCGAGTAGTGCAGTGAAATTAGTTTGACTTGATTTTTGCAGATTTTCGATAGTTGATAAACGCTCGGACAACAAGGCCATATTCGTTAAAATTGCTCGACGCCGCCAGCCTTTTGTTGTATCATCAACATGATAAAAAACAATCTTCCATGGTTCAGTAATGCGTTGAGAAAATGAAATCGACATTGTACTTGATCTTGCAAATGCTTGAGAATATCCGATTGCACATTGACCGCCATTGAAAATCCGGCGAAACCGATACACGAGAGTGCCATTATTATCAGTGTTGAAAGGTCACTATCGTTTATTTTTCCTAAATGATTTGTCTGAATAGATTGTATCAACCGACAGAAATCAGATGGATAAAATGGTGTCGAAAATAATCGAAAGGATGCCTTTAGACGAAGTAAGTGACGGGTGGTTAAAAATGCCAAGAGTCTTTCTAGCTGCAGTAGCTTTTGTACGACACCGTCCACTTTCAACGTGCTTTCAAAAAGAACATATCGATGATAAATTGTCGTTAATTTTTCATCTTTGTAAAGTTAAATGTCGTCGTCGATCGCAGCAGGTGATTGACCAGGAAAAACCATTTCAGTTGAGTTCAATAGATTGGCCAAAATCTGATCGAGGACTTTTTCTTTTTCAGCTTGAAGTGGTGTCTGTCAGTTGCCAATAATGAATAGATCTTCCTTTAAACTCGGTGGAATATTCAGTCGCAGAGATTCATTGAAACGAAAGCGAAAGCAAAGATCTGTCTCTAATTGTTCAAATCGTGTATATGGATGTTGATCAATCGATAGCATCTGTTTAGTTAAATCGAAAACTAATCTTGATTCTTTGTTATTGGAGAAGAATATACGAGATCGATGATGCAATTTTGGTAACACTATACATTGACAGATGCTTGCTGTTAAATGCGAGAAGACTATTTCACCCGTTAATTCTTCAAATAAGTATGGACTTGAAGACCGTGGCATGGATCCCCAGGTGGATCATTTCGGCGACTGGGTCCGTTGAAATCTGAATCGGATCCGGTACAGCTCTTCTCGATTCCAGCAGGTTCCTTGCCGCCGGATTCCGGCCGAAACCGACCGTGCCATAATAACCTGGGGAAGTTGGTTTAATCTTACAGTTCTTCTAGAATAAAACCCATTTATAAATAGGTGATAGAAATCGAACTAATTCTTCACATAATACGATAGGAATATTTTAAAAATACTGTTAATCTTTGAAGCTCATTTATTGTCTAAAGTTTCTTTTAACGCAAACATTAAGTCAAAGAGTTATGACAATGGCACAAACCATTACCGACAAGATCGTACAGTCGGTCCTTCTACACGATATGCACACAATACACATACACACACTGCACAGCATAGACTGTAGGTGAAGGCGGAAAGCTGTCTAGATAGTTTCGAAGTACCTACATAATCAGATCTAGATTATAGGCAATCCTCATCGTTCATTGACAATGTCTCTGGACAAAAGAATAGCATTGGGCATTGGCATTAGAACTGATGGTTCACTATTCGACGATCTTTTAGATAAACCAATAATTATGATGCAGAAAAGAGGTCACTGATGTCTTTCGAAACCGAGATGCGAGTCAACCAAGAAAAAGATAGAACAATAACGAATTGTTCCTCGATTCATCCATAGGAAAACTTTTATCGAAAAGGTCGGAATGATTCGTCGGTTTCTCTTTCATCCTTCATTAGAAAACATACGATCTCAAGTAGCGAAGTTGATCGATCGAAATCTTCAATCAAGCAAAAATTCGGTCATTGATATGAGCGAACGATCATTCCTGTTTTGTGCCAATCGCGAACGTTCGAGGTTATCTTTACGTTGATGAAGTTAGCACCATATTCGAGTAAAAGCTTCCCATATTCGTTCAGGAATGCGTTCCAAGTAGAACTCAATGAGCTCTATCCAGTGGTATGCTCAGTTGCGACACAGTCCCAACTTTGGTTTTTCGGATCAAAAGGCTTTGCTCTTCATTGTTTGACAACTGAAATGAATTTTACTCGACTTTATATAGTAGCAAAAACTGTTTTCGCAAGTTATCCAATACTAAACTAAATTATTAATTTTCTCCGACGAAATAATATTTACTCGTTTCAATCAAGTCTTAGAAAAAATGTGCACAAATACAAATGAACTCTTCAATTACTCAATATTGACTTCGTAATGCAAAACAACTACAACGACTCGATTCAGTGGGTTATTTAATAGTTTTCTCTGCAATCTGTTTAGCATTTGAGCAAATCGAACAGTCTCGGAGATTTTGTTCGTTTGGAAATCCTACAGTATAATATCCTCCATCGAACATAGATAAATTAAATTGACTCCAATTATGAAATGTTGATTCATTCAAATTCATCTTTTTCATTAAATATTGAACCCAAGTATTGACAATTAAACATGCTCCAGATACACAAACACCAATCCAACTACCGACTGTTCTCGTTGGAAATGTTCGGTCTTTTGGTATAAAACCAATCGATTGATGTTTTTGTATTGATTCGGGAAGAAGAAATCGAAGCACCTTTTTTTGGTAGAGAGGCATAAACAATGTTGATAATTGACTTGGTGAAGGTTGATTTAGATTTAATTCATTGAGAACTTCGTTTATGAACAATTGTGATTGTTCACCTGAGATGAAACACATGTCTCTGAGAAACAGCTGAATATCATTTGTATTTTCCAAGTCTTTAACCGAGAATTTGAATGAATCATTTGTAGAATTATGGCATGCCCAACATGAATCATTCGATAAACCAGAAAATAAATTTATTTCAATGTTATTCGCATACGTTGACCCGGCTACATACGAAATACTCAATGATTTGCACAACGAATTGACAGCATGGTCAAATACTGCCCCATAATCAATATTGTTAAATATAACCGTACATTTCTTCGCAATATCAACAACAGACGACCAATTGAGCACTGCATCCAAATGATAATAATAGATATTTGTTCTTAAATTATGCATTTCTTTCAAATGTTTCGCCGCAACTTCTACTTTGGATTGACCAACATCTAATCGGCTAAACAATATCTGGCGATTCAAATTTGATGCATCAATTATATCCCGATCAAGTAAATATATAGTATCGACACCTAATCTTACTAGAGACATCGCAATGCTACTGCCAATTCCGCCAACACCTAAGACAAAAGCATGTTGTTGTTCAATTAATGTTTGATCGAAATTTTTCATAACTCGTTGTCGATCGAATACATCTCCATGTATTTCGACGGGCGGTTGTTCTCCATCGGATATCACCGAGTTTAAACTGTGCTTACGCGTTGCATTAACTTCTACTTCATCGGACATTTTTGAAAACTGTCAGACGACAAACTGAAAGGTGTGAATACGTAAAACACGTGTGTGTTTGTTGTGAAATTTTGATTACCAATGAAAGAAAAAACCTTTTTAGTCAGGTGAAAAATTTCGAAACGCGACAATATTTGATTTTAATGCTATTTTATGATACTAAAATAAAGCATATTTTCAATTATGACAAAAAAAAAACAAGTACCCTAAAAAACACAAATTTCAACAAATTAAACATCTGTTTCACTGTTATATCTCATTATTTCTGGCAGAAGAGAATCGCGTTTTTTTGCCCTTGCTTGCATCCAAAACTGTGGTACGAAGCCAAGAAGATAAAGAAACGGTGACGCCGCAGCAATATACTCCGGAATTCCTTCTTTGCTTATTAACCAATAAGCAAACGCGGCAATAAGTATCAAGCTGCAGATGAAAAACCAGATTGGCCAAATCACATTCGAGTGTTGTGGAGCATTCGATCGTTGAATAAATAGATATAAAACAAGCATTGTTTGAAAAAAACAATACAAAGAAATAAGACCAAACATTCCGAATGCGCCTGTTAGATGTATTGTAACGTAACTTTCTATACTAAAAGCTGCCATGAGAAGCATGAAGATACAGGCGAGTAATGCCAGAGAGTGGACGACGAATACGATGGCTCGATGAATAAGATATTGTGATTGGAAGAGAAATTGGAGTCTGCCGATGGTAATAATCAAGAATTGAGGTGCTAAGAGTGTAAATCCACCAACGAAATAATAATACGCTTCTCCTGTTCCAAGTTGAGAGATTTGAGGATATTTTTCGCCTTTTGGTGCATTATTTGGAACATTGATGCATACGATCAAAGTTGTGATAAATGTGAGAATTGCAGTGAATGGTAGAATAATTAGAGACCAAAACCAAATCAACGGTCCAATTCTTGCCATTGGAAAAAAAATCTCTTTTGACTGTCAAATAGTTTCCTTGTTTGCTGCGCGCCTGTTGCTTTTCGTATGTGTTTATTTATATAGTGAAATGAAAATGAAGATAGAATGATATCATGTTTAGTTGTTTTTTTTATCAATTCACCTGTTTGAAAAAAAATGAGTGAAATTGAGATAAAGTCGTGACACAACTATGACTAGTTTCGCTGTTTTGATCTCTGGGAACAAGTTTTCAGACACTCGCGTCATGTTTCTTTGGAAATATATGTAATAATCAAATAGTTTAATGTAGTTTTTTTTCACGAATATCGATCAGAACAAACAGAAAAATTGATCATAAAAATAAACTTGGTAATTACGGTTCATCGTCCAACAGCATATACTCGACAGATTCATTGCTAGCCGCTGAGATTGTTTCACCGTTTAGTTTTCCTGCAAACAAAACAGCGTAGAGCAAAACAACATCACGAATCTCATCACTTACGTTTTCCATCTACTTGTTGATTCGAACAGACAATCGAATTTTGTAGTTCACTTTCCGCTCCAATCGTCGAACGAGAACATAAGATCGAATTTTGTAAAGTAACTCTACGAAATCAAGCGAAATTCGAATAATGGAATCTATTTGCGTTTTACCCTTCTTTAACATGAACATGATCCAAAAGAACGCAATTGATAATCTTGCATTTATCTTCAATTCGACAATTCTTTCCAATAATCGTTCGTATAATCTTTGTCTTCTTTCCTATTTCGTAACCATCGCCAACAACACAATCGTTTCCAATCTACAAATACCAAATTGACGTTCGTATATCAACCAAATGAACTTTTACTTGAACTTGTTCAATGCGATCTTTAAATAGGATATCTTCATTCGTATACGATGAAATTAATGCTGCAGCCTTAAAGAAAAACAGACTAATGAGTAAGCAAGTTTCTTTCTGTTGAGTATTACATGTCGATTGGCTTCTAAATATGCGATGACATGTTTCACACGAAATAGTTGTGTTTCATCTGTAACGTAATAGCATCCACCTCGAATTTGTTTATCATCACAGTCGTATTGCTCTAAGATTCTTGATAGATCTCCATGATCGTCCATGTCCATTGCTACAAGAAACTCACTCAGTCAAAACAAACGTCGAGAAAATTTCAACAAACTTTTCTGTCGCATCATCGTTCGTTTGTTATTCGCCTGATCAACAAGATCTTCAAGTGGTTTATCAGTGACAATTTGTCGAATTAGTTTTGGAAGAAATTCTTTTCGAAAGGATGAGAATGAAGAACGATTGCCGATGTCAAGACAGGATTTTTTGATTAAATAGATGTGAGCATCAGCTAAATCGGTGCGAATAGTTGTTCGCGGATGACTAACAAATGAGAATGTCGACATTGTAAATCAACAATTGTCTTACTTGATAAGAATCGCTTGTCTCAAAGGAAAAACTTGTTCTAAATCCGCTTTCAGCTGAATTGATGTGATTGTATTCGTCGATTGATCAACGGTATAATATTCAAGTTCTAGAAGGACTAATTTGCAAAAAATTCTCTAAGAAAATCTTCTACCTGGAGTAAACTTCATCTTTTGTCCAGGTTGAGCTACTGGTTCTTTTCCCGTAGACGATGTTGTTGCTTTAAGTAATAGCATGCATAGCGATGCATCTCTCACACGGAACATATTGACCAACGGCGTCAGATTAACTTTTCCGAAAAGATCACATGTTATCAAACAAATCGATTCAGTTCGAATACGGGAATAACATGAACGAAGAACATCTAATGTTCCTAATTCATCGGGTGCTTGTTGTTGATCTTCACCACCACTAGTCGATTCATGATGTTGCCGATAAGTGACGAGTTCATAGGTTATATTTAATGTTGAAAGATAACTATCGAGCACTTGCCGATATTGTCCCGAGGTTAAGATCAATAGTGGCGATGAAGCAAGCGATGGATGTGATTGAATAATTTCAAGTGTATACCAAATCAATGGACGATTGGCAATCGGTAGAAGAGATTTTGGAAGAGATGAATCGGGTATGACACGATTATTACCACCGGCATATAATACTACGGTAAATTCTTTCATTTTTATATGTATCTTGAAAAGGTGAAAAATATTTTCAAATGATTAGAGTTTATCTTGCTGAGAATATTGTCGCATGTAATGCATGATGCAAGATTACGATGTCAATACTGTCTCTATTTTAGTATTCACTAAGTCAGTACAAAGGTCTAGGGTTTCCACCTCAGACGAAAAGAGAATTTGTTAAGTAATTTATTAATTATTTTAAGTTTTTTTGTTTGAAAATAATGGAAGAGAACATATCAAATAAATCCATGAAGAATTGAATTGAATTGAATAGATTAACGTGCTGCAGATGACTCATCGTTTGTCTTAATTGGATAAATACTATATTAGCGACTGAGTACACTTTACGGTACAATTTTCATAAGATCTCTTCATTTTCATCTATTTTTCTCATCATGTGTTCGTTTTCTTTTATTTTTCTGGATGGAAAAGATGTCGCCCATACTCAGTTTTTCCTCACGGGATGTCGTCTAGATGAGAATTTTAAACACATTGATTTACTATTCTTTGAGTATTTACCATTCCGAACTTTCATTCAGATTCATTTTTATTTTCGTACATTTTGTTTAATGTCAAGGACTACTAACTACGCTCATGATCACATTACTCATTACTGCGACGTTACGCATCGATGAAGCTCTTGATAGAAGAAACGATTGACGATCGTTGATTAACGATATTTTTCTCTATGGAATCAACAGTTGACTCAGAACCCAGCCGCTGGCATTGGTTTTCCTTACGAAATCGTGTAAAGTTGAATTTGCTTCATATATCCGCGATATTATGTCTGCAAACGCTTTGCTATTGCGCTGTTACATCTATTGATACATATATTAGTTCACTGCCAAGTAATAATAATACTGTATCGTATGGTGAAGATATTAATGGGACATGTTCTCAAATTGACAATGAAACGTCAGTCGAAGAATCCAATCAGAGCGTTACCTATAAGAGACATATTGCGAATAGTATTCCCGCAATTGTTATGACTTATGCACTAGCTATTTTCATGCCGTTTGTTGGTAAACGATTCGTACTTCTCTTGTGCATGCTGGGCATTTGGATACAAATAATCATTGCTCTAGTGATAGTTTATTTGAATCTAAGTGTGTATTGGTGGTATTTCAATGGTTTTGTGTTGGGTCTATTTGGTGGTGCTGGTATTATTGGTGAGTCATTGATTGTATCAAACAAATAGCTGTTTACTTTGGAGATTTCTTAGATTTTGTGACTTATTTAATTATTGTCGATATTACAACTAAGGAGAATCGTTCAGTATGGTTCATTCGATTGTATGCTATGAGAAAAGGACTTGAAGCAATAATTACTTTTGCCATATTTTGTTTTGTTGAACATCATGGCTATATTCCATTATTTTGGTGTGGTTTTGTTCTACAAGCTATAGCCATTGTTGCCACTTGGCTGTTTTACGACTTATCTCTTTATAATCATACAAATCTACGTGGACATCATCAAATAGGTTTGAGTTTCGATATAATTACTATATTCTACGGAAATCGTCGTCCAACGGTGCAAAAAGTTACCGTGTTATTGACCATCATTGCTTACTGCTTTTATTCGTTTATCCATTCCATGTCGTCAACATTTCTTTTTGCACTTGCACATTATCCTATTTGCTGGTCGGAAATGTTAATTAATATCTACAGACTAGTCAAAGGCATCAGTCTAGCGGTACTCAGTACTCTTGGATATCACCTATTGGCTTGGTTAACCAAATCCAATGATGAACTCATCTGTGCTATTGGTTATATCTTCTCACTGTTTGCATCTCTTTGGTTAATATTTGCCCAATATAAGTGGCAAGTGTTCAGCACTAGTGTAATATATGCGTTGACAAATTTTCAAGGTCCATTGACTTTATCAATTTTGGCAGCATGGCTGAAACCGTATGAAATTAATATTGCATTTATCTTTATTATTGTTATCAATCAATTAATCACGTCATTCGGTGATCCGTTTTTTCAAATGATCTATATGAAAACTTCAAAGCAACATACGGCTACGGTTTTGTATATAAACGCTGCAGTGTGTGTTATTCCGTTGATACTCAACATGTAAGGAAAATTTCTAATGAACGCATTAATAAGAAGATTTCTTCATTTTGTTGTATAGCTGCATTTATATAGTTAAACGTCATATGTTGCAACGACCATCAGGGATTACTGATGAGAGAACTTCTTTGCTGGCGAATGCAGACGGAAACGAAAATCCATCGCAAACAACAGACGACACTCAATCGCCAATCTCTGTTACTCTGTTCAGTATTGGTAATCTCAGTTTTATCATTAAAGTTGGATCTGAGCCACAACCTAATGTTGAAACAAATCAGAGCGTAGTGAATGCTTAATTCGTTTTATATATAAACAAAGACTAACGACTTACTTAAAAGCAAAGAAAAATATCGTTTGTTTTTATTTCAAAGAAAATCATCAAGTAATCTTATGAAGCTAAAACCTTTGTTCTTAAGTTTGACATAGAACTAAACACACACACGAACGTAAAGGAATAAAACTACTAGTCTTGATTGTTTTGAATTCTTTTTAAATTAAGAATGGAATGATCGATTTACGTTGTTTTGGATATTTGTCAGTAAATTCCTTCTTGTAAGCACGATGTTTTCCTAGTGCCCAAAGGGTCATTTGTCCTGCTCCAGCAATGGCAAATAAAAATGCAGTTAATGTTTGTGTCATTAACGAAAAACCTAACCATGAACCAATTTCATACGTATAATTTGGACATGAAACGAAATGAAATAATTGTGTAAAGGGATTTGTCTTGTTTGGATATGGAATACGACGTTCAGTTGTACCAGGTGGACGAAGATCACGAAGAAGTAAATGGATTGACAAATTACCGAGCTCACTCAACTAGAATTCACAGTTTTGATCTTATTCGGATGAAAAATGAATTAACTTACGAGGAAAATAGCTAAGCCTAAATATATTTGTGCATAGCCAAACGATGGTGGAGTGTATTTTGGATGATTGACGAAGTATGAAACAAATGCAGTAAATCCCCAATAATAACTGCAATTCTAAGAGACATAGCGAGATGGCAACGATGAAGGAGGGTAAGAGAAAAAAAACATTTACTTTGAACAAATTGAAAATTGGCATGGTTGCATGCGAAAATCGATGCACGAAGATCGTTTCTAAAACACGTTTAGCGTAGTGGAATGTCCAACAGGCTGCACCCAAACTAATTTATCAATCAAATAAAGATCGAAAGAAAAAGATAGCGCTTTTACTAACTGAGCTGCTAAATGTATTGGCTTCGAACTTGCTGCTGAGCCATAAATAATGCTTGGGCGAATGTAAAACAATAGATAGATGACCAATGGACCGGCGTATTCAGCCATAAACACCGTGCTCCATCCGATTTGTGGTCCCAAGTCTTTGAAATAGATTTTACCGGTTTTATCGACATTCAATTCGGAAAGTTTCTGCGAATCTTTGACCGATTTTCCGGCTAAATACAAGCGTTTATGAAAAGAAGTCAACGACTTTCCTCTACTTACTCGCTTCAGCTCGATAGGATTGACGATCAGGATAAAGTTTGGGTTCTGAAATGCAATTGCTTTTGAGTTGTGTAAGAAATTCATTGAGAGGAAAACTTACTTAGTTGAGCAACTTGCTTTTTTAATTCAGCAATTGTTGCATTCGCTGAAATCTTTCAACGAACATATTCGATTTAGTCTTTGTCTTAATTAAGTAGAATGACTTACATTTTCAATTGTTGTGACCACGCCATTTCCACGTGCCTTGAGTACCTCAAGCTAGACAGCAAGAAATGAAATGAATGTTCATGCGGAAATATTTCGTACTCGAAAACCATTGCTTGACGATTTTGAAGCCATTCCCTTTGCAAATATCAAAACGATGGAGTTTGAAACAAATGAATAGATTTCTACTAGTCTCTAGAGTCAGAAAATGACTCATTATTAGCAACTATTTGATAAACATATTTGATATATTTTTACAAAGTTTTCTCTTCGATTGCGTACAATTTTCCTACTTATAATTCCGATCGAAGATTTACTTTTATCGTATTTTATTTTTAGCACTGTAAAAGATGTCGCCACTATACAACATCGAAAAGTCACCTTGTCTGTAGTTCGCTAGGTCTAAACTGACCAAGTTTCCTATTCTCAGTTTGCTCCCTTCCAATATCTTTCTATGGCAACTCAAGTGAGTGATTGATATCTTGCAGTTTGGAGTTGTTAGAGGTATGCAAGAAGAAGAAATCAATGCAAATATAGTGGACCTTTTCCCAAATGAAAAATATCAAGGCGGTGCTTCAGTATTTCGATGATTAGTAACAATTACTGCAGACAATCCATCATCAGAATATAATTGTCAAATATGGCAAAATCTGAAGAATTTTAATCGACCATTTCTTGCTCTATTTTCAGATTCAGATTCAAGTACTACTGATCTTGATAAAATAATACAATCCACGATACCCGGTACTAGATATCAACCACATACAACAATTATTCAAACTGTACATTTCGTACAAGAAGATAAATCACATGAAATTGGCGAATATTTAATCAAAGTTATTAGGTAATCGTTTAATACCTGCACGATTATAATATCAACATATTTTCTATCACTACTACTATCACATATGACATCAATTATTTCTTCGTTATGACTTGTTTGTTCATGATTAATGATGATAATAGTAAAGTTTTTGTTTGTCATTCAACATGAGCTGTCGAACAGTGCAAGTTTAGTTTGTGGATTAACTCTTCCATAATATGAATGACGTATCATATCTGTGGTGAGAGTGAAATAGCCCAATTGAAGTATTGATGTTGTAATCAATGTTTGCCATGCATTGGTACACCAAAAGTAGTTCTATACTGAATGTACAAGAAAAGATTATGCAGTTTGAGCATTGGTGTAAATGGAAGGATCAATCCTTGTTTAAGTAGATATTGATCTGGGTATGGAGACATTTGAGATGAGGCATGTATTTTGAGAAAGACATGGAATACCAGTCACACTGTAGGCCGGTTATAGTTAACGATTCAATGTTTCCTAAAGTCGACACTGACGATTTCCAACAAGTATAAGGATGAGAAAAGGTTATTGAAAGCTGTATCAGTGTTGTAAGAGTGAATATTGTTGACAAAACTGTTTCCCACGAAGAAAATAATGCTCTTTTGGTCATTTTAACTGATGAAATTTCAATTGGAATATCAGTCAATGATAGGAGAGCATTTTGTACAAGTTGTGAATGAATTGTTTGCCCTGTATAATGTAGATAGCGTGATCAAAGATGTTTGAAAGATGTAAATGATGGAAACTGTTTGAAGAACATGTTGATTTGACCAGGTGCAGCACGTTCAGACAGTGTTAATCGTGCTATTTTGTACTGATAATTAGGAAGATGTCATCGAAGGCAGAAACGAAAATTATGTAATCGACAAGCCATAAAGTTAAAGGCCACGGTTCCCTCGATATAGTTTTCAAAAAGATCAAGTAAGATTTCATTTCGAAGTGATTCAAATTTTGAGAGTGGCATCTGTTATGTTCCATATGTTGTCACATGTAGTGAATAGCTGAAACGCGGAATTCTTTTTCTTTCTTTCTTTTTTTATATACGCAAATACAAGCAAGATATGATAGATATTTGTTTGACTTTTAAATTTCGAATAAAATTTGTCATATAAAGCATAGTTTTCATTAATATTGATGAAAAATTACAATGCAGTTTTTACTTCTGGAAAGTATATCTGTAGAACATCGTTTCAAAATGGTAACAGTAGCCAAAAACTAAGATGTGTTACTATGAAAAACGAAAAGTAGAGTTCCATGTGACAAATTTTCGACGCTGTAGTTAACAATAGTCGATTGTAATGTATCGGTTGAATTACCATAATTCCAGCCATTTTTTAAATTAAAATCATGTTAAATGCTTTTGTTGTCGGAACATAAAATCATTTTATATCTCAATGATTACATTATCTGAATAATGTGTTGTGTGTGTGGCAGATCAATTAAATCACCAAATGATGAAACGATCTGTAGACACAAAAGTAGATGAAGATGATAGCCGATAAGAATTAATTAGGTCAAGAAAGAAGTTAACTGGTGCATCCTTTGAATTTGTCATCTAACCAGGAAAACAATCTTTCCGTTGCTGGCAATTATAAAAGCCATCGAGCACAGAAGTTCAATACCGTGCTCTCAATTGAAATACGTATCAATATAAAATAACAAAGGCCGCTGAACATCGTTTTGAAAGTGAGAGCAAAGAGTAGAGTGTCTTCAGTACAGCTCATAGCATCAGTTTTATCCTCAGGATATATTAACTTGATCGGTTAAAGTGCATCGAAAAGAATAATAAACATATTGTTTTTTAGACTAAAATAAAACATTTCCATTATATTCCTCAGGTGAATTCAGTCGACTTTTCCTATCTTTTACTGTTCAATAATTCCCACGAAATCTATTTCTACTGACCTTTTTTACTGATGTGCAAAATGTTTTTCTCTTACACGCTTAGAAAAACATAATCGCTAAGGCAGAAAGAGAGCATTTTAAAGAAACTCTCTAAACTTTTGCTTTATTCGCGTCTAAAATGAATAGAAACCGTCTGTGATTGATGGTGACAACAAAAAACAAGTAGCTGAGTTGAAAAATATACTGAAAACACAATCGCTTCGTTGCATCGGAAGAGTGTTAATAAAAAAAACAAAACGAAAGCAAAACGCCCTGTACTTCGAAAACTATTTTGTCTTTCCTGCAAATACAAACGAAATTTTTAATCTATTTCTCATATATAAGTTTAATAGAAACAAATATTCAATCATTTCTTGAATTCCACTGATCTGACATGAACAAATCTTCGTCTTCAAAAACAACTTCGCAAACTGCACCAAAGCAATTGAAGATTCAAAAACAAAATCCACAAAAATCGAAGTTTGTTCTCTCATGTAACTCTTTATTGTTCATTGACTCCATGAATAAGTAGATGTACCGTCTCACGATGTGTATGCATTCAGTTGATATTTCTATTAGCTCTCGTTCTATTAGCAGCGATCATTATTCCTGTCATTGTTATTGTACTTGGTAATTCTCGAAAAAATCTTCTAATTTTTTACATTTTCTTTTCTTTGTTTTCCAGCTAATAGTGGAAGTAATTGTAAGTAATTTAATTGACATATTCTTTTGTAATGCTATTATTGTTCTAGCGTGTGCAAAAACATATTCTGATAGTTTTACATCTGGTGTGACTGCAACAACTCAATGCACAAGTTGGAGAAGTTTTACAACTGGCTTAACTTGTACAACTTATTCCAAAATGCGTATTTATGGTTCGAACGATCCAACGGGTATAACAATAGCAGATGTATCTACCGTAACTGCACTTGCTGTGGCTTTGAAATACAATACAACATTGATTGCTCGTTACAATGGAATTAATTGGAGAGTCGGACCAGACTGGTCGGGTTATGAAATAACTTCTACAGGGGGTCACACTTGTAGTACAGGTTATACAGTCAGACCATGCGCAGGGAATCTTCATTGGGGAGGAATTGCGGGTGCCACGTGCAGTCCATTGTCACAAACTCTATCGATTTCTTTTGAATGAACTGATAAAGTAGATAACATTGTCATTATCTGTAATGCTTCCCGAAGAAGACTCACCTCGTACAGTGAATATATGTCGATTTGAATATATTTGATCTGAACTGTCTTGAGCTTTGACTACGAACAATCAGTTAAATGAGTTCATATGTAAATCTCCATGCTCCTTTTATTGAATAGATATCGTAGTTAGGACAGATAAATCTTTGCAGATTTTATGTTGGAATTCGCCAATTTCATATAGAACTTTTTAGGTTCAGAACAAAGTGCTGAAACTGTATACGCAATGTCCTCTCTGCACGAATGTTACGGAGAAAGCTATAGGAAACCACTCTTATATTCATTAAACCATACTTAATATTTTAAAAGAAGTCAAACAAATATTTCTGTCTTTTAAACTTTCAGCGAAAGTTACTTGCTTATCTATAGATGCTCTGCACTCTATTTTACGAAAACTATAATAGAACATGTTCAACATTCCCATCACACATCATTCACTGACGACTCAATGGCATGATCAAATTGATAATCGAAAATAAATAAGATTCTCCCCATCCGCAAATAAATGTTGAAAAAATCAAGATCATTTGTTTCCATAGAGAAATATCTCTTCGGCTTAATTTCATCGTTTGTTCGTGCTAGCTCCATATCGATGAAATTTTTCGCATGAACTATTTTTCATAATAAAAATACGTAAACTAACGAGAGAAATTTGTACCGGTTTTACTGGAGATCACCTACTAAATAGGTACTTTTTTTTAAGGCAAACGGTCACTGGGAATATATTATCATCATTTAAAAAAAAGAAATTTAGAATTAATTCAAGTCTGGTTGTCGTCGCTGATAAACAATCAAGTATGTCGGTAGAGCTAAAGAAGCATCTTCGTTGGATAAATAAAGAAAACTATTATCATTGTCGTATTTGATAAATTCTACAACGAACAGATAATGTTTTCCATCGGTGCACCGACGAGTTCCATATAAGTGACTATTCAAAGCGTCGCGAGTTAAACAAATTGATCCAGTTGAGCAATTTCCCAAATGATCACCTAAAGAAATACAATTTAACAAGTCGAACAAATGAAAATGAACAAACCATAGTGTGAAGCATTCGTAGAATGTAAACCGTAGTGAACAATTGATTGAACAGATGCAAATGAACAACCGTGGAAATAAATATTTGTTCTTTCGCTTTTCTTGCGCATATAATGTAGATATAACGGATAGTTTTCAATGGCTTCGATCTAATTCATGATGTCAAAGCAAATCATTTCGTTTTCCGTGAAATTTCTTTTCCTACTCGATCAATTTGCCAATCAGATATTGACATCGTTTGTTGAAAAATATGAATACATTCCAAAGTTTCATACGACGATTTTGATATTTCCTTTGTACGAATCTTTAATGGTGAAGAAGACCATGACGGTGGAATTCGAATTTTGGAATCTACGCGTAAAATTTCAATTGTATAATGGAAATTTGGTATTTCTACTTACCATCTAATGGTTTTTTCACAAGAAAAGCATTTCGTCTGGTTTTTATCGGTCGTACTTGTAATTTGCTCAAATCGATGTCTAAAATGGATTGTTCACTATCTTGAATTCTTATCTAAATGAAAATTCTTTTTTTTCTGACGGTTAATGTACAAAAGAAGCCAACAAACCATTGCTTCTCCGGCTGCAAATGCTTCGTCAATTTTCAACGAAATATAAGAATTAAATTGTTTTTCTTCGGACTTCTCTCCCATTTCAGTAAATACATAACTATACTGATGAACGCCTTTCCCAGGACATAAATTGAAAAAACATTGTAGACGTGATTCACGATCACCGCGAAGTGTCAATTTTTTCGACGAACAATCCACGCGTGGAAATACATTGTGAGACAAACAAATGTCAATTAAAGAATCTACCTGAGAGGATAATTTCGACTCGACTAAGTTAAGATCAAACACTTGTTCATCTATTAATTTTTCTAATGATTCGATCAGTAACTGATGATGTTCATTGATGTTTACCAATGTAGATAACGTGATGATTCGTTTACCTGGAACACGGATCATTATTTAAAGAATTCCTCGCGTATTTTGAAACTTACTTTGTATATCTCGTTTAAATACTCGTCGTTTTACTTCAGACGTCTTTTTTGGCTTTCTTTCATTCGATGTTGAAGGAACTTGTGCACAAAGACTATTGAGATATTGTCGAAAAATCTATCGAAATACGGAGGTTATTGGAAAAATAGCCACAACAAATCGATGAGTTACTTGATAACATGCATCTTCTTCTATTCGGCTACTTTTTGGATAAATAACAAATATTACATTCATTTGATATTGATGTAAACGTTCACTTGCTGCGCCAATCAGAGCTTCACAAACAAAGAATGGATCAAGATTAAGTTCTCCAGTACCAATCTATGAAGAAGATATTGTTTAAAAATGCAAAGATGAAGAGAATGAAAAGTATCATACAGGAGGAAATGAAAGCGTTTTAACATTGCGATCATGTGCTTTGTCGATCGACCAGGTGACTAATTCCGACAACGACTAAAATAATCAATGAGAATGACGAAATTTCGAATTCGATCAACAAGTTTCAAGAACCTTGAGGCTGTTTACTATGTCTTTTTGATCAATTTCGGTTTTCCATGGAACGAGAAGGATTTTTTCTGCTTTTGTCAAACCTCCGTCGACAAGTAATGCATCGTCGCTACAATAACGTTCTTTGTATTGTTTTTGAACAGTTGCACCAGCGCGGCGAAGGACACTTTCTCGTAAATTATTCGATGTGCTTATACAAATCATCATATCAGCCTGATAACAAACATTTATTTAAGCTTTGATTTCGCACTACAGTTTATTCTTACATGAACTTCACTTATATCACCGGAAACCACATTGATCGAAGAACCAGTTGATCTAATGTGAAACATGCCATCAGATGAAATTTGCGAATTTGAATATTCATCGGTTTCTGCTGCCGCCTACAAAATACAATTTGTTAAGTTAACCAATGATCACAAAACAGGTGTCTTGCATTTCTATTAGATGTTGTCGATGATTCTATCTCGATTGCTTCAATATTTACTAAACAAATCAATCTGTCTGTAACCAACTATGTAAATCTAACGACTCTACTTACATTGGATTTTAATTGGCTCAGAAATGATTGCATATTGAGATTGATCTATATTATCAGTCAAAATTTTCAAAACTAAATGAAATTATGTTTCGAAGTACTTTGCTGGAAAAGATTTTCAGCTGCTGATGAACGAATCAAAAGTGCTAAATCTTCTTTAATCTTTACAAGATCAATGTTCAAAGTTGAAGGTATAATTGAATGCAATTGTTTTTCAATTTCTTTTCCTTGTTCAAAATTTTGTGATCGACAACAACCCGATGGTAGATAACGAATAATTTCACATTGATCTTTATCGATAATCTGCTTTCTACCGGGACCAAGAAGATAACATAACTGAAATATTCTACACATATTTCACTTCAACAATCGACTTGTCTCACATACATGCTGATCGGATAATTGTTTTTTAAACGTGTAAACAATTGGACTTGGTGATTTTGGTGTTGTTGGTGAAATAGAATTTGTTTCTTTATTCCGAAGTGGATTGTCTCTCATGACGAAACGTGGTCGGAATTTTGTATCTTGTTGATCTGGTGATGACATCATGTCTGGAGAATCTAGAAGTTAATCTCCAGTTTCTTATGAACACTCTCAGTGAAAAAAAGCGTACGATAGTCGGATGACAATGAAGAGTCATCGCAATGATTTTGACACTTCGCTTGATTCTTTTGTTTTTGTTCTGTTTTCGATAGTACATATCGTGGAAATGAATTATCGGTGTGATTTGCAGGTTGACTCGAGTTTAATGTGACTAATTCAGGTGTGGAACGCATTGAACTTGTTGGAGATTTGATTTGATTCGTTGGTGAATGCAATGTCTGCTCGTTTGTTTTCGAATTGAGACGAGTTGAAAAAGTGAACTTCTTTTCACCATTTGAAGATGATAAGGAAGATGGATTTGGAGGTACAGTTGAAGTTTGTCTGCCGCGGCCGCGTCCAAATGTTTGTGGAGTAGGATTTTCTTCGAGACTTCTCAATTGATTTGAAAATCTTCGAGTTGTTATGGATGGAGCCTGAAAAAAGCCTTATTTACATGAAATTTGAATAAATCGAAATACTTTTTCTACCCTTGATTGAGCTTTTTGATCAAGATCTTCGTCTGTGTTCTGCTTAGCTGGCGTTGCATCTGAAATTCGATTCGAACTGAATGGATCAGGTGTTATTTTATTTAGAACTAAAGCAGTTGATGAATGATGATTTCTGATGATATCTTCTATCATTGATGTTACTAAAACCCCAAATTAAATACAGTTTCGCATGCGAAAAAGTAACATGTTCATGAAATACCTTCATTGTCCTCAAATATGAATTCTATGGTATAGGGATTGACGCGTTTTTGATCCGACAGCAAAGACTTATGATCACCCAACCATTCATCAATCAGCTCATCTGTTATTGGTTGTTTGTCTACGGATTGTACGAAGAACTTCGGCTGCTTTGTCAACGATAATGAAAGTCGAGTAAGACGCGAAATAAACTGAAAGGTGTGGTCCTCAGTTGACGACATACCGTACTGCGCTAAGACCATTTGATTGTGTTTTGTCACTAAAGAATGTGCATGCGAGCATTTTCCGTTGGATTGAAATTGTACACACGATTTATTTAATATATAATCTTCGCATAAATGAAGTTGCTTGCAAGTTATCGAATGGCATGAATCAGCTTCAGTTTGATCAATTGGACAAAGGTAAAGCTGAAATAAAGAAGAATTTTAGAGAGTGAACTGTTTGAATTGAGTTCATTGTTACATTATTTTGAAAGTGAAGTTTGGTTTTATCATCGGATAAATAAGAAATTGCATCGATTGAATGCTCTTGTAGAAGATCGAGAATTAATTTCGGTGGTAGTGCAAAACATTTAAGCAAATCTCCGTTAATTGTAAGTTCTAAAGGTTTTCCACCAGAATGACATTGTTCGAACAGAGTCAGAATTTGTTCTAATTTCTCTAAACTCATTGATTCGTTTTCAAACCTATAAAAATATTAAACAAATTTTTTTTTTTAAATTCCCAGTGACAGATCAACCGACTAATACATTTTGTATGAAGTATTTTTAGACCAATTAAGATCTTTTCGTTCGCAATCAATATTTGAGTGGCTTACAATCTTCGATTAATTTCGTGAATAATGAGTTATTCTACAAAAAAACCAAATGAATAGCTTCGCAATGTATATTTTCTTTCACATTTCTTTTCTTTTAGAGGGCGCCACACATTGTGATGTCGTCTACAGTCAAAGATCAATATATCTTAGCGATTCTATTTTTGGATTTTAAATCGTATGTTGGTTGTACTAGAGTCCAAGCAAGTGCAAATTGAATTCAATGGAAAACTTAATAACATCATCTATTTTTGGGTCGATTTATCAGTAGAGTGAAGACGGTCACCTGCTGCTAAAGGTGCGCACAATATAATAGAGAATGAGAAAATTGAGTGCTGACTGCGTGTCTATAAATTTCGAAAATAAGGTGTTCACTTTATGTCTAAGTAATACTTTGTGAGACGCTGATGATGAAATATTTACAAATCAGTCTATTCATTACTATCGTGGTGGTTGCGGAGATCTGTTGTGGAGATAAACGAATCGGCCCATGTCCTGGAATTCCATTAGATTCATGCGAATGCTTTCAACGTTTACTTGATGACAATATAGACATTAGCAATATGACCGATATTGTCTCGCGTAATTGGGCAATTAGTCTCTGGTATCAGGATATTAGTCATTCATTTCAAAAATTACTGCATACTGCTCCTGACAGCACACCTGGTCTTCCTTCTGTTGGCATATGGCCGACAATTGGTGCTTGGGCATCAAATGCTGTGGGATTTAGTATTCGCCAACAGCCAGTTCCTGAGTTATGGTCGTATATTATACAGGATTTACCACATTTTATGCAAGAAATCTTATCGAAAATCCCGTTCACTCTCATGAATACGTTATTTAAGGACATTCTAAAACATACATCAGTGGCGCTTGGTGCCGGAAATGTATTTGTATTTCGAGAAATTGCTGTTGCCTATGCTCACTATGGGTTCACATTCTGTGCTGACAAAACGAGACCAAGTGATGCGAAAATGAATGACTTTGTCAAGAACTATGTATGTTCTGATGGTCAATGCGATTTAGCCAACGCAATGTGGGCGTTGTTCGAAGCACATTACGCGCCTGAATCTATGACGTTTAGTGAACGAGATCAACTATTACTTGTCCAAGGTATGTATGCTGGATTGGCAGAACAAACGCATTTGCAACCGTTTATCAATGCGTCTCTTCCTGGGTACACAACAAATTGGTGTCGCTTATGGCCGAGTAAAAATACGACACAATGCCAGGATTTTCTCAACACTGTCGTCACCAAGATGATGGTACATTTACTCATTGGTAAGCATCGCTTGTTATCTGATCATGATATACCTAAAGGAATACACAATGGCTCGAACTTCTCGCCTTTTTTGAGTACATTGTCATTGCCTCAAGCTCACGATCTCATGTTGAAAATGCTGAATTCGACAACATTAGGCTTAGATCATACAGCTGCAAATGATTGGAATAGTTTAGCACAACGCATGCGTTTCGTTTCACCACTTTTCTGGGTATTTCTCGATCATGAAGATGTCAATTGTTACCTATTTTCCGCTGAGCAAGAACTTCTTATTCGAACGAATCGGTCACAATCAATGGATCCGCACTCGTGGCTGAAAATATGCGATAAAGATTGTTGTGCCGATAATGGACGATGGAACGGCGAGAATAGTTAACCCCTTGGGGACGGGGTTATTATAGCAGAAAATGAGAATTTTGAAAAACTAATAAAATATTTTTTCTAAAAATATTTTAAATGAGAACATAGTATGAAAGATGGTATCTCACCATGTTATATGTGAGCATTCATTGTCTGTAATCATATATATCACATAAGGACATAACAAAAGTTGTGAGGATGCAAAGTACAAGTTAATTTGTAGCTGGACGTATATATACGTCTCCCGTACCCAAAAAGTTAAAAATGATTGTACACGAATTTCATTCAATCCGAATAAAAAACAGCATCAATTGAGCTAATAAGATGAGTAGATGACGCTTTTTCTACTGGGTTGTTTATTGGTTAGACATTCAACTAATGAATAGATGACGTATTGTCATTCATTCCTTCTTGTATGAGTAGAGTACAGAGCTCAACATGATTTGCTTTTTCTTCACTTATCGGTGGCAGTTTGTCTGACAAAAACAATCACTTTCATGGTAATATGTACTTTCATATGTAGAAAAACTATCTCAAATGTTCACCAAGCACACCATTATCTTCATTGAAATTTTTCTTTTCTTCGCTTACCGATACGAATTTCGATTTATTTAAGTGTCACTCGAAGCGCATTCACCCACATATTTTTTTTTCTCATTGGAAAAATAAGATATTGATCGACGGATTGACACATTCGATATGAAAACAAAACACACACACACACACTTTTTGACTATCACATGATTAATCATTTTCAATGATATAAACAAAAAGAAAAAATATGTTTGATTAGACGAGCGTGTTGGATAAGATAGATAAATAATGGAATTCTGACGCATATTTTTCAGTAGAATGCGAACGACAATAGTAATGTTCTTGAAGCGTATGTCGAAACAAACTAGTATATTTATCATTGCAGGAGAAGAACATTACTTTGATGAAATTTTATCCGAATAATTCTTTCGTAAGCTGAATATTCGAAAACGAGTTTCTCTGCTTTTAGATTGGTCGACAAACGGTTCAATTGGATTGAGTTTAAAAGAAATTCTATCTTTCGTCAATGTCTACAGTTGCCACTGCCAGTTCATATTTCGAAGAACAATCAGCCGAACCTCAAATTCGTCATCGATTAGTCAAACCAGTTGAAAACAAGATGATACCATTATTCACTCGCCGTTACACATCATCACGTAGTTTCTACTCAATTCGAAATCTTTTATTTATTCTGATCTTCATAACCTCTGTATTTATCCTATACTCATCTCTATCATTATCTCCATTGCTTCGTTTTCTCGATCCGTATTCTTATGTATTAGTGATAGACGCAGGTTCCACTGGAACGCGTATTCATGTTTATAAATTTCGTGCAGCGACTGACAATGAGAATGGTGATACATTTGTGCTAAAGAATGAAGTGTTCAAGGAACGTAAACCCGGTTTATCATCATTTGCTGATCAAGTCGATAGAGCTGAAGATCAAATTGATGAATTATTAAAAATTGCTGATCAAGAAGTGAGTCGCTTCAAACATCGAAGCACGCCGCTGGTTCTACGTGCCACAGCTGGTCTACGTTTGATTAGTGAAACAAAACAAAAACTTTTATTAGAAAGCGTGGCAAGAATCTTTCGAAAATATGGCTTTTATCAACCAAAAATGGATATTGCAATCATGAACGAAACCGAAGAAGGCATTGACGCTTGGCTCACACTTGTTTATTTGAAAGGTGAACAATTCTACGGAAGTCGTATCGCAGCCCTTGATCTAGGCGGTGGATCAACTCAGATAACATACAATCCAGCTTTGTCAAATACGACATTGGCCGAAAAGTTGAATCTATTGCTGAAAGCTCAGCAACCAATTGAACCTGAACAGATCAACGCATTTCGCGACCCAGCCAATAAAAACAAGAAGCAAATGCCAAGAATTGATGTCGATCAAGCTGGTCTAGAAGAAATCAAGCCGGTCAAAGTTGTGAAACATCAAGATTTTCTCGATAAAAACAGAAAATTAAGTGAAGAAGAAATGCTGATGGCCTATATGCATCAATTCCGAATGTTTCGTCGTGATATCAAATTGTACTCACGTTCGTACTTGGGCTACGGTTTGATGATCGCGCGTCAAACAATATTTATCAACGAAACAAACGATCAGAATTTGATTAATGCACATCAATTAAGAAGTCGCTGTTTTCTTAACGATGCAACGGGAAAGTTCAAGTTTCAAGATGTTACGTGGACTGTACAAGCGCATGGAGGTAAAAAGGAAATTAACAAATGAAATGAGTGCAAGTTCATTTTCTGTTTAGATGTAAACGCTGATGAGCGGTTCTATTCGTGTATGTCATCAGTTGATCATTATATTAGTTTGAATGTTCAACCAGCTGTTGGTCTCGACCAAATGTCCATCTATGTTTTTTCATATTTTTATGACATTGCAAATGATGCTGGTCTTCTATCTTCGGACGACGATCCGTCAGCAGCATCAGTTCGAACAATGCCGATTCGTGTTTTGAAACAAACAGCGAAAAACGTTTGTCGTGGTTCGACATCGACATCACAAGAGCATCCATTTTTATGTTTTGATTTAACCTATATTTACTCATTATTAACAAAAGGTTATGGTCTCAATGAAGATATTGAAATTCATATCTGTAAAAAGATTCAACAATTCGAAGTAGCATGGTCACTCGGCTTAGCGTTAAAATTGTTATAAAAAAAATCAATAGACATTTCTTTTTCTTCCTCGACTGTTTCGTTTTTTTTTATTTATAACAAATATTGTTATTCATTTATCATTTTATGACAACGATAACAATGCGGCTGTCTGTTTCAATATATTCATACATATGTGCTTGTTTTTTCTACTATAACATATTGCAGATTGATTAGTGGTATTTTTAATGAAAAGAGAATTGTTTCGGAATGTTTTAGCATTGAGTATTCGTAGAAGAAATCATTTCAATCGAATGGCAACGAGCGACAGGAAACAAGAATTGAAAATTGATGTCACGAGTGACAATATTTGTCGTGAGTGAAATGAATAAAAGCTTGAAGAAACGTCTCGTCTTTTTTTTGTGTCTGCAGCTTGGTGTTACGTTGGCAAACGTCGTTTGGAGAAAGCACTGTCTCAAATTGACTCGTCACGTGTTAATGTTTCAGTATCATGGCATGCTTATGAATTAGATCATGGTTTACCTCGCGATGGTTCACTTCTCAAAATGGATCGTTATAAACAAAAGTTTGGTGAAGCACGTATTAAACAAATGTTACCAACAATGATGGAAACAGGTAAACAAGAAGGAATTCAATTTTCATTTGGTGGAAAAATTGGCTCAACATTTGATTCACATCGTCTTCTTTATTATGTTAAACAACAAGAGAATGGTGAACAGAAACAGAATGCTTTGATCAATGTTTTATTTCGTGCTTATTTCGAACAAGAACAAGATCTAGCTGATCATCAAGTTTTAATCAAAGCAGCGGAAGAAATTGGACAAGATGGAAATCAAGTGAAACAGTTTCTTCAATCGGATCAATATAAAAAAGAAATTCAAGATGAAATCAATCACAGTCAACAAGAGGGAATTTCCGGTGTTCCACATTTCGTTATCAATGACAAAGTTGAACTGAGTGGTGCACAAGATCCTCAGCAATTTCTTCAAGCTTTTCGAAAAGCTGGCATTACTTTTTAATGAACAATTTCTATTTTTCGCCTTCTTCTATATTTAAAACCAGAATAATAAAAATAATAACGGAAATTGAGTCATTTTCGGGTACTGGGACAACGTAGGTAACATCTAAAGATCATGCATCGTCCATAATTCCATTATGACAATCTGTCAAAACTTATGAACTTCCTGAATAAAATACACCCTTTGATTACACATGCATCTTGATAACTGAGTTGAAGAAATTTATTCATGTATTTCAATGGTACATTCTGATATTCCGTTGAACTCTAACTTCGTGTTCGATGATCTTTCAATACTAGAGATAGATATCTTTGTATCAGCGATGAAAGCTTCTACTGCTATTCTCCAGCCTAAGCTGAATGGAAGTTTTTCAAATCATCTTCAGTTAGCAATAAATTTTCAGCTTAGTTTTAAAAATTCGACAACAGATGCTATTATGAAACCGGTAGATCCGAAAGTGAACCGTAAGCAGAATCCCGTTCATAAGATTATTGCGTAAGTTATCTTTAGAAACGTTCTATTCCTGATCCATCGAAGTATTTGAATCTCCGACGAAACTAAAAACAATCCAACAGGATCAACCAAAGAAACATGTCACAGAATATTTCAGACCTTCTCGGTTACAACTCGAACACTTTCGATTGAAATCTACATTCAAGAATAATTTCGCCGAGTTACTTCTATTCATATATTTATCAACTCGACGAGATCATTTGTTTTTCTTTCAAAGTGCGTAGGAAAATTAACACGACAAATAAATGAGTTTATTCTTAATAACCGATGAGAATTGACAAGGAAAAGAGAAAACAGATATGTCTATTCCATGTCATCTTATCATTGGCGAGCCGGATCACAACTTTCACGGAGGACAATAAGCACTTTTTCGCAGAAAAATGCCCACTTTTAAGACATTTTTTTCAGGGGGCCGATTGCCCCCACCCTGTCCCGCCAATGCATCTTGTCCATCTGTATCATTGAAGTATGTTCCATCTTGAAGGTGATAAGTTTGATGATTGAATTCTGTTTAAATCAACGATGAACCTGTTTCATTGGTACCAGTATTCGATGCATGCGCCGCCATTATGATCACACTTAATGACAGTTCGTTCCACAACAGCGGAACATAGTTGTAATTTCAACTGTTCCAATAATGCAACATCGTGCAACTGCTCGAGTTTTGCAGACATGACGGATGCTTTTGCTTCTTCAACTGCTTTGGTGGCTGCAGCTACCTACAACTTATTTTTGTTTACTACGTTCCATGAGAGACAACTTTTCCATCTGAAAAATCGATTCAAATTTTGAAACTGAAATATTCGCTAAACAATGAAACTTTCATGAGTTGCCTAATTCGACTTATATTATAAATGGACATCTGATAGACTAATCTCAGTTCGAATATAAATAGATGTATATTTGTATAATCATACACGTTTAGGAATAGATTTAGTTATACCTGTGTATACCGATGGACATAGGCTGACATAGAGCTCCACTAAGAGTATTCCTGAGACTATGTATAACAAAATCTATTCCTAGCTAGTCGTAAACATACATGAGAGTGGGCTTAGGCATAGCTAAATCTATCGCTATCTATTCCTAAGTATGTGTAGGAGTTTATTAGGAATCCGTCACTTATATTATAAGTCGAATTAAGCAGCTACTCAAATACAGATAATAATATTAACAAAAATTTTGTTTTCAATTGAATTCACCTTTAGTCACGTTGTCTGCCACTACCTTCAATTTTTTACGAGCTGCTAACAATGCCTTATCACGTTGTTGTGCTGTCCATTCAGTCACTAAACTACACACAGCGAATTTAAGTTCTTGGTCTTCCGCTTTTAGTTTTAGGTTTTTGACGACTGCACGTGATTCTCCATTTTGTTCTGCCGCGTCAACTGCCTGATAAGCTTTATCTCGCTTAGTTTTTTGTTCACATTTGACTTGTGATAATGCTTCAACCTAAATTTCAACAAAATCAAAGATTTCTCGAAAGAAAACGATTTTATGCATACGTTGCGTTTTGTTGCTGGCATTGTTTGAACGAATTTCGTGTTATCGTCCATGACCAATAATAGACATGTGGATACTGATATCAAGTTAAAATAGGCGATGGTTTTCACTTTCTCTTTCTCTCCTGTTACATTTCTCTTCGACGTTTTCCATACAACAGAAAGAGAAAGATAGAAAACAACACGAAATAAACGAAGAAAGTGGATAGGTTGACTACCCAGGTCAACAAATCCGATGCTGGATCCGATCGGATCTTACCGGATCCGACCATCCGACAAAATTCGATCGGATTCCTGGAAACGGAATTGCATTGGAATCCGACTAGAAAAATCCCGTTGGTTGTTGCAAATTTTATGAGCGATCTTTCTAGCTATTTTCTATGATGACCCTTAGAGAATCCAGGAAATCCATGTTTCGGATCCGACGAGATCCGACGNACCCAGGTCAACAAATCCGATGCTGGATCCGATCGGATCTTACCGGATCCGACCATCCGACAAAATTCGATCGGATTCCTGGAAACGGAATTGCATTGGAATCCGACTAGAAAAATCCCGTTGGTTGTTGCAAATTTTATGAGCGATCTTTCTAGCTATTTTCTATGATGACCCTTAGAGAATCCAGGAAATCCATGTTTCGGATCCGACGAGATCCGACGTGGGATCCGATCGGATCCGAGACCGTCGGAATCCAATGCGATTCCGTCACCAGGATTTCATCGGACCCGTCGAATTCCTGTAGGATCCGATAAAATTCAGTATTGGATCCGATGGGATTCGATGGGATCCGGTGGGATCCGAGTATGGGATTGTTCGACCTGGGTATGAATTTTCTTCTGTGCAAAGTCGAATCAAAAGAAAAGAGAAAGAATGAAAACTACCGATCCGGTTCTATCTTTCGATTCTATAATTGCCTAGTGAAATCAACTGTTTGTTAATCGAAGGTTGTTTTGGTTCATCAAAGATCTCACCTGAATTAATTGCACGTATCGAATCAATCATCAAAAAACCAGTTCATTATTTCATTCGACGAGGCATCTTCTTCTCACACAGGTTCATTTCAAAACTTTTGCTCTTTTTCATCATCATCTTTTCCTCTCTTTCCTTCTAGAGATCTCGAGTTGATTCTCAATGCTTATGAACAGAAGAAACCATTCTTCTTATACACTGGTCGTGGTCCATCATCCGAAGCCATGCATCTTGGTCATTTAATTCCATTCATCATGACCAAGTAAGGAGAAAACGTCACTATGAACAAACAGAGACTCTAATGATGATTTCTATAGATGGTTACAAGATGTGTTTGATGTTCCATTAGTCATTCAAATGACTGACGATGAAAAGTTTCTCTGGAAAGACATAACAATTGAGGATGCCAATCGATATGCATACGAGAATGCAAAAGATATCATTGCATGTGGTTTTGATCCCACAAAGACATTTATTTTCTCCGATTTCGATTTTATGGCGTAAGTTACTTCATCAATTCATTAGTTTCATTACCTCTCGTCTCTTTTACAATCTAGGCAATGTCCAAACTTCTATCGTAACATTTGTCGAATTCAAAAGAGTGTCACATTCAATCAAGTGAAAGGTAAACTTCGAAAAACTGATGATCATGATATCATTTTCGATTAATAATAGGCATCTTTGGTTTTACTGAAAGTGATTGCATTGGAAAGATTGCTTTTCCTGCAATTCAAGCTGCGCCCAGTGTTATTTCATCATTTCCATTTATATTCGGTAAAAAATTGAAACAAGAATTTGCCTGTCTGATTCCATGCGCTATTGATCAAGTAAGAAGATTGAAATGGAACAGAACTTGTGTTATGTTTTCGAATAGGATCCGTATTTTCGTATGACTCGTGATGTTGCACCACGTTTGAACTTTCCCAAACTAGCGTTGATGCATTCAACATTTTTTCCAGCACTTCAGGGTGCCAAATCGAAAATGGCTATGTCAAAAGAATCGCGGTCATTGATTCATTGTGAAAATATATATATGTGTTTTCCTTGTTTTCTCAGACGGCAATCATACAAAAAGGTTTGCTTATATAAATGGACATAATTGTATGCGACGGATTAAACATGTGCACTTCTAAAAGGGCTCAACTTAATATATTGAATTTTCCCAATGAAATTTTATTTATTATATTCAAGAACCTCAATATGGTTGATGTTTTGTATTCACTATTAGGCGTTTGCAAACGGTTTGATCAATTAATACTTGATTCACTTTATATCCATCATCTTGATATGACCTGTATGATTACGAAATCTTTCTATAATCGTCTCTACTCGATAAATGATCAATTAATGTCAACAATTTCGGAAAATATTTTGCCTCGAATTTATCATAAAGTACATAAAATTATTGTGGAACAACCTACAATGAAACATGTACTTCACACCGTCAATTATCCCCAACTTCACTCGTTATCACTGATAGATTTTCAACAGGAGGTTCTTCTCGAACGTCTACTAAGTAAATTATGTTCTTCTCTTTATTATAATTAGAAAGGGGAATAGCATGACAAGCAATTTGATTTTTGTTTTTTTATGCTTTATAGGCGATATAATTCTCCACAAACTTCTTAAAAACCAAGTTACGTGTCTTTCAATTGATACCAGGCATGAAAAACTATCACCACGGCGTCCTGAAATTCTCTCAATTCTATTTACTGTTCTTTTAACTTTATGTAAATCCCTTATTACATTAGAATTTTGTCAATTCGATTATCGAGCAGTGAATTGTACTTTTGATTTATCGATCAATTTCAAGTCTTCCACTTTAACTACTTTAAAAATTGGCGTGAAAGAATTTGAAGATTGTCTTTATCTACTTGATAGACGTCTGGATTGTCTATCAACCTTGATTATACATATAGAAAAAATTACAAGTAGATTAGAATCTGTAGACAGTACGGTTCGTATACTTTTCGACTATTAGATTTCACGTAAAACAAAGAGTTAAATCATTAAATGAACATTTTTCGTTTTTCTCTTTAGAAAAAGCTTCTCAAATTAAAACATTTTTCTTTGATATCATATCGACGTACGATTCTTTATGACAAACTAATTGTTCCATTACTTCAACGAATGATAAATCTTGAAGAATTAATCTTATTTCTATCAATTATAAGAACAAACACAAATTACATTTATGGTGCTGAATTACATGACAATGTCCTTAATGATATGTCACAATTAAAGAAGTTTACTTTTAATATAGATACGAGCATAATTAAGAACGTCAATATTGATTTGTCATCGTGTGAAGATATTCAACTTAGTTTTACTGGAAGAGGTTTTGGGCCAGTTGCTTCATGTGTTGAAGTTTTTTCAAACGAAATTGAAAGTATAGGCCGTACCCATTCATTTCCATTCACTTTTAATAGTAGATGTCATATCTATTCACTTCCATATCAATTTCGAACTTAGGTTGACTTGAATAGTTCTTTTCAAGGTGGGACGTTCAATACGGTTCAATCTCTAGTGACGACAGATTTAAATCCATTTGAATATAAGTTCTTTCAAATTATTTCTCATAGTTTTCCTTATTTGAAAAGTTTATATATAACGAATGATCAACCGCAAAAAGACAAACAACAATCGAAAACATCAATTACATTTCCTTGTCTTATTTTGCTCAATCTTGATTGTGCTCATGTAGATTATGCTAAACAATTTCTCGTTGATGAATATATTCATCTACCTTGTTTACTCAATCTTTCTATTGGATATGGATCACTTACACTGGTTACAAATGATTTTACTAATGATTCGACGCGTTTCATCTGTAATAAACTGACCTCACTTCAAATAAATGAGCCATTTGTTCCTCCGAAACATTTTTATGAATACTTTCCTCTATTATAAAATACTATTGTTTCAATAAAATGAATTCTTTTGAGAAAATTACAGAAGAAACGAGATCTTAAAAATCTGATGAAACACAGAATAGTTAAAATTATATTGTATAATTTTACGCATTCTCTTTTATAAGATCCTTTTGTTTCATACACATCTTAATTGAACTCTCAAAACGTTTAACGTATGAAGAATATCAATGAATTTAATATGAACAATTATAGATGATTCCTTGGATTCATCAAAACATATATAATGTGTATCAAATTCATGTGAATAGGCAATATAGTTTTCTTTTCAATTGAGATTTCGCGTCAACACATTGTTAAAATCTATTCGGACTGAAATTGAAACTTGATGTTACGAATGATAAAATCCTTCGTGAATAGAATTGATAATAAATAAAAAAAGATGTTCTCCTGTTTGTTTGTCTATAGTTGGGTGTTATGTTTGCATATGTCTTTTAGAGAAAACATTGTCTCAAATTGACTCGTCACGTGTTAATGTTTCAGTTTCATGGCATGCTTATGAATTAGATCATGGTTTACCTCGAGATGGTTCACTTCTCAAAATGGTTCGTTATAAACAAATGGTACCAACAATGATGGAAACAAGAAGGAATTCAATTTTCATTTGGTGGAAAAATTGGCTCAACATTTGATTCACATCGTCTTCTTTATCATGTTAAACAACAAGAGAATGGTGAACAGAAACAGAATGCTTTGATCAATGTTTTATTTCGAACAAGAACAAGATCCAGCTGATCATCAAGTTTTAATCAAAGGGAGTGAAGAAATTGAATCAAACAGATATCAAGTAAAACAATTTCTTCAAACTTTTCGAAAAATCGGCGTTACTATTTAATTGCAGTGAATACTTTTCAGTTAGATTTTTCGAGAAAGTTTTATTTTTTCCTCTTCTGATATATGTTTAAAACCATAATAATAAAATCAATAACGGAAATTGAGTTGTCTTGGTGTCATAAACTGACGAACAACATCCAATGTTACCTCTTTTCGACGTTCTTGATGTTTAGCGACTAAACCTTGTAAAACTTCGATTAAGATCTTTTTCAATTCACCGGTCAATAATTTTCCTGATGAATAATCCTAAACGAGAGCAAATCATCAGATGTTGAAGATCAAATAAGAAAAGAACATTTACTTGACGAATTTGTTCAAGTCGTTCATCATCTTCCATGAAATATCGAAGATATTGATATGAAACATCAACATCACAATCACCGCCTTTAGCTCGATGTTCTTCGACTGTTTCTTTTCCGCCACTGAACGCATGTTTATTAACCTGAAGAAGAAAGAAAAATGATAAGAGATCGAAAGCGATTTCTATGACAAAAAAGTTACTTTGTCTTTGACTTGTTTCGGTGTGTCAGTGAGAAAAATAGCTGAATTTGTATCCGATGCAGCCATTTTCGATTTAGCACCTTGAAGTGCTGGAAAAAACGTTGAATGCATCAACGCTGGTTTGGGAAAGTTCAAACGTGGTGCAACGTCACGAGTCATACGAAAATACGGATCCTATTCGAAAACATAACACAAGTTTTGTTCCGTTTCAATCTTCTTACTTGATCAATAGCGCATGGAATCAAACAAGCAAATTCTTGTTTCAATTTTTCACCGAATATAAATGGAAATGATGAACTAACACTGGGCGCAGCTTGAATTGCAGGAAAAGCAATCTTTCCAATACAATCACTTTCAGTAAAACCAAAGATGCCTATTATTAATCGAAAATGATATCATGATCATCAGTTTTTCGAAGTTTACCTTTCACTTGATTGAATGTGACACTCTTTTGAATTCGACAAATGTTACGATAGAAGTTTGGACATTGCCTAGATTGTAAAAGAGACGAGAGGTAATGAAACTAATGAATTGATGAAGTAACTTACGCCATAAAATCGAAATCGGAGAAAATAAATGTCTTTGTTGGATCAAAACCACATGCAATGATATCTTTTGCATTCTCGTATGCATATCGATTGGCATCCTCAATTGTTATGTCTTTCCAGAGAAACTTTTCATCGTCAGTCATCTGAATGACCAATGGAACGTCAAACACATCTTGTAACCATCTATAGAAATCATCATTGGAGTCTCTGTTTGTTCATAGTGGCGTTTTCTTCTTACTTGGTCATGATGAATGGAATTAAATGACCAAGATGCATGGCTTCGGATGATGGACCACGACCAGTGTATAAGAAGAATGGTTTCTTCTGTTCATAAGCATTGAGAATCAACTCGAGATCTCTAGAAGGAAAGAGAAGAAAAGATGATGATGAAAAAGAGCAAAAGTTTTGAAATGAACCTGTGTGAGAAGAAGATGCCTCGTCGAATGAAATAATGAACTGGTTTTTTGATGATTGATTCGATACGTGCAATTAGTTCAGGTGAGATCTTTGATGAACCAAAACGACCTTCGATTAACAAAAGAAATCGATTTCATTGAAGAATTATAGAATTGATTGACTTACGAATCAATTTATCATAATCAACTCCTTTGTCAGAGGTACTAGCCACATTCCATGGATCAACGATGTCTTCAACTTCTTCGGTTGTGTTTTGAATTGCTTCTTCTGCTACTGGAAAAGACATTCTGAAATTAAGTTAAAACATTCCGTTAGATTCTTTCTCATTTTATAGTCCATCGATTGCATCAACATCTGTCATCAGAAAAAGGATCTTGCATCAGATTGGTTTAAACAGCAAATGAGAATGAGGTGTGTATTTCGAGTTGATACTGATTGGTGATCTACGCATCCCGTAATACGACGGCGAAATGTTTTTCATTCATTGAATTTTGCAAAACAAGATATCTGCTTTGGTTTATCTGAATAATAATCTGGCGGGTGGATTACATGTATATTATTCGACCGAAATTTATAGATTATTTAAACTCGATAGATGTCACTAGAGAGCTATTATAAAAGGAGACGATGAGCGCACAAATCTCTAGTTGAAAAACGGGAAAGTTAATCACCCAGTAATGTGCGTCGATGACTTCTATTTTCTATATAAAAGTGATAGGATATGCATACAAAGTCGAATCAGTAGCTAAGCAGAGATCAAGGTGGTCGCAATCGCTGAGAAATTTTCGTTATGCATTTCAAATGTACATAATCAATGAAAATAGATGTGCAGCTAATTGATAAATTCCACAGCACACGCATAACAGAACGGGGTTTTTAAGTATCATCAACATATTTAGAATTATCTCCAAGCATTCGTTACGGTTTATTGATGGAGATTTCTCGATTAGATTATTTATAAAAATGTAGAAAAACTATCTAAATGCTTAATTTATCTCTGTCGTCGATGGGAATTTCGATATTGTGGTTGATGATTTGAAGAAGATTGCTGTACATTGACTTGCTTTGATAAACAATTTTGGATAAATTGATCTGCATTGATATTTGGAACACTTTCAATCCATTGTTTCCAGACAGAATTCGACATCAGGGTTTTTCTATTTCCGAAAACGATCATTGCTCGTTTTGCTCGCGTTAAAAGCACATTCATTCGTTGTTCGCTGGTTAAAAATCCAATCTCATTCTCGTCATTTGATCGCACTAATGAAATGAGAATAATCTCCTTTTCCCGTCCTTGAAAACCATCAACTGTTCGAACTTCGACACCTTTCGGAGTCTTGTTCAATAGTTTTTCAGCTATCTCCTTGACTTGTTTTGTATACGGTGTAATCACCCCAATATCCATTCTAAAGAGAGAAACGACAATCGTTTATGAAATTCGTATAGGAGTATCCATTACGGAGATAAATCTGGTTTCTGTGAAGGTAATAGTGTTTGAATTGTTTGGCAAACCATCTCTACTTCTCGTTTATTATAAATATTTGATCCCTGAAGTGTTTCAATGCCTTTATCGACATCAACAAACATCAATGGAATCTTTTGATCAATAAATTGGATTTCTTTTGGCGTCGGTCTATCTTTAGTTGTAACACCACTTCGTAGGAGATTCTTATAAAACATACGCGATGGAAAATCAATCAAACTCGGGTGCATTCGGTATTGTGTGTCTAGCATGATCGAGCTAATACGGAGATTTTCTAACAAACGTTGGAAGAACGATCGTTCTAATAATTGTTTCGCGTCAGTCATTTTAATAATAGGTGGTAACTAAAACAAATCATTCAGTTGTCTTAAATATTTAGAAGAAGAAGAAGTGTACTAACTTGTTTTTGGTCACCGACAAGAACAATTTGGTCGGTAATTCGTACTAATGAAATGAGAATATTTGGTTCAGTAATTTGAGATGCTTCGTCAATCAAAATGAATGGGAATTTCAACGATGGTTCTAAGATTCCAACACCAGAGCAAGTCATGCATAGAATCTGACAGTTCGACAAAACTTCACGGATTTCTTTCGGTCGTGGTGGACCAAATAAAGATTTGGATGAAATATTTGGATTTGTTTTTTGTTTCTCACGTCGAATCAATTCAATCTGTCGAGGCATTGTATATTCCTAAACGAAAAGGATCTATTCGAAATGTTCAACATCGGATGAGAAATCCTCACATGAAGATCTGGAGCCACGGTTCGCGGTTCTCCGTATCGAACTAATCGATACTGGTATTTAATCAATCGTCGCGTTAGATTATCAACTGCTTGGTGTGTTTCAGCACAAACTAAAATCGGTTGGTTGTCTTGTGCAAAATTTCTCAACCACAGATGAATGATCCATGCTGATGTTTCTGTCTTTCCAGTTCCTGGCGGTCCTTGAATCAATGTTAAACGATTTTCAAGTGCATTTTCAATCGCCTGTCGTTGACTGTCGTTCAAATTTGCTTGGTTGTACTCATTATCATTATGGAATTGATCTTCGAGTTTCTTCACCTTTTCTTCAGCATAGTTTTTCAATTGATCACCGATGAGATCATCAGATAAATTCAACAATGGTTTAATGATTAGATAATCTTGATTATCAATGAGTTTTTCAAATGCGTCAATTGATCGATTCAATGTGACGAAGTTCGGTAAGCGTTCCAAACGGAAGAGTTTTTGTCGATTTAAATAATTGTTATTCGTTAACGAACTGGGAAAATATGGGAATTTGATTGTCAAAATTGGATGAATACTTAAAATAATTCCAAATGATTGATAAAATAAACGTAATGGTGGTTTTTCATCAGTTCGATTTTGTTTGCTGAGATAATTGTTTAACTCTTCTTGATCAATCAATGCAATTGAATCACCAATATTAAAATGATGCGAAGGTATTTTTTCATAATGATATTCTTCAAATTGAAATATCGCCTCGTTATTTTCTTCAACATTACTTTCATCGTCATTCTAAAACGAAATCAAAGTGGTTCAGATAAATGTATGAATTCGATTCGAGGAGGTCGAGTTTGACATACGTTCGTCTGTGAGTCCTCTTCATCGTTTTTCTTCTTGATGAATTTTGCTCGTAAATTGAGAATTGTTTCGCCATTTCGAATCAAAATCTCTGGTTTTAATCGAATTCTTCTATCGATTTCGTCGAGATCGTAAACCGTTGTTCGAACAATCATCGATAAAAACTGTTTTATATAGTCGATTATCGCAGTTGAATGTTGCTCTTGGTTCGACATAGAAAGATTTAACAGATTGTCGAGAAATTTCAAACAAATGCCCGAGTCCTTCGTCATTAGACACGAACGAATNTTCTTCTATCGCTTTCGTCGAGATCGTAAACCGTTGTTCGAACAATCATCGATAAAAACTGTTTTATATAGTCGATTATCGCAGTTGAATGTTGCTCTTGGTTCGACATAGAAAGATTTAACAGATTGTCGAGAAATTTCAAACAAATGCCCGAGTCCTTCGTCATTAGACACGAACGAATTAAATCAATCAGTTGTTTCAATGTTAATTGAATGTTTGTTAAAGAAGAAATTTCTAAAAGATAACTTAAGGAAATTTCATCTGTGTTGTAATTATTTCCTAATAATATCGATAAATATAGATGGTAGATGAATTCGTTGTTGATCGAGTAAAATTGATCGATGTTGTAGAAATTCTCTTTGAACAAACGTTGCAATATTCTTCCTAAGTACGGAATGTACGATGGTTGACTTTTATCTTTTAGTTTTGAGTTCAATTTTTTCGTTGATTGAAAGAGCTGATTGAAAATCTTTGCATTTTTGTTTTCAATATGAATGAAGGAAATGATTAAATCGTGAAACCAACTTTCATCGATGGATAATCGATGAATCGAACCATTCAACATCGAGTGAATCTCTCGGAAAAAATAATTGAGAATTTCCTCATTGATCATTTCCATATCCACATGATTATCCTTTAAATAATTCCATATTTTACACAGATATTTCGTGTCATGAACTGACATGAAACTTTTCAATAAATTCTCCGCATTTTCCAATGAAATCTTTTCAAATTCTGCTTGAAATTCTTTTCGTTTCTCTTCCATTCGCTTTTGTTCATTCTTATATTTTTCTTCTTCGTCTTTATCTCTATAAACAAGATGAGAATGTGCAATGCGAAAGAATCGATCGAGAACGTGTAACTTACTGTTCAGTCAGATATTCAACGTATTCGTAATTTTCAACTCGCGGATTGAAATAATTTTGTGTAAAATATTCTTCATCATAATAACTGATCATTGGATAATAACTCGACGAGATGTGTTGATCGTTTGATAAGACAAAGATTTCGAAATAATGAAATTCATGCCGATTGACTTTCGGATGTTGACGTTCACGTAAAATATTTCGATCGAATCGAGTTAAATCCACACTAATTATCTTATTTTCATCATTTGTGTCATACATGAAAACAATAAATGAATTGCGGGGATCATTTTGATAAATTTGTATACGATCTTCGCTTATTTTGATGAAATAATCATTATCGAAATGAAATTTTCTTCGAATGGAATACAATGTTGATTCCAGATATGCAAAACAAAGTCCTAAAAACAACCTTTTGTTTTTATCTTAAACACAAACAAGAAAAAAAGGTTTTACCTGCTCGAATTTGCCATAAAACCGATGATTGATTTGAATTTGTTTGTTCAGTTACTAAAGAAAGTGCATTTTGATAAATATCCAAAACTAATGTAATGGTATCATTAATTGAAATACAAATTAACGTTCTTTCATGTGAAGAATTCTGTTTTAAAACATAAATCATCGGTTGAAATGTTTGTTCATATTCAATTTGAGATTCCATTTGAAATAATTTCGGAGAAGTGTAGAATAATCTCCAAGATGATGGCGTTTGAGACAAATGATACTTGTCGATGAGTTCATTGGATAAAATTTTTGATTTATTTAAGATTGCATATAAATATACTCGAGGAATTTTCAAAGACAATTCGATGTCTTGTTTTTGTTTCATTGTTAGTTGACTGAAATCGAACAAATAGATGAAAGTTCGAAGAAGTTCATCGGAATCTTGCTGCTCATTAATCCACTTTATTGTTGAGATGATCAACTCATATTCATTCAATGATTGAGTATTGTTGTAAGTTAATAATGCTGGACATCGCCGTTCGTAGAACATGTTCAATAATGTTGTCTTGGATAGACCTGTATATCGATTTTCAGTAAGTAATTTCGTTTGAAATTCATCACGAAATTTCTTCGCATTATTCAACATTTTCATCCAAACATATTCTTTTCCTTCAGCTGTGTTGCTTCCTAAATGAACCTTCGATGTTCAATGAGACATTCGGAATTAGATCGGTACCTGCGGTGGTTGTATTCGATGATTCTTCGCTTCTTGGTGGTTTTAATTCCGCTGGAACGCGAATCTTTTGTCCAGTTTTCGGCGCATCGACCGCTTGCGAGAACAATTCCGCTAATCTCCGACATTGTATGGATTGCACTCCTAAACGATTTGCCCAGTAATTGTAATACTTATCAATTAAGCCCGATTGATTGTTTTTCTGCGCACTAGCGAACTGAGCTATGCGATCTTTTCTTTCGATCAACGCTGATTCCTGCGCTTTTGCAGTTGAACTATAGTCCATTGGCTTATTGATCTTTTTCGGAATTAGATCGTTGTCCCANCTAATATTTTACTATTTAAGGATTTTTGAAAGAAATTCGCACGTTGGTATTTCCATCGTTGAACATTTCGATTCCAAATAATTCCTCGATGTTCCATTCCTAAATATGCTAAACCTAATTGATTTCCAAATCTTAGTGTATAGTTTTTTCCATTTCGCCGCAAGATATAATCAGCGAAATCAGCATTGGATATGATTATTGTCGGTTGATTGAAAAGATTTATTTGAACAATATCGCCATATTTAGATGTGTAATATTGCGATGCTAATGGAACAGTTAGTTCAACGTAGTGAAACGATTCGGGAAAGAAAAGTTTCAACAGGTATTTTCGACGGGTTTCATTACGTAGTTTAATAATGGAGAAAAAGAGAAAATTCGGTACAAATCGTTTCGGTTTTGGACCGGGAAATCTTTTCTTTTCAGTTGAATAGCGTAATAACACATAAATTGTGCTGAAAAATATAATAATTAATATACCGGTAGTCAACATCGATTAGATGTATCGAATATTGATGGAGAGTTCGTTGAAAAACGGACACTTGTGATATTCTTTCCCAGTCAATCTTTCTTATCTCTGCAAATCTTTATTTTCTTTTCTTTTTTCATCACTCCGACTCTTGAGTGATAAACTATATTTTTATTTTATTCTCTCACAGTCTGGGCAAGACAGAAAATCTTTTCACCTATGTTAAAAAAAAACAGCTTGTAAAAAGTCGTCTACAGTGAGGTCAAACTATATTTCACGAATTGCGATTTGTAACCTCAATTCTTTTTCCACAGGGAAAATCCAACAGTTTCATGACATGACCGTCTACCTCTTTCACACAAATTCTCTCAATGTGGTTTTAATCATCTTACACGTTTTTCAGTTCTCAAAGTTCGTTAGCCTTATTTCATTCACAATATGCACAATTTCTCACTTTCAACTAACACACGAGTGCTGTTGAAGATTGAAAGCATTTCTGGCAGCGCCGAAGTTCGAGCACTTTGTCACTGTCTTTACAATAAAATCATTCGATTTATTAACGGTGGGATATTTTTTATTCGTCTCTATGATTGTGTTCGATGGTTAATAAGTCTAATTATGTCATAATCTATAAGACACTTTCTTTGTTTTATGAGAAAAATCAGAAAGCATAATTTATTTTCGAATATATTTCTCTACGGAAAAAATGTGAATACATCGGTACTGTTTTGATAATTCACTTGACATGCTTTCGAGAAATCATCATGTAAATCATCTCGATTTTTGATATAATCCATAAATTGTGTTAGAGGACAACTCGCGCCTGGTCCTTTCTCACATCCAGGTAGAGGCTGCGGTGCAGAATTGACAAGAATTCGAATGAATTTTCCATTGTACGAACTCGATGTGCATTGTAAGCGTTCTAATGCAATATGTCCAAGAAATGGAACAAATTGACTCGATCTCCATGCTCGTCGATAGTTAATACGATCCAATGGAAGTGTTGGATTTTCATTTGACTCATTATACAGATCTAATGCTGTTAAAACTAACGGTAACATCTCTCGATGAACGACATTGATGTAAAGATTTTGATTGGTGGTAACTGTCTCGTTGAGAAGTTCACTTGATGCGACCACCCACGGCATTCCGAGACTTGCCGATAGATAGCTTCCATATCCAAATGAATAATAATATTTGATATCGAAATAATACTCAAACGAAAGCCATTCATCCGATGTAAAAATTTGACAAAATGGTGAAGATCCACGAATGACAGTTTCATAGCCACACAGTTCTTGCATTGCTAAAATATCAGTGGCTGAGAATTGAAACCCGGATATTCGATTATTCAATCGAGTGATGATTGATGAAGTATAATGTTCGAGCCAGATATTGGCCTGTTCAGAACCCGATGAAATATTAAACTTAGAACAAGTTTTTGTTGGTGATAATGTATTTGCGCCTTGATTCTTTTCTTCCTTGATTAATGAAACATCATCGATTGTTTTTTCTTCACCAGATAAGCCTGAGAGAAGCGATGAAGCACTCTCTTTGGTTCGATTCGATGATGACGCCCATATTTTGAATGATGCATGAAAGTTTTCAGGGATTATATTTGGATAGCGGTATGCCAATTGTGTTCCAAGATGAAAAGCTTCGAGACGACCTGATTTGGTCAATTTTTCTAATTGTTCATTCGGATCCGATATGGGCGAATTCCAGCTTTGTAAAAAAGCGAATTCTTGAGATCGAGAAAAATCAATTTGGCTCAAAGAAGACTGGAAACGTTTTAGAAATGGATCAATTGTATGTTCGTAATCATAATCATTTGCATAGATTGAACCATGGCGAATTAAATAAACGACTTTGTCCACTGTGCAACCAGTTGGAAGGCCAGGATTCAGTTCATTTGTATCAGATTCAAAATAAGGCGATATCGCCGTTAAATGATGAAGTATATTGAACTTGTACGAGTTATAAGATGCATCAGCAGTTAAAATTGGCGAATTAAATAAACTATTGGCATTTCCTTCCACTAAAAGCAAGAATAAAAGCATCCATCGAAGATTACCATATCGGATCATTTGTAATAAATTGAATAAGCAAAGACTATTTATATTGATATTACAATCAAAAAACGTATTGAAATGGATATTTTCGAATTTTTATAATACGATTATTTATGTATGCAAATGATTTGCATTATTAAGTATAACATTTAATGATGCATATAAATCCCTTTGATTGTACTTCTTAAACTAAGATTTTTTACTCATCTCTCTCACACGAATATTGTAAATTTACTATCGAATTGGTGAAAAAAATTCATTCGACTATTTACTTTAACATTTGATCCAAGGAAAACAAGCGGTTCGAAGGGATATGTAGAAGAATTTTAATCGAATATTTTTATTCATTATATCTTTGATCGAACTAAGTTATAAAATATGTAATAAAAAAGAAAGAAGAAAGTATTTCAAAATATCATTGATGGTTTTTTTTTCAAATCGAATCATCGTGTTGTGTTACGCTTCGATATTCCTTTGTAGTTGGTAGTTCCATGCTAATATTCTGTTCACTTTTGGATTTTTTCGTTAGATATAAATACCAATATAGTCCTCCAACAAAACCTCCCCCACCAATTATATTTCCAAAAGTAACGGGTAATAAAACGCATAGAATATATCTTCCAATCGAAACATTTGCGCCAAGTAGCATTCCCATTTGAACTGTAAACATATTTGCAATGGAATGTTCATATCCAACTGCAACAAAAAGCAAAATAGGTAAATAGATTGCAACAATTTTGGAATTCAAATCTCGTGCACTTGTGCATAAACAGTATGCAAGACAAACAAGCCAATTCCCACCAATACCTCGTAAAAACATTTCATACCATTCTGTATATCCTTTTGTTTCAGTGTATTTGATCGAAAATGAACGATAAGGATCATATTTGAGAAGACCTGCATAATAAACTAATACAAATTGAAAGAATAAACAGCCAACGAAATTTCCGACATATGATATTGACCAGGATTTGAGAAGTTGAATCCATGTAGTCTTTTTATTTAATGTTGATACCATTAAAATCATCGTATTTCCAGTAAACAAATCAGCGCCAGTGAGAATAACTAAAACAAGGCCAATTGGAAATACAGCAGCTTGAATTATCTTATGAATACTTCCACCGAATTGTACACTTAATGGAAGACTTCCACCACCAGCATTCAAGAGAAATAATCCCCCAAATGAAAGTAAAATACCAGCGAGAAAAGATTTGATGATAAGATGATCGACTTTTTGTTTCGATTTCTTTGTTCCAATATTGGATAAATGCTCCAATGTTTCCGAGATATTATAAGCGTCAGTCATTGTTAAATATATGAACAAGTGTTCGTATTTCTATCACAACTGAAGAGTACGATGAAAGAAAAAGAAAGAGGACATTTATGAATATTAAAGTAGAAATGCGTTCATCTGTAACAAAAATCAAATCTGTCATTTCGTATTTATGTGTGCTTACATAACATTTGTGTTATACAATGTTATGTCAGATATATGCCGATTTCAATGATCGGAGAGATACAGAGGGTCAACAAAATGTATTCATTGTATCCACTATTTTAGTTAATTTAACTTAATTTGAAACTTGTAAAGACGATAGTTATTAGGAATGTGTGGTTCATCATCGCTGATACTCTCATAATTAAACTAAATTGACACTTTATGATATCAGTAAGACATACCACTTTCAGCATAAGAATTTTCTTTTGACAATAAATTCTGCGTAACTAAAATATTGTTTTACAAAAGTTTACATAATCGAAGATCAGTGATCATGTTCAACAGTTTACATAAAATAGGAATGAAAATTTGTCTGCATACATTTTTCTATCAATATCTTGTTTTGATTGAAACTTAAAGATAAAATAATCTTTTTTTTTACTTTATAAAAGAAAGAAAGAAAAGATTCTATGATACACATCGTCTATTTCTCCTTTTTAGTATTTCAAAAATCATGCGATACCAATCTCTCGTCTTTCTTATCTGGTAATTGATGCTTATTATTCTGAGCCAAATTTAAATTGCCCATTTAGTTTTAGTTTTTCAAGTATAATCAAAAGTGATCGTTCAGATCAATAAAATAATCCTTGAGTAGTTGACCTAAAGGTGCTATGAAAGGTACACTCGTTGTTGGTAAATGTGGTCCTATAATTCTGCATTTGATTACCTTCATTTATCCAAGCGAATTAACTTCCGATACGCAGAGTAATTGATATACTTGGAATGCATTTAATCATCGAGTACAGAAATTTTCTATTGACAAAGCTTCATGTATCACGTTATAAAACGTTGATGTTTTTATTTTATTCAATATGTAAGTTTTCCATACGATTAACAAGTGTTTTCATTGTTATTGGTTGTGCTTCTTCTTCCTCTTCACTCTCATGATCTGATGACGAAGATGTGATAGAAACTTTCCTTTCATCGTGAGATCGTTTTGCTGCTTCTAATCTTGATCGTAATTTTTCATTATAAGCTTTCTCACGTAATTTAACGAAATCATATGAAGATAAATCATAATCTTTTGCTTTGTCAACAATGGAAACAGCTAGTTCATCAAGTTTCGCATCAAATTGCGGTATTGACGAGTCTAATCGAAGGTACTGATACATAACAGCAACATTTTTCGTTTGAAGTAATCCTTCACGAATATGCTTCGTTAAACTCAATGCAAATTGAAACAGAAATATATTGGTCGATGTCGACGAAGCGTTTGTGACAAATGTATCGAAAAATTGAAAGAGTGCTTTGAATGGAAGAACACCTACACATAATGTGGTAAACCATTTTTGTGTATAAGTTTCCGGGAGAATGAAATGTTTGGATAGATGTTGATGAATATCTGGATAATAATCCGCGAGAAGGTAATCAAAAACATAGGCGTCAGTAGCGAATGCAACTGGTTCTTCAGTCCAATAATCAATAAGAACATTTTGATGAAGTTGACGCATTTTCTCGATAACTTTTGTTGGTGAATTTGTAAGTAGCAGGAAACCCGCGACGTACGACATAGCTTGATGATATGAGTTGAATTCATTTTGAAGGAAGGATAAAACATGCATCAATGTAGTTCGTTGTTTGATATTTACGAACGTTCGCTCAGCATCAAGACGTATAATACGAACATGATCAAAATTCGTTACGAAATCATCTTCAGCATTATCTTCGATCTTTTGGAGAATTTCGTCTGATGGTAAAAACGAACGATTCAAGCGTAAAAGTGGCGCTTCACTTTCTTCTTTCCAAAAATCGGCTCTTCGAAGCATTTCACTTGACAAAAGAAAACAACAACGACACGAGTAAGACACATGCTCGTGGTCTTGCACAGTACTTTCGCAATAACATGACTCAAAACGCTTTTTTTCTTCTCTTGTTCTTCATCAATGATGTTATAGTTAACAGCGAGAATGAAGAGATTTCCACACGGTCACATCATTTTCGAATTCTTAATTATACATTCTACATTAATGATGATGACGAAAGCATCTTCGTTTTCAAACAGATAAGACTATATAGAATATTCTTATCTCTTGTATAAAGCACAAAATTCTCGTTTTTCATAGGCAAAAATGTTTTATCATCGTTGTTTTTCTGTTTTATTGATATTACTTCGATTAAATTTCACGTATCAACTCGATTCTCTGCACAATCTTGGTGCATTCTGTTCTAATGATTCGTCATTGGGTGTTCCAAATTTAAATCCAATCGACGATAGTTCGGCGAAACTTATCCGTACGATCGAAAATGGATCACTTTATACAATTGGTAGTGGAGAGGATAAATCATGGTTAATACATGTTTGGGGTGAAACTGGATATGATTATGGTATTGCTTATGGAACACTTTTGAAGGAACAAATCGTTCAACTTCTTCCACGAGCATGGGCACATTTTGAACAAAGAATTATCGATGAATTAGATAAGTTAAAATTACCGAAATGGTTCGAAGAGATTGTTGTGAATAAAGGTCTGGCGTTTGCATTGGATTTTCAGAATACTCTAGTGGAAAAATATATTGATAAAGAAATCTATGACGAAATGCGTGGTATTGCTGAAGCTGCAAATGTCGATTATAAATCAATTCGCCGTTTACATATGCTCGGTGAAATCACGCGAGGTGAATTGGAAATAACTTCAGTTTTCTATCGTATGAACGGCTATTTTATGTAGGTCGGTGTTCACTTTATGGTTTATGGGGTAATGCAACATTCGCTGGAAAAACTCTTCAATTACGCGCATTGGATTGGGATACTAAAGGTGGCCTTCAAGATTATCCTGTCATTACGATTTATCATCCTCGATCATCCAAACTTGGCCATGCTTTTGCTAATGTTGCATGGGCGGGTAAATGCTTCTTTTAGTTTTCTTGATTTTCATTTTTTTTCTTCTTAGGCTATATCGGGACATTAACTGGGATGTCTTCAACGCAGATGGGTATCTCCGAAATTGGAATTTATTTTTCCGATGATACATTTGGTGATGAGAGTATGAGTGGTCTTCCGTTTATCTTTGTTGAACGATATATTTTACAATATTCGCAAACACTCGATGATGCGCTTTCATTCGTTTCCAATGTAAAACGAACGTGTCGATTAGTTTTAGGTGTAGCCGATGGAAAATTAGGCACAGCTCGAATGATTCAATATTCTCATTCGCGCGTAAATTTTTTCGACGATCAGAATTTGCAACCATTAGCCGAATGGCATCCGCGTTTGACGAACGCTGTTTACCTTGGAATGGACTGGCTATGTCCATCTCGGCAATATAAATTGTACAAACAAATTCTTTATCAATACGGAAAAATTACACCTGAATCATCGATTCGAAACATAACATCGGTTGCGAAGACAGGTGATCTGCATGTGGCTTTGTATGATCTTACAGATACAGTAATGTATGTAGCGAACGCTCGAGGAACAAATGAAACAGGTCCATTGGAAGCTTATCAACGACAATTCGTTAAAATTGACCTTAAAGTTGAATTTGCACGTACAAATCCTTTTTTGAAATAAAAGTTCCTTTTCAAACATGACCAAAGTTAATTTTCAGCTATTTTCCTATTCCACAAATAAACAGAGCATTCAACATCGATCTAGCTTTCTCTTGCAATTGCGCTCGTATAGTTGAACAAAAGTTATACAGGAAGTTCTTTAGTTTTCTGCGATCAAATGGATCTTCCAGATACAATACAATTTGGAAACTCATGTTATTTTTCCTTTTTTGTAGACGTCCAATTACTATTAATAATTCATTACGTCAAAATATAAAAATCTTCATGGTGCTTTTTCTACTTAAGTACGCATTTAATCATTACATCTTCTACTAGTGAATTTCAGAACTGTTTTGAATTGAATTCACCCCAGGTCGAACAATCCCATATTCGGATCCAGCATTGGATTTGTTGACCTGGGATAAAACATTAAAACCATTGCCTTTGACAATATTAAATGGTCTTAAATCGAAAGCACAAAATTTTGCACAGGCAATTGTAATTGATCGTTTATCATCGACTGAAACATTAACACATGCAGGTTTTGATAAATAATTATGAAGAGTTTTATTCTTTTTTTATTTGATTTGATTTATCAAGACAGTTTGTGACATGAGAGCTTATTGTCGATGTTCCATTCGAAATCGAATATGATAATATTTCATAACATAATTGACATTGTACAAATGGTTGATATTGATCATTTGAATATTTAATACGTGACAAATGTTCCCAAAAGAATTCATGTGATGCTAATGGTGGTCCAGCGTGGGCTATTAATTCACCACTTTTCAATTTTTCTATCATGTCTTTCTTTTTTCGCTCAATATCTTTCTTGGAATCTGGCATAAATTATTTCTATGAGTGGAAGAATTTAGTTAATATTGATAATAGTATTCGAGAGACTATTTAACGAGAAAAAATAAGGTGAAACTCAATAGTGCAAGATGAAATACATTCAAAACGCTAAATGTACAAAGAATAAATAGTACCGTTTCTATTTCTGACTGAATATTTGTAACCAATTGAACTTATTTATCGACTATTTTTATAGATTCTTCTAATATTTTTTCAAAGATGTCATCAGCATACAGTGTTCAGTATTTTTTCCAGATTGACAGGTTACAAGATTTATACCCTGCAATCTGCCCTGTACAAATTTTCATAACCTTACCCTGTCGTGCCCTGGCAGGGCAGCACCAGTCAGGGCAGCTTAACCGTATCCTGCAGGGCTCTATACCTACCACAATGAGCAGCATCAAGAAGTTAACCAACGCTGAAAGATCTCATCAGATTTGGACTATGTCGGCGGATACACCGATATACTCATTTTATCAAATTTTCGGAATTTTTAAAATCTTGGCTCTGACAACTGGATCCTCTCGGAATATTTTGGTAATTGGGCAGTCCGATTCGATCGAATTTTTATATGCGAGTGTTGCGCGTGTTCATCATACTACGTGAGAGATATCAGAGTAAACGAAAGTGTTTATATGATTTACTGCTCGAGAATGTAACTATATATAGAAAAGAAGACTAAGAGAAAACAAGATGAGAAGATCCGTAGACCAAGACCTGCAAAAGGAAAAGCTGCTCAGCACAATCAGTCACCAACATAGTGCAATATAATTTTACTGTTGAAAACATTTTATCGTCCTAAGAATCTTGTTCACCAAACAATCCTTTGTAGTCATTACATAGTTGGGTCACTTGTTGATCAAGGTCAATCTATTGATGCTGCTAGAATAAATTAACAGATTATGAAATAATACGTTAGAGAAAAAGGTGTAGGTTTGTTATTGGATATTTAGAGACGCAAATAACTGTCCGTATTAGGCATTCATTCGTAATTCTAATGGAATAAGATCTATGAGAAAAGAACAGGCACTCTAATTCTTAATTCATCACATATTGGATGTATAGAATTTGTTAAGCTTTTAAAGATATATACAATACTCTTTTATGATTTTCGTGCATGATTTATAAACAGTAATACGAATAATAATTAGCTGAAATTATCGTGAGAAGAATTCTATATAGTATTATAGAATGTGTTCTCATTAATTTCTTATGAACCCCGTGCTTCGAGACGACTATATTTACTATTCTTGTCTTTCACAACTAACAATACATAATACATAGACATCTGAGTTTTTATTGCATATTAAAGACACATGCTTCTTTCTTTTCGGTTATAAATATGTCTTTGCTAACTGTTAGCTAACAAGCAACTATATACGGTGGTTTTATTCTTGCTATTGGAGATATTTTTGGTAATTCGATGAATATTCTTATATTTTCGACATATCAAACTTATCGTACAGCTCCTTCTACATTTTGTTTTGTAATAAATTCGATAATAAATCTCATTTACTTATGCATGAATATCCTTAGTCGAATTCTTAGCGTTGGTTATGGCATTGATCACACTCGTACATCGATCCTATGGTGTAAAACACGTTCATTTTTCATAACAACATTTAGTTTAATATCTTTCACTTGTTCATGTTTAACCGCAATCGATCAGTATTTCTTTACTTCTTCGAACGTCCAAATTCGACAGTATAATCAATAATGAAATACACCTATCGAGTTCTTTTATCGAAAATATTTGATGATTAATATATTCATTATTTTATGTCTTACTCCAATATTTATTATGATCTTATTCGGGTATTTAGCGTATCGGAGCATTCATCAAGGGATTGTTCTTTCGAAACAACAAGTTGATCGTCAATTGACGCGAATAACTTTCGTTCAAGTTCTCTTGGTGGCTGTCAGTATGACTCCATATGGAATTTTTAATGTTTATATGATGACTACGAAGGATTATTCTAAAGACGCCTATCGACAAATGCAAGAGTATTTCATTTCGGCGATCGTTGGTCTGATATCTTATTTTTATTTTGTTGTAAGTTGAATTATTTTGAGTGAACTTATTTGAGAAGGGTTTTTTAGGGAAATTTTTATATGTTCTTCATTGTGTCAAGTCGTTTTCGTGAAACAGTCAAAGATCGGATCTTCTTTTGGAGGAAATCAGAGAAATCGAAACATCTTGGATTCGCTTAACTGAAAATCAATTTGAAACAAGAAAAATATGAAATCAATTCCTATGAACTTATCAAAACGGCTTTCGCTATGGACATTACCAATAGAAATCAGTTCAATGATAAAAATCCCAAGTCATAAGTAAAGGACAAACAACATATCTTTCTAATGTTTAATAGAAGTGTTATCAACTTTCAATAGATCGAGTATAGTCCGACTCAATGACAAGTTTTTATAATGAAAACATATAGAACGATTATAGACAAAAGTATTCGATCGTCTCATGCATTACAAATATTATTATGTCTCACGACAAGAGTAATCATTGAAAATCTTAGGCGGAATCATGTATTATACTATCAAATATTAATCTAACTATGGAAAAAATAGAAGTAAAATTACGATCATTTTCAGAAAGAATTGTACAATCGTAATAATTTACTAAAGTTTTTCGTTTTCGTAATGAACAATCAACTTACAGGTAAATGAATAAGATTGAAGTATTCAGCCAATAAATGCATATATCTAAGACAAATGTTTTCACAGGATTGATATATGAAAAATATAACTTTAAAGATAATTTCTCTTCAAAAAAGTGTATCTTTTGCACTTTTGTTCTCGTTTATTTCTTTTCTCAATCGAAATTAAATAGAATAAACAATATTAATTGTACACTTGCACATTTCCTGCAATCATATCGTCCTGATTTACTCCTTACACAGTGCTATTGCATTCTGACGCATAATCACACTTGATTTTATTTGTTTAGAATTGATACTATTTCACAGCATGCATTTTATCGATGAAACACTACGAGCGATACATCAAAGTTCATATTTTAAGCATTTGGTACTGTTGTAGGGCAAAGCATTAGTGTGCATGTAACTTGTTGATCTGCACATCTACACCAATTACAATTATCCATGAACAGTTCCTTATCGTTATAATATTCACCATGATAGTCACAACCTTCTACTGATGGTAATGTTGACGACGGATAATCATTATTTGCTTTCAAAGAATTGGATTTTTCATCTGGTAACACACCTGCTTTCATTATTATTATTAAACAAAAGAAGATAGAGATGTAGTGTATTTGATACTTCATTGGTGAGCGCCCAAATGTCGATTGAAAGGAAAAAAACTAAAAACGCGATAGGTAGAAACACGTTTATATGCAGACAATTCAGACGTTGTTGCTATTTACTTTAGCTTATGAGAATATTAAACTTAGAATAAAGTTTTATGCGCAAATCCTTTTCTTTGATGTGACATTCAATTTGATTGACTCTATATCCGTCATCGTCATAGAATTTTTAATAAATGATCAAGTGAATGAGTCTTTATTTAATATTGAAGAATCTGTTTAATAATCAGACAACTCAGTGTCGATGAGATGGTTATGAATAATGATACAGAATAGTTCATGGCACTGTTACAATTATCTTTATCCGAGCAGCAATAAAGTGTTGCCACCGCACCTGTACTCGAAGATGAAATACATGGGGCGTTGGAACCTTCTCGAACAACAGTACCCGACGGAAAGAAACCCACATTTGACCAATACATTGTTTTCTGAGCGGAAAGAAACATAATATAAGACAATCACGTTGAGTTGCTCTTACTCACTTGACAAGATGTAAAACCTGATTGCGATACAGGATTTGTTTTTGATAAATCTCCCTTGTAAGGATCATAACAATCGATATTAGTAATAGTTGAACATACAATACAATTCAGTCCATATATCGTGGAAACCATCACTACGAACACATGATTTCAATGAGATTTGCTGTATTGAAATAGGAAATACCTACTCAGAATGATGAAATACAGAAAAATAATACGATGCATTTGTCTCTCCAGTTAAATTCAAGTCGTCAGATTCAAAAAAACAGGACGTTTAATCAAATAGTTATAAAAATTTGACATCAGCTATTTTTGCTCTCTTTAAAAATGTTGATTTGAAAAGTAAAGAAAAACATTTGATTACTATCATATATGGTAATGAGTAAATATCATGTGGGCATTGCATCTTATTTAAAATAGAGCAAATTATGATAGATCCACATCATTGAAGAAATATTTATTGAGATAATATTTGATTAGAAGTTTACTCGAATGGTTCTTATTTTCGTTGAAAATGTACGAAGTTGATGATCTCTGTACTAGGAAGATTAACGAGATTCATTTTGCGTTATAAAAACCGACCTGTGATTATAAACTTATGTTTTTACGCACATTTTTTCTTTTTCTTCTACAATAATTCCAGTGCAAACGCGACTCTAAGTATACAACGAATCGTAGAGCTACAAGAACAGAAAAGAAAAAGAATGGCGTTCTTTAACCTACATACAGTAGTGCATTTTTTTGATCTTTCCATACGTTGTTCGAGATTGTGTATACTACGCAGTTGTAGTACTCAAACGATCGACGCAATCTTTCTTCCTCTCTCATTCCATGAACATTTATCTACATATATATATATAGAACGGTAAATCAGCATTTTCTCTTCATTTTATACTTACACGATAGAAAACTACAACAAAATGGAATGCTTTATTCATGATCTCGATGAAGAAACAGCACGGCGTCAAAAGAACGATGTACAAGATGATCAATCGGTACGACATACAATAACGAACGAAAAGAGTACCCTTAGTGGGGATACAACGTATGACAAGGCTCAAACAGGAATGACTGGACCAAGTTGGACCGGTGGAATGGGTCAAGGAGAAAATCATTGTCCTGCAAATGGACCTGATCATCATCCAGATGAACTATACTGTGACTGTTGTCGTAAAAATTAATTTGTTTTTCTTTGTAATATTCAAGAAAACATGCTTTACTATGCACTGTAGTTAGAAACTCTGTATATAATAAAATACACCTCCTCACCCAAGATTGACTTGATGGCGAAACGCGATTCATAATTGTTGCAAACTTAAAATAGGTTAAATACGGAGCATTTCAACTTAAAAGTTTTCAATCGTTCGCTAATTATCGAGTCCTTCATTTAAATGATGATGCTCTCAAAATTGTGTATATGTCAATCGTCGCATATAAAATATGATCTAAAATCTACTGATTACTATTGATCTATGAATACTTCAAATATAAAAGCATTTAAATAAATTAAATAAATATAGACAGCAGATCACCTCCAAGTATTTAGTAAAAACATGTTTGCTGATGTATCAGTTGTCTATACTGAGTATGCATACAGATTTATATTTCGCTAAAAATTGCATTTTCCAGGGGCAAGAACTATTTAGAGATAAATCATGTATATATACATACATATTTAAAACAGAGATATCATGATTTTATAGCACAAAAGAAGATCTTGAGAAAATATTTGAGGAGTGTGTCATTACTCGGTGATAATTACGAGCTGCTCTATAAAACATGAGAGACGAAATATTTCAACAATCGACAAAATGGGAAAAATTTTATACTGTGTTTTAGCAAGTATCTGGTGTCTGCTGTGTCAATCTGAAGAAGTGCAACAACAATGTCCAGAAGGTTTCTCCTGTTCAAAAGTAATGCGACGATCAGGACTAAGATCTAACGACGATTATGAACTAGTATTAACTCTTTGTCCGCCAGGCACATTCAGTGGACTGGGACAAGATGATTGCGCACCATGTGAATCGGGTTATTATTCCAACACAAGTGGTTCCGCTTCTTGTACTGTCTGTCCCGCTGGTCATATGTGTAGAGAAGCTGACAAAGTCCCATCACCATGTTCGCTGGGAACATATTCGTCCTGTATGGGACAAATCTGTTGCAGTGCTTGCCCGCTTGGTACATATACACCACGACTAGGATCAATCGAATGCAAAAACTGTCCTGCTGGAGCTCAGTGTCCAAAAAGTCCGAAAATTGTTTGTGGTAAGATAACTTGCAAGTCACAATGTTTTATAGTGCAATTTCAATAATGACAAGAATGCGTATACCTCTTCGTATCTTTGTTTTTGAGAACTAATCAAAGTCTCCTAAGAGTCTTTGTATAGTGCTGGTACAAATCTTTTGAGATATGTGTATTCTGTAGTAGTACTACTCAAATGCAAAACCTAGATGATAAATTACTCGAGATTCGTAGAAAACTGCTTTATCCGCAAGAATAGTAAAGATTATTTAAGAAAACGTATTTTTCTTGAAAGGTGGTGATATCCTATCCCCTCAGCATCAAGCTATTCTTACTGAATTCACTGGTAAACGAAATCCTAAATGGAAACTGTTGTATAAGGCCACACGAGATGGATTTAGCGGTACGGATTTTCATCGTCTCTGTGATAACCAAGCACCAACGATGACAATTATCCAGTCAACAAATTATTACTTATTTGGTGGGTACGCTAATCTAGCTTGGAATTCCTCATGGAACTATATCAATGATCCTCACGCTTTCATTTTTACCTTGACAAATCCAAACTCAATTCCCGCAACTCGTTATCTGATTCGAGGTGGATATGAACAATACGGGTACTACGATAGTTCATCGTATGGTCCTACATTCGGTGGTGGTCACGATATTTATTTGTCCAACTATAGTAATGCAACTGATTGCTATACAAATTTCCCTCATAGTTACACGGACACAACAAAAAAAGGTTCAATTACATTTACGGGCAATTACACATTTCGATCACGTGAAATCGAAGTATATAAATTAGTGGGATAATAAGAGACATGAAAATGAATGTTTTTTGTTCACGAAAACAATAAATGCTTCTGTTTTCCCACCATTCATTCGCGAATCAGCATTTGAAAAATAAGACAATGCAAATGGCAATGAGTGTAAAACTAGCTCAAGTACAGTCATATGATAAATCTTCACATCATAGGTGAGACCATCAATCGAGAAAAGAATTGTGATTTCCAACATCATCCACAAGACTCGATGAAAACAATTCGCTTCCTTCCTCTATATTAACATATGAGCATAGAGTAAAACAAACAAAAAAGTAGTCAATGTGTGTTTGTCATACCTGAGTAATCCGTTAATAACCTATCCGTCGTAAAAGTGATGTTATTTCATGCGGATAATTTTCCCTTTCTTCATTACAATATCTGGATAAAAATAAAGTCAAACAATAATCAACAGAAAGGTTTATTCAAACGTTCGGGCGTGTTCGTGAGGAAAGTATACCTTATTGACAATAAACATGACGTTAGAATTTTTATCACTAAATGAAGCACGCAAAAGTCTTATTTGTTTGTGTTCCGATGCTGAAACTGAATCTTTGGCTGTGAAATTACATGAAATTGATCCAAAATGAGAAAATTCTTCTCATTGCTTCGAATTCGTTCATGACTCAAATTATTTCTTCGATTGATTTATTTCGTCGCATTGATTATCTCTTTGTATATCATCCAAACGAAGAAGAAGACAATGAATTCAATTTTCATCAAGAGTTGAATATCATTGGTGTTTATCATCAGATGTCTTCGTTCTTATCATCAGTTAAGGAACAAATCGCTTTCATTAGTAGTCAATTATCTTCTCTGGTATTTTTTACCGAGAACAAATACGAAAATCAAGGCAATTTCATGACAAGTAAAGGATTTTTGTATTTAAATAGTTCAACTTCCAAAATTTGACGCAACGATTTAATTGATGTGACATTTAAATTTGAATGTAACTCGAAAACGAACTTGACTTCTGTTCGATTCAATGAAAATGAAGTTTTATTCGATCTGAATGCAACATTTCTATTAGAGAAAATCACCGAAAATCATAAAAAATGTTCGATTCGATTAACTGCAGTGAACGACGGTCAACAAATTGTCGAAAAATATGTCAAAGATACAAACCATCAAATAGAAAATTTAAATCTTCGAACTGTTTTCGGCAAACTAATGTTAGATATGAATCAATGGAATGAAGACAATTCCAACTGGAACGAAAGATTCTGCTTTGATTCTTTCGAGTATCGGAGAAATTTTGCATTTACAAGGAAAATATGAAGATGCTGAAGAAATTTATCGAAAAGCATTGGAAATCAGACGGAATTCTTATGCATCAACTCATCCACTTATCGCTAATAGTTTAGTAAATCTCGCTCGAATTTATCGTCGAAAATCAAAAAACGACAAGGCACTCGTCATCTTTAAAGAAGCTTTAACAATTCAAGAAGAATGTTACAAACATTCTCATGTTGATATTGCGATGAATTTGAATAACATTGCCACTACTCTACTCTTTCAAGGAATGATCAAAGAAGCCAATAGTTATTTAACTCGAGCAATATCTATTCTTAGAAAATATTATCAATCCGATCATATAAATATTATTCAAGTGTTTTAAACTCTGGCTTTTTATTACATCGTACAGGAAAAGTTCGATGAGGCAATGAATATCTATCGATGTATATTTACAGTTGCTAAGAATCTTTTCTCTCCGGACCATATTATGATTGCCGAGATTTTACACGGTATTAGAACTATTAGAGATGAACAAGAAAAATACGGTCAAGCGCTGAAATTCTATGAACAAAGTCTGTCGACATTGAAGAATTATTATTCATCAGCTTATATTGATATTGTTTGTTTTTTACATTATATTATGGTAATGCGTATTCAAATGATGGGAATTATGAGAAAGCTCATTATTGTCAACAGAAAGCGTTGACGATGTTGGATACATATTATCCATCATATCTTTTACGTATTACAAGTTCTCTCAACTACTTCGGAAATATCTTGAGAAAACAGCAGAAACTGGATGAAGCTTTCGATGTCTATAAACGAGCATTAACGATTCTCGAAGAAAGTTTCGGATCTGATCACACTGGTTGGACGCCAACCCTTACTAATATCGGTCAGAGGTACTTCGTGAAAGAACATTATGATGATAATCGTTGATTTACTATGAACGAGCGCTGAAAATATGTGAAAAGAATTATGCACCTGATCACATCTCGATTTCTTATAGTTTGAATGTTATTGACGATTCATGGCAAAAGAGAAACTAGTTTGATGAAGCTTTGATGTATAAACAGCAAGCATTTGCCATCCAAACGGCATATTATCCAACAGGTCATTCATGTATCATTGCAACTCTAGACTCAATCGGTGATATATACAAAGATCAAAACAATAATGAGGAATCTTTGAATTACTATCAAAAAGGATTAGAAGTGCGGAAACTTGTTTATCCTCTGTATAGTGCAAAGGTTGCTTATAGTTTGAACTATATGGGTATTAAACTTCTAGAGTAAAGTCAATCGGATCGAGCTCTTGAACGTTGTCGACAAGCATTAGCAATAGTAGAGAAAATTGATCCAGATAATTATATATTGATTGCTGCAATCTTAGGAAACATTGGTAATACATTATCTTCACAAAAGAGATTTGAAGGAGCTTTCGACTTTCAACAACGTTCATTAAATCTACGAAAAACGCATTGTCCATCCGAGTATGCAAGTGTTGCTTTGAATTATAATAGTATAGGAGATATTAGATACCAAGAGGATAAGTACCGCGACCAAGCACTGGAATTCTTTCAGAAGGCTTTAACAATAAAAGAAGAATTCAGTCCAACGAATTATACATTCATCGCCTTACTTTTATACAATATTGGCTATGCTTTGTCTGGACAAGGAAAATACCGCTTTGAGTCATTGTGCGGTGGAAAATATTCGGTATACTCAAGACAAGTACAATGAAGTGCACGAATTCTATCAACAAGCGTTAGAAATCGAAGAAAAGAACAATTCAGTTGATTACATCTTCATCACCAAACTTCTAACGATGATTGCTCATATTGTTCATTTTCACAAAAGGAATATGATGATGCGTTCGAATTTTATCAGAAATCATTGGAAATACGAGAAGAGTATTGTTCTTCTGAAGAAGTGAATATAGCTGACAACCTACGATTCATGGGTATTAGAAGGAACCTTGACGACGACTACAGCGAAGGGCGAATGTTTTTTGAAAATGCAGTGGATATCTACGAGAGGTATTGTCCAGTCACCCTTCGAAAGATAATTGCTATGCTTCGTGATATGATTGTCTTTTCAAATGAAAATCAAAAATTAAAAGATGAACTCACCTATCGAGAACGATTATTATCAATTCAAGAGAAATAATATGGAGAATTTGGTATAGATAAACTCAGCAACTTAAACGAAATTACGAAGATCTTATTGAACTTTATTCGCGAATACTGCTGATGCCCAAAGAATTGACTGCAACCGATCATTATGCCATTGCACATGCTCTCGACCAGTTAGTACTCGCATGTTTCAACAGAGAATCATCCTATGATCATGCAATCGAATACATTGAATTTGCTGTCAGAATAGAAGAATCCAGTTTGTCTTCTAAAGCTTTACAAACACTAATACTGCATCTGTTACATCTCAGCACAGTCCATAGATTTTGTCGTCAATACAAATCCTCGTTAATATATGAAAAAAATTGCCACCAAATGATACACTAATTGCTGAAAGTTTGTCAAGCATTGGTGCATGTTACGAAAATCTATATCAGTCCCAAGCAGCACTGGGATACTATATTATCAAGCATCGTCCATCTATGAGCAACATCCAGGAAATTATAGAAGAAGCTATTCAACGTGTTTCATCGATACTGAATGCTAAATGAGTTCTGTAGCGAAACACGATCAATCGCTTAGAAAATTTATTTTTTCGTATATTTTACAGCGAGCTAAGTTACAAATAAAATAAATAATTCAAGCTCATTTTTCTTTTAACTATCATCTGAATTAAGTGTTATGAACGGAGTGAAGGGTATTCCGCTTTGAATATACGAAGCCACACCGTCCTGGCAGTGCTGTAATGATTCATCGCTTGATGACTCGACTGACGAGCTCGAAGACTGATCATTTTCTGCTACTTCACTTATTTCAGTGTTCGAGAATGTTTCATTGACAGATAATTCTGGTGCGTGTGTTCTTCGTCGAAAATAGCTTGCATATGGATTTTCTTCTGCAAAGTAAAATATTCTGTTTAAATTAAAAGAATCTATGAAATAACATTTAACCTTCATCTTTAGCTTGATTTTCTTCTTCCTTGGTTAGATTTTCATCATCATTGTGAATAAGAAATGAGTCGTGTTCACAATAGGAAGTAATCGTATCAGCATGTTCTCGTAATAGCTGCCGCAAGAGTTCATCATGTATTCTGTTCGTATTCATTTGATCTGTTGGCTCATCGTCAGTATCAAAATCAAATTGATAAAGTTTCCTCAATTCATCGTGAGTGAAATGACGTGCAAGTTGTTTCGCATCCACCACACCTATACAAAGTCAGTATAGAAGAAGATATCGAAAACGAGAAAGAAGGAAACGAACGATGAAACATGGCTTGTTTAGTTATCTGGCGTTTGTATATCTTTTCTTCCATTGTTCCTTTGACAATCAATCGATAAATAAATACCGGTTTCATTTGACCAAGTCTGTACGAACGGAACATCGCTTGGAGATCATGAGCTGAAAAACAAACATTGTGAAATTGTTTCTGCAAATAAAAGAAACAACAAACCTGGATTCCAACTTGTGTCCAAAATAACAACTCGATTCGCCGAGTAAAGATTTACTCCTACGCCACCAGCGAGTGTCGAGATTAGGTAAAGTCGGCTACGAGAATTGTTCGAATCGTTGAAAGATTTCATATCAGCCGCTCGTTGTTTTATCGAGGTATTGCCATCCATACGAAAATAATCAAGTCTTTTTTGCCATTGCGATTTAGGATCTTGAGTACTCCAATAAGCAAGACATTGTTCAATGTAATCAAGTGTTGCTAAACTTCGAACGAAAATCAGAAGTTTATCTCCAATGGATTCACATTCATCCAGAATCGTCTTTAATATCATAAACTTTCCGGATAGCTCAAACTAAACAAATAGAAAAGGAGGAATAAAATATAACTAGTAACACGAAAAAACAATACTTACGTTGAGTTGTGCATCTATCGGATCGAAAAGTTGAAACCACCATTGTTGTTTGATAGCATTCATCATTTCTTCTTCAGAATCCACATCCGACTTCATCTCTCTTGGTATAATGTCTTTATTGATTTTTTCTGCATCATCATCAAATTCATTTTTAATCATCGTATCGATTTCTGTTGGATCAATATCTCTGCGCTTCTTCTTGTACCATTCGATGAAATAGGGTTGAAGTAACCACGGATGCTAAAAGTAAAAATATTTCATTTTGTCATTGAAATCGACACTGGTGAACAAACCGTCCAAATTTTCATCAAATATTGATAATCGGCAAACAATTGTGCCACATCTATTTCAAAGAATTTTGGATATCAAGTAAATTTTTAGTTGAGGAAAAAGTTTACTTAGGTGTACGCTGATGGCGTTTATTTGACCGTGAATGTACGATTCGTAGAGTTTTCGTTGCAATGGTTGACAACGGATTTTGATTGCTGAAAAAAATACCTGAAGAAAATGAAACGAGCGAAAAAATCGTTTTACTATATTCGAATTTTGGTGGTAAAAATGCGCGTAGAACATCAAGATCACGACGATGAATTAACGGTTGCAAACGTCGACGAAGTGCGTAAACACGACGTCGCATGTAGTTAACCTCTTCTTTGCAACTATCTCGATGCTGACCCTTTTCAATTGGTTTACGATACAAATCGGTAAAACGCGATTCAGTTCCTACAAGAAATCAATAGTTTGTCCTGTTGTTTCAAATTGATATACAACGAACCGAGAAAGTTTGGTTTACAAAAGTGAACCATAGCATAGTATTCCTGAAGATTATTTTGCATTGGTGTACCAGTTAAGATGATACGGCGACGTGTGCGAATTTGGTTCAATGTACAAGCGATTGCACTTTTCAAATTTTTACTGTAAAAAAGATTATCGATCGATATATCTATATGTGTTTAGACTTACATCATATGACCTTCATCGCAGATGATTAGATCAGGACCAGGATTTCGCAAGTATAAACCTAAAATGATCGACATATCCGTATATAGAAATCAGTAGAGAAAAGGACATCATACGATATTTTCTAATATTCTCTAAATCAGTCGATGAACTTATTCGTTTTTTATTCTTTTGAATTCGCTCTTGAACGCCGTACGGACTATCTTCAACTGTATAAGTTAATTGACGANAGTGCGGAAACTTGTTTATCCTCTATATAGTACCAAGGTTGCTTATAGTTTGAACTATGTGGGTATTAAACTTCAAGTATTTCAAACTCTAGCTTTTTATTACATCGTACAGGAAAAGTTCGATGAGGCAATGAATATCTATCGATGTATATTTACAGTTGCTAAGAATCTTTTCTCTCCGGATCATATTATGATTGCCGAGATTTTGCACGGTATTGGAACTATTAGAGATAAGCAAGAAAAATACGGTCAAGCGCTGAAATTCTATGAACAAAGTCTGTCGATATTGAAGAATTATTATTCATCAGCTCATCTTGATATTGTTTGTTTTTTACATTACATTGGTAATGCGTATTCAAATGATGGGAATTATGAGAAAGCTCTTTATTATCAACAGGAAGCGTTGACGATGTTGGAGACATATTATCCATCATATCTTTTACGTATTACAAGTTCTCTCAACTACTTCGGAAATATCTTGAGAAAACAGCAGAAACTGGATGAAGCTTTCGATGTCTACAAACGAGCATTAACGATTCTCGAAGAAAATTCCGGATCTGACCATACTGGTTGGACATCAACTCTTACTAATATTGGTCAAATTTACTTCATGAAAGAACATTATGATGAATCGCTGATTTACTATGAACGAGTGTTGAAAATACGTGAGAAGAATTATCCACCTGATCATATTTCTATTTCTTATAGTTTGAATAATATTGGTGATTTATGTCAAAAAAGAAACAAATTTGATGAAGCTTTGATGTATAAACAGCAAGCACTCGCCATCCAAACGGCATATTATCCAACAGGTCATTCGTGTATCATTGCAACTCTAGAATCAATTGGTGATATATACAAAGACCAAAACAATAATGAGGAATCTTTGAATTTCTATCAAAAAGGATTAGAAGTGCGGAAACTTGTTTATCCTCTATATAGTACCAAGGTTGCTTATAGTTTGAACTATGTGGGTATTAAACTTCAAGAACAAAACCAATCGGATCGAGCTCTTGAACATTATCAACAAGCATTAGCAATAGTAGAGAAAATCGATTCAAGTAATTATATATTGATTGCTGCAATCTTAGGAAACATTGGTAATACATTATCTTCACAAAAGAGATTTGAAGAAGCTTTCGATTTTCAACAACGTTCATTAAGCCTACGAAAAACGCATTGTCCATCCGAGTATGCAAGTATTGCTTTGAATTATAATAGTATGGGAGATATTAGATACCAAGAAGATAAGTACGAACAGGCACTGGAATTCTTTCAGAAGGCTTTAACAATAAAAGAACAATTCAATCCAATAGATTATACATTCATCGCCTTGCTTTTATATAATATTGGTTATGCTTTGTCTGGACAAGGAAAATATGATGACGCTTTCGAGTCTTTTCATAGATCATTAAAAATGAGGGAAATATATTGTCCCTTGGAGCATGAAAATATCGCTTCGAGTTACTGCGCGATGGGAAGTGTTCGGTACACTCAAACCAAGTACAACGAGGCGCTCGAGTTTTATCAACAAGCGTTAGAAATCGAAAAGAAGTACTATTCGGTTAATTACGCCTTCGTCTCCATACTTTTAACGATGATCGCTCATTGTTTCTTTTCACAAAAGGAATATGATGATGCATTCGAATTTTATCGACAATCATTCGACATGCGTGAAGAGTATTGTCCCTTCGAAGAAGTGAATATGGCTGACAACCTACGATTCATGGGTATTATAAGGAACATTAACGATGAGTATAGTGAAGGACAGAAGTTTTTTGAAGATGCAGTGAATATTTACGTGAAGTATTGTCCAGCCACTCTTCGAAAGACAGTTGCTATGCTTGGTGATATGATCGTCTCTTCAAATAATAATCAAAAGTTAGAAGATGAACTCGCGTACCGAGAGCGGTTGTTGTCAATTCAAGAGAAATATTATGAAGAATTCTGTGTAGATATGATCAGCAACTTACAAGAGATTGCTCGTCTCAAATTCAATCAGAGCAATTACGAAGATTTTATTGAACTTTATTTACGAATACTACTGATGCTCAAAGAATTGACTCCAACCGATCATGATTCAATCACACATGCTCTCGACCAGTTAGCACTCGCATGTTTCAAAAGAGAAGCCTATGATCATGCAACCGGGTATCTTGAATTTGCTATCAGAATAGGCGAATCTAGTTTGTCCCTTGAAAGTTTACAAATACTATTATCACATCTCAGTACAGTCAATACACATCGTCGTCAATACGAATCCTCGTTGATGTATGCAAATCAAATTTTCTTGATACGTGAAAGAATATTGCCAGCAAATGATCCGCTGATTGCCGACATCTTGTCTAACATTGGTACATGTTACGAAAATCTTCATCAGTTGCAAACAGCACTGGAGTATTATTATCGAGCATTGTCTATCTATGAGCAACATCCAGCAAGTTTACACGATCAAGAAATGATAGAGGAAGCTATTCAACGTGTTTCATCGATACTAAATGCAGAATGAGTTCTGTAGCGAAACACTATCAATCGCTTAGAAAATTAATTTTTTTGTATATTTTACAGTGGGCTAAGTTACGAATTAAATAAATAATTCAAGCTCGTTTTTCTTTTAACTACCATCTGAATTAAAGTGTTATGAACGGAGTGAAGGGTATTCCGCTTTGTATATACGAAGCCACATCGTCTTGAAAGTGCTGTGATGATTCATTGCTTGATGACTCAACTGACGAGCTCGAAGACTGATCATTTTCTGGCACTACACTTATTCCAGTGTTCGAGAATATTTCATTGACAGATAATTCTGGTGCGTGTGTTCTTGGTCGAAAATAGCGTGTATATGGATTTTCTTCTGCAAAATAAAATATTCTGTTTAAATTAAAAGAATCTATGAAATAACATTTAACCTTCATCTTTAGCTTGATTTTCTTCTTCCTTGGTTAGATTTTCGTTATCATTGTGAATAAGAAATGAGTCGTGTTCACAATAGGAAGTAATCGTATCAGCATGTTGTTGTAATAGCTGCCGCAAGAGTTCATCATGTATTCTGTTCGTATTCATTTGATCCGTTGGCTCATCGTCAGTATCAAAATCAAATTGATAAAGTTTCCTCAGTTCATCGTGAGTGAAATGACGTGCAAGTTGTTTCGCATCCACCACACCTATACAAAGTCAGTATAGAAGAAGATATCGAAAACGAGAAAGAAGGAAACGAACGATGAAACATGGCTTGTTTAGTTATCTGGCGTTTGTATATCTTTTCTTCCATTGTTCCTTTGACAATCAATCGATAAATAAATACAGGTTTCGTTTGACCAAGTCTATACGAACGGAACATCGCTTGGAGGTCATGAGCTGAAGGACAAACATTGTAAAATTGTTTCTGTAAATAAAAGAAACAACAAACCTGGATTCCAACTTGTGTCCAAAATAACAACTCGATTCGCAGAGTAAAGATTTACTCCTACGCCACCAGCGAGTGTCGAGATTAGGTAAAGTCGGCTACGAGAATTGTTCGAATCGTTGAAAGATTTCATATCAGCTGCTCGTTGTTTTATCGAGGTATTGCCATCCATTCGAAAATAATCAAGTCGTTTTCGCCATTGCGATTTGGGATTTTGAGTACTCCAATAAGCAAGACATTGTTCAATATAATCAAGCGTTGCTAAACTTCGAACGAAAATGAGAAGTTTATCTCCAATGGATTCACATTCATCCAGAATCGTCTTTAATACCATAAACTTTCCGGATAGCTCAAACTAAACAAACAGAAAAGGAGGAATAAAATATAGTAACACGAAAAAACAATACTTACGTTGAGTTGTGCATCTATCGGATCGAAAAGTTGAAACCACCATTGTTGTTTGAGAGCATTCATCATTTCTTCTTCAGAATCCACATCCGATCTCATCTCTCTTGGTATAATGTCTTTATTGATTTTTTCTGCATCATCATCAAATTCATTTTTAATCATCGTATCGATTTCTGTTGGATCAATATCTCTTCGCTTCTTCTTGTACCATTCGACAAAATAGGGTTGAAGTAACCACGGATGCTAAAAGTAAAAATATTTCATTTTGTCATTGAAACCGACACTGGTGAACAAACCGTCCAAATTTTCATCAAATATTGATAATCGGCAAACAATTGTGCCACATCTATTTAAGAGAAATTTGGATATCAAGTGAATTTTTAGTTGAGGAAAAAGTTTACTTAGATGTACGCTGATGGCGTTTATTTGACCGTGAATGTACGATTCGTAGAGTTTTCGTTGCAATGGTCGACAGCGGATTTTGATTGCTGAAAAAATACTTGAAGTAAATCAAACGAGTGAAAAAAGCGTTTTACTGTATTCGAATTTTGGTGGTAAAAATGCGCGTAGAACATCAAGATCGCGACGATGAATTAGCGGTTGTAAACGTCGACGGAGTGCGTAAACACGACGTCGCATGTAATTAACCTCTTCTCTGCAACTATCTCGATGCTGACCCTTTTCAATTGGTTTACGATACAAATCGGTAAAACGCGATTCAGTTCCTACAAGAAATAAATGGTTTGTCTTGTTGTTTTCAAATTGATATACAACGAACCGAGAAAGTTTGGTTTACAAAAGTGAACCATAGCATAGTATTCCTGAAGATTATTTTGCATTGGTGTACCAGTTAAGATGATACGGCGACGCGTGCGAATTTGGTTCAATGTACAAGCAATTGCACTTTTCAAATTTTTACTATAAAAAAGATTATCGATCGATCTATCTATATATGTTTAGACTTACATCATATGACCTTCATCGCAGATGATTAGATCAGGACCAGGACTTCGCAAGTATAAACCTAAAATGATCGACATATCCGTATATGGGAATCAGTAGATAAACGAACATCATACGATATTTTCTAATATTCTCTAAATCAGCCGATGAAGGTATTCGTTTTTTATTCTTTTGAATTCGCTCCTGAACGCCGTATGGACTATCTTCAACTGTATAAGTTAATTGACGATACATATTATAACCCATTATGAGAACACCACCATTTTCATACCACTAAAGGAACGTCAATGAACTATTTGTTCATACGCTATTGATCGCATACGACTTACTTGTCGAAGGAATTGCTCACGACCTGCTATTCGAACATCATCGTTCGTAAATAAATAGATATTAATTTTTGGTTCAAGGTCATGTAGCCAATGATGAAACTCATTCTTCCAACTAAACATATATGAAATACAGGGAACTAATTGACAATGAATCATACTTGATAGCTGTATTGACAGGACATAGAATGAGTACTCGTTTCATACGCGTTAAGTTCGAATGTCGGAAAAGTGTATGAAGCAATACAATTGTTGTGAAAGTTTTGCCTAATCCCATACAATGAGCGAGAATAGCACCCGAGCCGCCTTGATCTTGTTGAGTTTTATGGTCCACGCTAGCGGCAATTTTTTTTGTTGATTCGAATACTTGATTCCATAGAAATCTGACGCCGTCAACTGTTGACAGAAGAAATGCTTTCAAATTTCGTTTATCAGATGAACTGTTTACCTTGATGAGCTTTCATCTCTATAACAAGATGTATAGAAACATCAATGACTGGATCGTTTTCAAGTAATAGTTCAAATTGGATTTCTTGATAGAGTTTAAAAGTCTGAATTAAATGACCATTGTATAACCATTGTTTGCGATTACGTTCAACATCTGTTGAGTTTAAACAAGGACCAAATTCAACAATTTCATTGTTGAACTTCTGTGGGTTTCTATCTACAATCTCATTTGAGATTACTTCTAAATATTTCAAAGAATAGGAACATTCAAGTGATTATGAATGATAATCATACGTTCACAAATAGTCTCATATGTCTCCGTTTTCATTGTATTAGTGTCTGAACCGTTTGACGAATCGAAAGGTTCTGTTTTCAATCGCTTGGCATTAGGATAAAGCAATGTCTTCTGGTAATCATTCATACAGGGAGAAACAACTCGATTCGACAGCGTATTTCTATTCGATAAAGTCGGCACAAAGAATGAATTCGAACTTTCCAGCCTGGGAGTACGACATAAATTCGAGAGGTTTACAAATGAAAATAGACTCACGTGGGAAGAATAGATGGTGTCGCTGTGAACATCCTTCGAGCTAATTGCTCAAAGTCGATGGGATCAATTCCCAGTGTATCATGCACCTGATCGGTCATATACTCGTATTTGCTTATTTGACTTTCATACTGCATTGTCGAAGATTCTCTGTATATATCAGTATACAGACACAACGTTAATGAACTTCCTTATATGTTTGAGAGTGTGAAAATGAATGACATTGTGTCGGCGTATTGAAATAAAAAGGGATGTATTTGTCGGTATTTTCCAACGCACTGTGCATATAAAACTACAGAACAGAACGAGAAAAAAACCAAATAATAAGGCGACTACCTAGAGGGCTTCCTCCCATCGCTGATTTTCATACCATTTGAGATAAAGAACATTCTCATTTATAAAAATGATTCAGTCTCGGAAAGAAATACTAATGTTCGCTATATAATTTATCATTACCTGACATGTATGTTATTCATTCTCATGTGATTTTTTTACACTTGTCGCATATTGATTGGTTTACTTCTTGAAGAATCGAATATGGAGAAACACAAGAAAAAAAGAACAATAATATATAGTTTTGCGACTCTCTTGTAAGCTCAACTTATAAACTGCTAACGATCCGTAGGTATATTCTAGAACTTATTACAGTCAAAAATGAATGCAACGTAATAGGTGGTACAAAAAAAAAACACCGACTGCAATGTTATTGACTTTCGATAGCGAAGAAACACGTCGTACCACGTTGTTCGTCTTTCTTCTTTTCTTGCGCAATCACTAAAGAGAATTTTGTAATATCATGTGTCACTATACTCTTTGGCTTTTTCTCTGTATATATGTGTACGGTTGGTTTTCGAAACTAGCAACAGCAGTTCGATCGCAATCATAGAATAATTGATAATGGCAAATGCACAAGGGGATATTCGAGATGGAATGGAGCTCGACCGCTCAGGAATACGAGTTGATTATCTGACGGCTCCACCACGGTTCTCTTGTCAAGATCCGCAAGCATTAGCTGAAGGTCTACGACACTTGGAAGAACATGGTTACACAGTTATATCTGATGTCTTAGACGAAGCTGAAGTGAATACAGCAAAGAATCTTATTTGGCAGCATTTAGAAGGCTTGAAGCTCCCATATAAAATCAAACGAGGTCAAATTCAAACATGGAATACATGGCCAGGTAGACATGAAGCGGGTATTATCGAAGATTTTGGTTCGGGAAATTCGCAAGCACAATGGTTTATACGTTCGATTCCAGCAGTAAAAGATGTTTTTGCAGCGATATGGAATACTCGTGATTTATTGTGTTCAATAGATGGTATTGGTATTTTCAGGCCATGGCATTTAAATCCACAAATACTGCGTGAGTTTTGCATGATATTTAAAAAAAACAATCATATATTTTCTTTGTAGAGAGCAATACAAACTCATGGAAAACTGTGGGAGCTAACTGGCACGTTGATCAAAGTCCTGTAACAAAACCAAATCGAGTTTGTGTGCAAGGTATTGTTAATCTTTTACCTGCCAATGAAACCACAGGTGGATTGATGGTTATACCTGGTTCGCATAAGCGTTTTCACGAGTTACTTTCCGTATGGAAAAAGACGGGTAACAATGCAAAAATTCCAGTCTACCATGAGATTTTGCAAGATGGTTATGGCTTATTAATTCACGCTCAACCAGGAGATTTATTATTATGGGATTCGCGAACCGTTCATTGTAATTCGCCTTCGTTTGTTACACCACAACGTCCGGCAAATAATAATCAACCAGCAAATCTATTAAGAATGGTTAGTTATATTTGTATGACGCCATTATCATTTGCAGAAAATCCCGATGAACTAATTGAACGTCGACTACATGCATTCCGTTACCGATTAACAACGTCTCATTGGCCACACGAATTTCAAATCATGGGCGGAGACGTATCGAGAGGGGAAAATACTATTGAGCTGACAGACTACCAGAGAAGTCTTATTATCGGAACTGACTGATCATTGATCTTTCTTATTTGTGTTCAAATACACAGTTGATTCTTCGATACACAGCGATAACTCACGTAACTACGGGAGTATTTGCACTGGGAATTTACAGTCGAAATCTTTCATTAGAACGTCATTTATATATGCGTAGTGTAAAAAGCTATTGATGCGCATCAACTGAACTGACATCAGTAGATGAAACAATATCTGTTTCATCAATTGAAGGAAAGTCATCATAATAACTTGGTTGGATAAGCCAAAACCATTAGCTCAAATAACATTTTCCTGTTATCAACATCGAAAAGACGAGTCAAATCCAAATTTGATTGAACATTTTGGAAATGACCCAGATGTTGGAATTATTTTCTATTGAAATTATTATAGTTTTCTCTAGTTTAACATTGCATTGCTCATCATCAAATCGTAGCAGTTCATGACGTTCAACATATAAGGTACAGTGTGCATAACAGTATACCCACTAATGAATGATGATAATCAATCATTTCCACATAAAGCTGAACTTATTTATTATGCAATCGATAACTGTTGATGAAATACAAAAAAAGGCAAAAATAAATTTCAAAGCCAACATTCATCTACACAACCGAATTCGATAGCACTGAATTGTGTTTGCATAAATGGTGATACTGCACTAGAAGAACGAAAATCATCCTGATCATGAGCATAAACTTTTATTGAAGTATTTTTTAGTAGATTATGAATAAGCTGTTTTTCGGCGGTACTAATTCGATTATTATCGATAGCTAATATCTTCAATGTCTATATTGAATAATAATTATAAATATGGAAGAACGAAAACAATGTACCATCTTACTGTATTGAAGCCACGGAGTAATACACTAACTAAAACATGTGCTCCTATGTCACCGATAGCGTTTCCTCCAAGATCTAATTCTCTAAGTGTCTATGTTAAATATAAACAATAATCATCGCCATATAAACGGCAAAGATGTTCTTACGGTATTAATCTTTAATGTATCAACGAAATGCTGTGCTCCTTCATAACCAATATTAGCCCATCCAAGATGAAATTCAATGAGTGTCTGCAGCATAAATTAGTTCAATATGGAAAATAGGGATAGAAGTTATTCCATACTTTATTAGTTTTCAATACATTTGCAAAATATTCTGCTCCCTGTGAACCCATGTCGTTGACATTGACGCACAAATCTTCCAATGTCTATTTTATAATGAAAATTTATCTGGGATAAGAATATAAATGCTTATACCGTGTTTATTTCTAAAGCATTCGCCAAACATTGTGCACCTGGACGACCAATTTCATTTTTTGCAAGATTCAGCTTTTTAAGCGTCTATTTTAAAATATAGATAATCACAGGAGAACAGCGGATCCTGAGAGATTATACGAGCGATCAACATTCATGGAAGACCCTAAAGACCTGTCATGTTCCACAGAACTTCGAAAACTCTGTAGGATTTGTATATAATTTGCTTTTCGCTACCTTAAATTCATCAGATAAAACAGCTAAGTATAGTGATATTGGTATAATTTCTATCTTCTTTTCGTTTCTTTATATTTATTGTTTGTAATTCTATGGTTGTATCGATTTTTGAACACAAATTTCGCGTGACGTGATCCTCTATGAATTCTGCTGTATCTCACGATCTAATTATGAAAATGTGCTTTCCCTCTTGACAACAATAGCGAATAGAAAGAAAACATTTTTAGTACCGTATTAATTTTCAGTGCATCAGCAATATATTCTGCACCTTGATTGCCAATGTTATTATTGGTGAGAGTCAAATCTTCAAGTACCTAATTTACATAATAAAACACGTAATAAACGTGAAGAAAGATTTTCATACCATATCATTCTGCAATGCATTAGCCAAATATTTCGCTCCTTGAGCACCGATTTTGTTTTCGTTAAGGTTAAGTTTTGTAATCGTCTACATATTCAACCAAAATATGGAGAATATCTAATACATAATGTCTTACCATACTTGTTTTCAATGGATAAAGTAAATATTTTAAAGTCTCATGGGTTATCTTTTCGTACGAGAGTCTGATTTCAGTACATGTCTGAAATTATTCAATTCTTGTCGAATTTAAGAAAAGAAATTCATCTGAAAAAGATTTACCTTGAAGCGATCATACGTATTAATAATTTGATTGAATCGTGTACAAACACCATAAAACGAAAGTAAAATTGTTGGTACATCAAGATGATCGAGAATACGATAAATAAGTTCAATAGGTAATGTATGAAGAGCTGGAGTGTTAACCATTTCCATCAATAACGAAGAAGAAGACAATCGTTTTTGTATTCAACAAAATATTTTGTCACGTATCGCAGTGAATGTATTGTTTATCTGGAATAAACGAAAATGAGTCGTCTAATAGAAAAACCTCAGCCAATATATGAAATCAAGAGGGGAATATTCTAAGATTGCGTGATAAAAACAATGACTACATGGAATATGCCTTTTGGTTTATTCCCAAGGAAGAAGAAAAATAAAAGTGACATCTGTAGAGAGAACATTATCAATGGTGATGCTTATATATATATAGTTAAAAATTATACTCATACGTTGAACTTCAAATATACCTAATTCTATGATGTTGATATCAATTATGTGACACGTTTTTACGTACATTTATGCTCTAATTTTTGTAAAATATTACAGTGAAAATTTCTTTTTCATATAAGAAAACATAACAATGATCGAGTCGATATTTGTAAAACACTTTTCTTTTGTATTTTCGAACAATCCACACATAGAATTTCACCAACCACGATATGACAATCTACGATAAACAGGTATTAAATCATTTATACGAACAATCTTTCAGGACCAAAAATATCAATAGAAATCCACTTTATAACTACTAATTTCGGTTGTCTATTAACAAGTTTTGAACATGAGCTCAAAAAAACTTGGGAATTATGCTTCGAAGGTGCACATACTCTCAGATCTTTACATTCTACAATTAAAATATGGATTTTCAGCAAAAACATTTTGTAAAACCATTTGCGAAGAAATGATGCGCGTGCTCCAGTGTTCTCATTTCGTTTTCTTACGGCATACACAGAATGAGTGAAACGTATCTTTTATGAATCTTTTCGAAAATACATAAGCAGTCAGGAGCGGTAAAGAAATAAACGAAGTGTTATACGCAGATATGTAGTGTAATGAACTGACTATGCAACTGTAAGTTTTTTATTATATAACAATGCAGTATAAACAAAATATAAAGTTTGCATCTCTTAGCTTCTTTTCTTGATGCGGTGAAACTGGTTTTTGTTCGAGCGCGCATCTCGTGAATATTCTCATATTACATCATCTCGTTTTGTCGTAGATATTCGTTATCGGATAACGATAGAATCATTTGTGAGACACCTGAGTGCGTTAGTGTTAACTGATGGATATTTTCCCAATCTTTCTCGATTGGATATGGAGATAATTACATAATACAAGAGCTCTCGACTGAGAGTGGATATCGATCATCAATGGATGGAAAATGAGACGTGACGAAGAGTCCTGCACATGAATTAAGCAGATCAGAAATTATACCTTACTAACTGCGCAAGAAAAACGAAAAATCATATTTATTGTCTTCTGTTTTTTCCTTAGACAAAAGACGTATAAATCGTTGAGGAACGCTACCGATTAGTCGATCGGAATGATAAGTTCGATGGGATTCTTCCTTACTTTGGGTATAAATGAAGAATTATACTATGAAAATCGAGACCGTTTTCAAACAAAATTTGTTCCCTCGATTGAAAGGGCGGTCCTATAAAAAAATAGTTTGTCCGTGTTAGAATCAGAGACCAAGACTTATTGAAATTCTCAGAACTCGAAGATACACCTCTTAGGGGAGGGATCATGGTGGTAGTTGTTGGTGTGGGATGAGAGACGGAGATCAAAGGACCTTGATCTTGATCACGTCAAAGATAGAAAAACATTGTTTTAAGCGGGTCGAAGGACCAGAAACGTTTGGCCGTAATGTAGTTAGGGGTCAATTTAAAGCAAACATATGCTCGCATAAGAAAACTTAAATCCTCAAGACCTTCTTGCTATATTATGTAAATAAACTTTGATGATGAAATGTAAACTGATCGGCTAACAATCATAGTGGATAAAAACGAATATAGTAAGCTGAATGACTGGGGCAGGCTTTGGAGTGGTTAGTCGAGAGTGGCGCTCCGTGAGAGCGCTGATGAACGACTAGCTGCTCTCGTTGGCACTTCGCCTTACACCAATGAGGAAAAATTGAGAAAGTTCAGGCTAGGATGAAACAGTTATCGTTTCGTTGGGATAATGACTTTTATCAATTAAGAGTAGTCGATAAGTAAAGAACAAGGGGTACGGTAGTAAGAACTCATCAAATTTGTCCGTATAAGACTCGAAATGATATTCTTGGGTGCATGTTTTTGTATTGGTTATCTGAAAAATATTCTATAAAAAAAGTTTCTATGTTCAACTAATTTTTCAGGTGCGAGTTATACAATTCATCCTCGACGAGTATTATTTATACAGCTTATTATGAAAACTGTCAAATAGTTTCTGTGGCCATATAAAATCCTATATTGTTTGAATTTGTTCTGATGTCAGTAAAAGGGTGATAAGCTAAAAAGACGGTTATAACCCATATGTAAGAATACAATTTGAGTTATTATGAATGAATTTACGGGCAGAAAACATTTTCCAATGCCAGCTATTCAGTCGAAGCTCAAGCGAGTCGACCTCGACGAGTGTTACTTATCTCATCGTAGCAGAATATGAAATCTTCGATTTTTCTCTTTGTATTTATTTCCAAATTTTATGTCAATTAACCATTTTTGTTCTCATCGAGGTATGTTCTTTTTAGATATCATGCGCCCTTTCATTACAAAAATGACATAGGGATATATGTTCTCGTTGATAAATATCGACTGATAAATATTTTGCTATGTTTCTCTATGATAGTCGCGGAAATAAAAATAATTAGGCCAACTGAAAGTGAACAATCTGTTAAATTATGTAATTATATACAAGAATCGGCGTATCTTGGTGTTTCTACATAGAACAACAGGCTGATATGGCTAAAACTATTTGCTATTATCTATTATTTTATCGTGACATTTGATATGTTAATAAATTTTGTCAGTTTTGAAAAATCTGCAGAATAGCTAAGCGTATTATAATTACAATATTCTGTGCTTTAACTCATTCAGTTAAAGATGCAACTGATACAGTTGTTCATATTTCTCTCTATATTTCTCGTTTGTTATTCTCGTTATTTGTTTTATGATACAAATAATGAACATGCATTTGACTGTTTATACGCTCATATACAAGATTTTCATGAAGTCAAAAATGGAGTTTATCTTACATTTGATCATCTATTTCCTTATTGCCAGCGAATAGATAAAAGCGAAAAACCAATTTTCATATTAGATGAAAATGTAAAAAACAGAATAAGTTTTCAAGAATTATCAAGAAATGGAATAACGAGTTCACAATTATTGGATTGGTCCATTCCAGTTGATATTGCCGAAGAATACGCAATCAATGGAGAAAATTCGGATAAATTTATTTACAATTGTTCATCTCCTTGGTTTGGTTCAACATGCCAATATCAATTAATTAATGATCAACAAATACCATTTGGTGAACTTGTTCGTCTCACATTTCTTCAACGTGAATCACCATCGTTGGATCTCGATTTTCCTGTTGGTACTTGTTATCCATTCTTGAAGAGTTGCATTCGTGGTCCATTTCCAATGTGTCTTGATTGGCGTGAAATCTGCGATGGTGTTTATGATTGTGTTCATGGGGACGATGAAGAATTCTGTTATTTGTTAGAACAGAACCACTGTTCAGAAGATGAATTTCAGTGTCGTAGAAGCAAAGAATGTATTTCACAGATATTTGTTGATGATTATGAAGCCAGCTTTGATTGTCTCGATGCCACTGACGAAAGTGGATATGGCTCACTGGAATTTGGAGAATTGTGCATGACTTTTCCGACATTTGATTGTGAAGAAATGTGTCGTGAAGCGGATCGTTCTTTTCCTTGTGGTGATGGGCAAATGGCTCTATATCTAACACCTCATTTTACTTCCTTCTGTGAAAACTTACGCGATCGATACACGACTATCGCTCTATTCACTTCATTCGATTATATTTCCAGCTCAGCATGTCGACAACGACTCATTTGTTTAGTACGACCTGATAAAATCAAATTTCTTATACACTCACAGGATCAAATTCGTTGTCAATTGCCTTTAGATTATTGTCCGTTGGAATGGCTCGTTTTTCCGGAGTATCCAATACTTTATTCGCTGTTCCAATTTGTTTATCTAACAAATCGATCGATATCTTTATCAACAAATGATATTACACCAGATTTTATTTGTTTCAATGCAAGTCGATGTCCGAAATATCTGTTTTGTTCGGTGGATATTGGAATGAAAAATGGATATCATTGTTGTCACACTAGTAATATGACTCGCTGGAAAATAGATATATGGGAGGAATCTCCGACTATTTTTGGACATATTCTCGAAGACTGTTTGAAAATTACTCGAGATAAAGAATTTTTATTGACCGCTGAAGAGACAAGTTCTTCTATAAATATCAATAATCAATGGATTAACTTACATAAAACATACCCGTTCCCATATACGTGTGATGGTCATCGTCATATATTGGATGATGACGAAACAGATGAAACTGATTGTTATCTTTGGCCATGCAATAATCCATATACTCGATGTAATCGGCGTTTTCAATGTTTGAATGCTATCGATGAAAGTAATTGCTTGTACAGTTCATGTGCACCCAATGAAATCCGTTGTGATGACATGGCACAAGAGATTAATGGCTTGTCTTATTGTTTGCCCGTGTCGAACTTAGCCGATGATTATACACAATTTGATCCATATAAATATTATCGTCTTATACATTTAAGTAATGAAACAATCGGTGATCTTGAAAACTATTTGTTTTGGAATCAAACCAGATGTATTACTATCAAATATTCTGACCAAAATCGTTTAATTTCATTGGTGGGAAATAATGATGATTCTTGCGTAATGCCAAGATATCTAACATCTTTTATTCCCAACACAATTATAGTAAGCAGAAACAAAACAGCGCTGTGTAAATCGGGCCCAATTCTTACGGATAACTTTTATAAGCAATCTCCGTATCTTCAATCATCACGTCTAGGTTATTTTCCATCAGTTATTCCTCAAGTTGCTTATCGATCAACAGAAATTCAATCAAGTCAACCAACTCTTCTCGATCTTCGTTCAGATGATTTCGTTAATTGGTATTGTAATCGAGGATTTCTCATTTTTTATCAAAATAATCAAACGACCAAATGTCTTTGTCCTCCAAGTTACTTTGGTTCACGATGTCAATGGCAAAGTCAACGTGTTAGTCTCACACTTCAGTTGAAATATTTCACTTTTACCTATGAAATGCCCATTTTTCAAATAATCTCAATGCTTATTNTCATTTTTTATCAAAATAATCAAACGACCAAATGTCTTTGTCCTCCAAGTTACTTTGGTTCACGATGTCAATGGCAAAGTCAACGTGTTAGTCTCACACTTCAGTTGAAATATTTCACTTTTACCTATGAAATGCCCATTTTTCAAATAATCTCAATGCTTATTGATGATCGAGGACAAATTAGCCCATATGATGAACAAGTAATTCATTTACCAAAACGTGATTGTGGAACCAAATATCATTTTTATTTACTTTATCCATCAAGACCAAAGGATTCCTCACTGAATTATTCAATTCGAATTGATGTTTTCAATCGCATAACTTTAACACATTGGACAAGTTGGCTTTTACCAATCCCATTTCCATTTCTTCCCGTCAATCGTTTTGCTGCACAATTAGTCATTCCTTTTAATTCTCAACAAATTGCATTGTCGTGTCCATTGTCATGTGGAAAATATGGCAAATGTCTCAAATATGTCAACACAAATTTCTCATACTTTTGTCAATGTGATTCAGGTTATTCAGGATCAAATTGTCAATTGAATCATAATTGTTCTTGTTCGTCTGATTCATTTTGTCTCAGTTCATCCATTTGTATTTGTCCATTATACAAATTTGGTTCGAAATGTTACTTAAAGCATACATCATGTCAATCATCAACAAATCCGTGTGAAAATGATGGGCAGTGTGTACCGATTGATGACCGCATTTCTGTGAATGACTTCACATGCATTTGTAAAGAAGGATTCTTTGGAGATCGATGCGAAAATATCCAAAATCGAATTGACATTCAATTTGATGATCGTACACTCACAATAGAAAAACCTGTTTTAATTCATTTCATTACAATCCATAAAGGAACTGATCATGTACAAAGTACAATGTTAAAACAAATCAAATATGGTCAAAATCAAGTGACAATTCTGACGTCTATGACATTTCATCTTGTTTTTGTAGAACTTCTCCAAGGTGACTTCTATTTAACTGTTAAACGCGAAGAATCTATCAAATCCGAACATATTCGAACAAATTTGTCATCCAACCATCAATGTATGTTTATTGATGAATTATTAAATGAAACATTGAAATCTTTTCATTACATTCGTCGTGTTAAATTTTATCCATACTTCTGTCGACAAAATCAAGATTTGATGTGCTTTTACGATGAACTCTACATGTGCATTTGTGATGAAGATCGGTTTTCCAATTGTTTTTCATTCAATCGGAATACAACTTATAATTGTGATCAAAGAGAAAATCCTTGTGAAAATAATGGAAAATGTTTTCTAGCAAATCAAACATGTTCAAGTTCAATTCGATGTTTCTGTTCAGATTGTTTTTATGGAACAAAGTGTGAATTTACAACTGAAGGTTTTGTTTTATCTCTCGATTATATTCTCAGTTATCATATTAAACCAAATCTTTCATTTTTTCATCAGCCATTTATTGTGAAAATAAGTGTCGCTATCGTTACAATGATGTCTTTCATTGGATTTATTGGTGGATTATTAGCAATTGTGACATTTCGTACGAAGAAAATTCAGATAAATGGTTGTGGATTTTATCTATATGCATCCGGTTGGATTTCAATTTTAATTCCAAGTGTATTAGTCATCAAATTTATTCAATTGATTTTATTACAGATGAATATTTACAGAAATTTATCGATTTTTCGCTTGAATTGTGTTCTATTAGATGTAGTCATTAAAGTTCTTTTAGCAATTAATGATTGGCTTGATGGATGTGTTTCGATTGAACGTGTTTTCACTGTTAAACAAGGTGTCAAATTCAATAAAACTAAAAGCAAACAAATAGCCAAGTGGGTAATTCTATTTATTCTTCTTTTTACGACTCTAACTCACCTTCATGATCCTCTTCACCGACAATTAGTTAAAGACGTCGATGTTGATGAACAACGAATCTGGTGTATCTCTCATTATTCATCGTCGATTAATAATTACAATTCATTTATAACTTTGTTTCATTTTCTTGTTCCATTCGCTATTAATTTCATTTCAACAATAATTATTATAATTTCAATCGCTCAAAATCGTTCAACTGTTCAAACAAGATTATCATATTTGGAACATTTAAAATTACAATTAAAGGAACATAAACATCATTTTATTGCATCATTTACATTAATATTATTGGGATTACCGCGCCTTGTCATTTCATTTATAAGTGGATGTATGAAATCACCGAGTAATTCTTGGTTATTTCTCTCGGGTTATTTTGTTTCGTTTTTACCATCGATGATGACATTTATTGTTTATGTTTTACCATCAAAAACTTATAAAGATCAATTTAATAATGTTGTTGAAAAAACACTTCGACGCTTTGATCCATAGACTTGATCTTCTTACTCATATTAATAATTAGCTTTTTTCTCTGTTCGTTCTTCTTGTCGCTTCTTTGACAATAAAAACTCAAAGATGAGATCTTCCTCTACTCAAATTCGACGAAGAAGGGAAAATACATAATCTCGATGTGATGCTATTTTTATACATACTCAACTTTGTATCATTGATTCTTTCTCTCATATGGCAACAAAAATAGTTGACCTGTATGTGAAAGAATATCATGCAACATAAAGTATAGACCCTTTAGGAACGCCCCTTTGAATTAAACAACAATCAAAATACAAAAGATTTGTTTGAGTATCTGATAATGCAGATAGGCAAATAAATAAAGCATATCGAGCCTTTTACTATCGGACCTCTTTGTAGTCAGAGTAAAATATTTGTCGAACATCAAAATATCGACTCTGATCTCATTATTAGTTATAGGCCGTGACTTCATTCGGTTTGATTAACAATTTTTTGCTACTAATTACAATAGAGCGCACGATTAGCAAAATGACGATAGATCTGTCCCGATTTTATTTATGGAATCTTTTGTGACGTCAATTCATTATATCTGTGACTGCGTATATAATTATACAAAATGTTCGATGCTGCCGGATCTATACATGAAGCGTTTTGCGTAGTAAATCAAAAGTCATGTCACATCAAAGTTGTTTCTATATAAGCCATCTAATTATTGCGCTATTTTTCTGCACCCAACCTTTCTTATCTATTCGCTTAGAGTTACTGAATATAATTCAGAGGTCAAAAGTTCCTCATGACTCTACTTCAGGATGCTCAAAAATTATCATTGTATGGTGGTATCGTCTTACTTGTATTCGGTATAATTGGTAATGGAATTAATATTCTAGTCTTTACTAAAGTGCGTATTTATCGAATCAATCCCTGTACATTCTATTTTCTCATGAGTTCAATTGACAATCTCTTCTATGTTTGTCTTAATCTTCCCATTCGTATTCTAATTGTCTTTTTTCAAATTGATGTCATTGGATCATCTGATATATGGTGTAAAATACGAAACTTTCTTCTGACTGCTCCTAGTCTTATTTCTATCACTTATTCATGTTTAGCAATCATCGATCAGTTTTTAGTCACATCAAAAAGAGCCTTTCTTCGACGTTATAGTCAAATTAAATGGGCACATCGTATATCAATTATGGTGATCATTTTCTGGTGTGTTTATTGTATTCATATATTCTTCGTAGTTCGAATTGTACCCAGTACGAAGGTTTGCACAAGTGACAATCCAAGTTATCTTGTCTATTCCGTAGTGTATCTACTTGCGATCATTTGTGGAATACCCGTTAGCATCATGACTTTGTTTGGACTCCTGACATATCGTAATATTCGAGAGACAATAGCTCTTGCTGAGTTAAACTACGATCGTCAGATGATACGAATGACTTTTATTCACGCCGTGCTTGTTGCTGTTAGTTTAATACCGTTTGGAATTAATAATGCGTATAGTTTAATTACAGCTGGAACAGTGAAAAATCTGAATCGACAGATGATAGAATATCTTGTTAGTACAATTACGACTTTGGGTACATATCTATACTATGTGGTAAGTTCAATAAGTTTTGCACTTGAAGATCCAATTTGTAACTTAATTTGTTTTTGTAGGGAAGCTGTTATACGTTCTTGCTGACGTCAAATCGATTTCGTCAACGGGCCAGAAAAGAATTATTTAATTGGAGTCAGAAAAATAGAATAGAACCCGGTTAAAGTTTTTCCCGAGAATGAGAGTGCAAATACACATTTATTTTCCTGCAAAGCCTCTTTTAGATGGATTTCATACTAAAATTATAAAACTTGTCTACATATGTCTCATTTTCTTCGTATTCCTTTTTTGGGCTCTTAGACATTGTTGATACACATAGTCTTTTACGTATCTAATGAAGAAGGTTTCAGAGAAAAAGAATAAATTTCTCATATCATAGTACGAGGATTTCAACGAAGTCTGTAGTGAGTGTAACGCAAGTGTCACATCGTATTATATTCAAGGTGAGTTAAACCACTTATGATCAACACACTAATAATTGGGGAATCACCCAAATCACAGTAAATACATCAAATTGTGTGTATCCATGGAGGAGATTTCATAATGAAAAATTCGTTTAAACAAACTAACATGTCCAAATCTTGTTTAATGTTCTTTTGAATTGGGATATACACATTTACAAGAGTGTAGTCAGCGAAAAAAGCTTTTGAAGTTAGAAACAGAACTTAATCTTGGAAGAAAAGCTTAAGAACACGATGATCCGCCTGTGCGATATACCATCTGAGCCATCAATTGTTAATATATACAGAAGTTGTATCAGCCAATATTCTAACGATTGTCATTCCGACGAATGTAAAAGGATTAATTCTTCCAGTGACTTATTGCGTTGGCACCAATCTGTCTTCTCATTTCCATCTCATATATTCCATTTACTTCGTGTCATGATGATAAACACAACAATTTCATACTCATTTATAGTTTCAAGAAATTAACCTTCAATATTAGGTAGAACAGAACTAATGTACGCATTAACATTATCAGAATAGAACAGAACACTTTACATCGCTTCGTCATTGTGATCTGTATATCGAAAAAGAAAGATCAAAAGTTCGTTTTACACTTCGAAAGAACTACGTGAAATGAAATAAGCAAATTACTCAGAATGAAACAACAGGATATTTATGTTGAAATAAAAGTAAATCATCGGGGAGAAAACCTCACATGATGTTTAGTACTTTTGTAATTGTCAATAGCAGAACAACCACGAACTTCTTGGCAAATATCGACTTCGCTTACGCATTTCAGAAAATATTTTCATATACTAGGAAATGTTGATCATAAATATGTCTCAACCATACTGAGACAGTATTTTCCGCACTTCGGCTATGTCAATCACAATATTATCATCAATATACATAATATACGGTTTGTGAGTATTAGAACAACGATAATTCTTTCCGGAGCCAACCCCACTTTAGATTTTCAATAGCATAGCAGATACTGCCGCAGTGCACGCAATTCTTGAAATTACAGTAGGAATATATTTGCAGTCTACACTGTCCTATATGCTATATCTATTATGATGAAAGAAGAATAGTTAGAATGCTACTTACTTCATTTTATTATCAAATATCTCATGTTACTTATTTCTAGTTTTCATTCGTTGCCATGAGCATGATGTCATTTTACTCGTGTCTAGACCGACGCAGTAGAGTTCTTTCGCGAAATAGGCATTCACATTGATTTGACATTCTTCAATAAACTTGTTCTCGCCCCACAATTACAAACCTATTATGTTAAGTTCACCAGTAAAAAAAGAGTACTAAGAGTACATTCAAAGTCTATGTATTTTTTTTCTATTGTCTCTTTCTCAAGAGTTATATAGCTTTAAAAAGTATGAGATAACTTTTCTCAGAAAAATTGTGAAATCCAATTTGAAATCGAAGTATTTATTATGAAATTATTCTACGACGCTCAACTACTCACACTCTATGTTGGTATTTGTCTCTTTATCGCATGTGTTATTGGAAATGGAATTAACATTCTGGTCTTTTCCAAAGTTCGCATTTATCGAACAAATCCTTGTGCATTCTACTTCCTCATGGGCTCCATTGACAACATGTTCTATGTTTGTTTCAGTCTTCCGATTCCTATCTTAAGCGAGACTTATCGAATGGACATATTTCGAGGATCTGATGTATGATGTAAAATACGACAGTTTTTTCTCTTCGTTCCTGAGTTACGGTTTGGCCGTCAGTTGATTCGAATAACATATATTGATATTGCGCTTGTTCCTGTGAGTTTGATTCCCTATGGTGGCGCGAAAGCACACAGCTAGATCACCGCTGTAGTAGTGAAAGATTTGGATCGGCAAACAAAGGAAAGTTTCGCCACAACGGTTGTCACTTTTGGAGCATATTCATACTAGTTGGTATGTAGATGGGTTTTTACATACTTATAATCATTGAAAACACGTATCTGTCCTTATTGGAAAGTTGTTAGAAGTTTTTGTCGATGTCGAGTCGCTTTCGTCGAATGGTGATAAGGAAATAGTGTTCTGTTGAAAGCGAAAAAAATGCGATAGAGCCTCATTAAAGCTGTCAAGCATTTTATTTGTGTTTTATTTCTGTCGATTATAAATCGATGCAATTTCATATTCGAAGAAATTGTGTTCAAGAACATATGTTAATAAAATAAAATAATGCAAAAATAACACAAAAAAGTGCCAATAATCTCATTAGAAAAAAATATGTTTCATCAAATCGACCTTTGCGTTCTTTTAACTAAAATAATTCAAGTTTAGAAAAAAAATCAACAAACAAAACCATTGAATGATTTAACGAGTTTTTTTAAAATAATTTATGACGGTAACAAATATGTGAAAGTATCTTCCAAGTTGGCAGTTTAATCCTTATATGTAAACAAGAAAATTTGCTTTTTTTGTCAGTCTGCTGTATGCATTCATTTTCTGCAAGAAGTAGCATTATTAAACTCTCCGCAGAAATTATCTGAGTGCAAAGAAAGGTCAACATGGCATTGAAGATCACTGAGCCTATCTTCGTGTTAAATTTAACGTAACGAAATTTCTTGCAATATTTTACTGACATAGAGACATTTGAGTGCAATGGTACTCGGTTTTAATCCCAATGAGCTTGATGGCTTAAAAGTTTGTGAAATATAGTTATTGTTTCTCATTTCCCATATGATAAGGTCGATTTTTACTTGAAGATCGAAGAAGCAAAACACTTTTCCCAAATTCGAATCTAACAATGTAGTAGAGCTAATTTTATGGTAACCTTTATTTGTAGAACGAATAAAAAAGGCAAACAAAGTTCGATGTTGCAGCATCAATAAGAATAACTTTGTAGTTATTTGATATATTCAATAGTACTCAACAAAATATCGTTTATAGCGACGAACATAGAATGATTGTCATTCAAATTACTTTAGGTTATTTTTAATCCTAAGCGCCGCTTATATTCGGATATTTTCTCTGATTAGAAATATTTTGAAAATATTTTCAAATTAAAAAACACCTTTATACAGATATGTCCTAATAGAAATTTATCGTATTCTTCTATGACATGAATTCATTCAGATAATGGTTCGTGCGTAATTAATATCATTTGTAGATATTTTACCTTAAGTTTAAATCATACAAAAGAAGTAACTGAGAATATAAATATATTTTATTCGATATTCTCTCGCTACAAAAAAATGAGGAAATGCTTTTTTCGGAATCTCGTTCTATCGACGTAAAATACCGTTTGCACTATAAAAACTATCAGTAATTTCTTTTATTCTCAGTGTAATTTTCAACTGATTCACGATCGTTATGACACTACTCTACGATGCCCAACTACTCACACTCTATGTTGGTATTTGTCTCTTTATCGCATGTGTTATTGGAAATGGAATTAACATTCTGGTCTTCTCTAAACTTCACATGTATCGCACAAATCCTTGTATATTCTACTTCATCATGGGTTCTATTGACAACATGTTCTATGTATGTTTCAATCTTCCGATTCGTGTTCTTAGTGATTGTTATCGAACTGACATATTTCGAGGATCTGATGTATGGTGTAAAATACGACAGTTTTTTCTCTTCGTTCCCGCTCTAATCTCTGTCACATTTTCATGCTTAGCTATCATTGATCAGTTCTTAGTCACATCAAAAAGTGCCTATCTTCGTAGCCGCAGTCGAATCGAATGGGCACATCGAATATCACTCGTTGTCATCGTTTTCTGGTGTCTGTATGGTGTTCACGTTTTCTTTTTGTATCGTATTTTACCAACTACTAAAACCTGTGGAAGTGACAATCCTGCTTTGGCTATCTACTCACCGATCTATCTACTTGGCATCATTTGTGGAATACCAGTAGGGATCATGACTTTGTTTGGTCTGTTGACTTATCGAAACATTCAACGGACAGTGCGTCTTGCTGAATTACGATTTGACCGTCAGTTGATCCGAATGACTTCTATTCATGTTGTGCTTGTTACTGTGAGTTTGATTCCATATGGGATTAACAGAGCTTATACTTTAATTACAGCTGGAGTAGTAAAAGATTCAGATCGACTGATGAAAGAAAGTTTCGCTACAACGATGGTCACTCTTGGAACATATCTATACTATGTGGTAAGTGGATTGGTTCTTTTATCTCCATATGTTTGAAATATATATTTGTCTTTATAGGGAAGTTGTTATGCGTTCTCTCTAACATCAAGTCGATTTCGTCGGATAGTCAAAAAAGAAATTTTTGCTTGGTGTCGTATGAATAGAATAGCACCTTCGTAGGAGTCTTTTGAAAATAAAGAAATGTTCAGATTGGATTTCATGACACATTTTCATCATCATTCGAGTCAATCCCGTTCCGTAATAGACAGGTCTCTCTAAATAGTATGCTCCTCAACGGCAAAAATTTGGAAAAACGCCCTATAGGGTAGGAGACTTTTTACACAAAAAAACACATGCGATGTGCTCAACCATAATAGAAGGTCCGGAGCTTTTTATTGCGGGAAGGAGTTTATTATGATTCGACTACCTTTTATTATAGAAAACAATGTGTTCTGCGTAATACAAGATATTTAATTTGAATGCTTCAATCTATATCATGACAATCATGAAGAATATAACAATCGTATATCGATAAGAAAACTCAATAGCATCATTCACATAGGCGACGCATTACATATAGTATATGTACTACGTCGGTAGACATTAAATATCTACAGATATTCAAAATTGGATGAAGTGCTGAAGTGATTCTTATCATGGCGACTGGAAATCCACGCATAAGTGCATTTGATTTCAAACGTAGGTATAATTAATTATCACTAAGTGAAAAAAGCATGATCATCTAACTGACAAATGAAAACGAAATGAATTCGCTTGGTTATGGGGATTTTATCATTTACAATGGTATACTTCTGATGGTTTCTGATGCATCATGATCAACAGGAAAGCCAATATGTGTTGGCATTGAATGCAGTCTAGTTATTCAGTTTGGCATACTAGCGACTGATTTGTCAGAACTTTTCTATGTGATGAACTATTCACCTAGTATATCATTATCTGTCATCTTTTAATCAACGTTTACTGTATTGTCAAATAATTCTGTAAGTTAAATGAAGATTGAGTAAGTATGAGATTCTGTCAGGTGATTTAACAACAAATCTTTCGGATGATATAGACACAGTCATGGGTGAATATGCTTAGAGAGAATTATACTATGAAAGTTGTTCTATTTGACGAGAAAGAGCAGATAAAAATTGCTCGAAGCAATTAAATGTCGCTCATGTTGACAAACTATATGATTTTTGTTATATTCAGAGAAACCGATTCGACACGCAGAATTTTCAATAAGAAGAACTTTGATTTTTTTTCTTGAAAAACATGTCCCTCAACTTCTTTTGTATTTGTGTGCCAGAAAAAAAAACTACGCAAAAGTTCATTCTGGAAAATTTCTACGCTTTTTCCTAACATTATCTCTACATATAAAGATATATCGTTGATATTTCGAAAAGTTACTCCAGAAATCGGAATTTCGAGAAGAAAAAAGCTGATTTTTTTTTCACCAAAAATGTTTTCTACAGTCGACCAATATTTTGAAGTCGAAAAAGATTCGAAGTATGAGAATAATAAATTATGAATAAGAAGATGAAGATTGAATACATTTCGATTGTGAAATTGACATGAAATGTTCAACTGTAGAGAATATAGAGAAAGAAAATATCTGAAAAACATCGTATTATTTCACCTTCATTATTAGAATTGAAAGACAAAAATGAATGTAAACTGGCGTCTATAAATCAAATTCGTCCAATGAATATTTGAATACACGACTAGTGATTCAGTTGAATGAGTTTAACAAAGAAAAAAAATTGTTTTGTTTTGAACATTGTAACTATTATTAAACTGTGAAAATCTTCAATAAAAAAGAATTGATCGTACATTTGGATTTAGTTTGAAATTCAAGGATAATTTCTGCGAAAAGGATTCTCTGATATAATAAAGAGGAAATATATTGAGACTTTGTTCCCAAGTAGAATAATCTGATACGTTGCATAATTTCATCAATGTTTCAATGTGAGTGTAAGTTCATTTTTTCATTAAATACACGTTTATGTGATCGATCAAGTAAAGTACATTTTCTTTCCCTGAAATCTAATTGAATTGCTAAACAGTAAATATTCAGTCATGTTCGTTGTGCATTATGAGCAGTGCGCATGAGTAACATTTGAGTAAATCGTTCAACGATGTTTGCAAATATTAGAAATTTCGTTTCTTTTCGCATCCACAGAATCTCTCGATTATTTTTCTACAAATCAAAAGATATGTACTTTTACTTTTCCTCAATAAAAATAAAACGAAAATAGTCCCAATTGATGTTATTGTTAATTTGTAAATATTCGTATTTGATGCAACACTTGATAGTAAAAATAGCGCGTTTTGTTTCAAATGCGAATGCCACAGAGTTTACCTTTCAAATCTACGTCAATTCCATGATGAAAATAAGAAACAAATATAGAAATAATCGTAACCACGACTTTCTCGAAGTACATTTCTCGAGACGGAACAGTGAGAATTACAAACATCTATACACTCGTTCAAAGTATACTTCGTTTTATTAACATTTCATTAATCATGATGATTTGGGTATTAACATTAACAATACTTTTGATCATTATTCTTCTGCAATCAGTAACCACAGAAGATCCTCGATCGTTTATGATTTCTTGCAATGATAGTCATATCAGGAACACGAATACCGCTTGGTGAAGAGAAAAATGGATTTTTTTCATGGATTTCTGAAGTCGTCACTTGTTCTCATGTGTGAAAACTGCTACTTTTATATTTCCTTCCGTTCTTTTCTCAAAATAAAGAGCCAACTACAACATCAACAACACCCGGCCCTAAAAATATGCCGAAAATTAAATAAGTGAAACGCGAATATCGGAGAATGATACAAACTTCACTAATTCGAAAAGATATGTTTTCCGAATCATTAGATGAAATTTCTGAGAAATCTTTCAAGACAGTCGGTCGACATAAAGCAATCACATACTGAAACCACGTGAATGAACTCATCTTCAGTAGGCAATATTTCGATATAGTTTCACTAACGTGGCAGCCTTAGAGACATTGGAATGATCATTAGGAGTATAATTTCATTGACTGAATTGAGTATATTGTTATACAAATTCAAGAGTAACGAGATTCAGGAATATCCATAAAACAATATTTTACACGAAAGAGTTTGCTACTTATGATATTTTCGCCCTCAAACAAACAAGTCAGATCAGTGAATGAAAAGTTGTTAAAAATAGTATCTTTTCTCATTTTTTTTGTATTACTTTGTGTGAATATCAATCTCAAACTTGAATGTTACGCGAACTTATTACATGGCTACAGTCTTACTATATGGTACAGTTTGATCGTGGGTGGATCAAATATTACTGGTTCTATGAGCGGTGCTGGAATATATGATTGAAGAGATGAAATATTTGATGAAGATATTTCAAAATAAAGATAAATGAAATTACACCAATAAAAATTCCAATGAATATTGAAAAGAAATCCAATCTTAACAAATTTGTAATGAATATTATTCTCTCACAAAACTGTTATTATACACAAATTCGATGCTTTTTTATTCCGTTATTTTGATCTTTGATAACAGAATACTATGAAATTCATATCAAGTCATTCCGTCCTTCTTCTATATTCTCTCATATATCATCAATCAAATTGATTCTCGTACTTATTCCTCGATGATTCTCAATAACAAGAGATGAATGAATGTTTTTAGTTAATCAAGATAAGTCTGTTACATTGTAAGTTAGATAAAAATGTATCAAACAAATTAGAGATTTGATAAATGTTAAAATGCAGGATAACACTTTCACAAAATTCGATTCTTCCATGTTTTATTTAGAACTTCCCTTATCGATTGCTGAATTCCTAGATTCTCACTATAATTTCTTACAATCTAAATAGACGAAATTTATTTGTGAAGTTCTTGTTGCACGAGACTGATCCAATATCCCATTCCGAAAATAGTCGCCTCATCATTGAAGTTATAAGTTGGCGAATGAAGTTCGCCACTTTGATTTCCATTTCCCATAAAAATGAATGCACCTGGTTTCCTCTGAAGAAATTCAGCAAAATCTTCTGAGTTCATGATTGGTGCTGCGTTTCCATCGACATTTTCAGCGCCCACGAGAGCTCCAGCTGCTTTGATCGCTTTCTGTGTAGCTTGAGCATCATTAATCAGTGGAGGTCTTCCACGTCTAAACACTATGTCAGTAGTGCACCGAAAACTGGCAGCAAGACCCTGTGCCAATTCTCGCAAGCGTCGCTCGATGGTATCGCGAACCTCTTTTGTGTAACTACGTGCAATACCACCGATACGAACTTCTGATGGTAAGACATTTAACGAACCAAAAGCGCCACTTTGAATAGCACCGACACTAATCACCGCAGGATCGATCGGTGCGACATTTCGACTAATAATAGTTTGCAATGAGAGAATAAACTGTGCTGCTAGCACAGTCACATCGGTAGCAAAGTGTGGTGTAGCACCGTGACCACCACTACCTCGAAACGTCACGTTCCAAATATCGGGTGCTGCCATGAATGGACCTGAGCGAGTACCAAATTGTCCAACAGGTATACCTGCAGCATTATGTAATCCATAAATTGAATCCATTGGAAATCGATCNTTTCGACTAATAATAGTTTGCAATGAGAGAATAAACTGTGCTGCTAGCACAGTCACATCGGTAGCAAAGTGTGGTGTAGCACCGTGACCACCACTACCTCGAAACGTCACGTTCCAAATATCGGGTGCTGCCATGAATGGACCTGAGCGAGTACCAAATTGTCCAACAGGTATACCTGCAGCATTATGTAATCCATAAATTGAATCCATTGGAAATCGATCGAAAAGCCCATCATTAATCATCGCTAAAGCACCATTCCTTTTTTCTTCAGCTGGTTGAAAGATAAAATGAACAGTTCCACGAAATGAATTCCGATGCTCTGATAGATATTTGGCTGCGCCTAACAACATTGTCGCATGTCCGTCATGACCACAAGCATGCATGACACCAGGACTTGTAGAGATGTACGATACATTGTTTTGTTCTATAATTTCAAGAGCATCCATATCAGCACGTAAACCAATGAAACTGTATCCAGACTCTTCGCTTTTCAATGTACCCACTACACCTAGTTCACCTACGTTTTCAGTAACATTGATGCCCCATTGTTTTAGTTTATTAGCTATCAAAGCAGAAGTACGTATTTCTTTCATTGCCGTTTCTGGATGAGCGTGTATATCTTGGCGAATTACATGTAGATCGGTCTGCATTGGACGTAAGAGTTCCAACAGATTATTCGCAGTTGCCTTTTCATTAACAACGTAGCCATCAGTTTCTTTGAAAACAATTCCACTTATAACCCAAATAAATATGAGAGAACAATACATTTTTGCGTTTACAGTCAATAAAAATGTTTAGAATAAAGATATGACAGGATTAACAACGCAAATGTATAAATGTCATCCCTTGGTCTTTGTTAAGATCTGTACGCAAATATTCTCAATGGAAAAAGAGCAGCTAACAAAAGATACAAAGAGAAAACGATGTTTTGTTTTCAAACTTAGAGGAAGGGAAAATATGTCACGAGACAGAATGTTCAAGATGAAATGTTCATTCAATAATAGAAGTATATGTATGTACTAAAGGTGAGTATATAGAACAAACCTTTTCATCCTGTCCTGCACTCAACTTTGATCAATTTCAACCATAACCATCCTCTCCCGCTCATCGCAAACGACTGAAAATCATCTAAAGTAGAATAAAACCTGTCTTGGTTTATCTGTAATCATTTTTGTTGCAGATTTGTATAAGCATCGATAGAATTGGAATATATTATTGAATGAATCGAATGCTGAGATATCCTACGCCTCTAAATATGAATCAACCGTGACAAAATTCCATATTCGTATATTTTAAGTTTTAATAATGAAGAAAACGATATATGATTCTAACTAATAGTAGCAATCTTGAAAAGAAATTATTTTAATTGTCAGTTAATTGCAATTTCTTTTTGATAGAGTCAATACGCATCTGAAAAGCCAGAAGATCAGGATCATCCTGGGGCTTGGAATTTTGTAATATTTCAAAAATACGTTCATTATATGAAAGTTCTTTTGAATAATCTTTCATTTTGGAATATATGTCTGCAATGGTATAATAGGAAATAATCAGTTGAGGGTGATCTGAAGAAAGAATTTTTTGTCGAATTTCTAATGATTTTTCAAAATATGCCAACGATTTTGAGTATTCGTTCATCATGTAATAAACTACTGCTATATTGTTGTAGGAAATATCAATATCAGGATGATCGCTACGAAGAGAGACTTGCCGAATTTCAAGTGCTTTTTCAAGGTATGGAAGAGCTTCTGAATAATCACCTATTTTGTTATAAGTTGTTCCAATATTGTTGTATGTGTTACCCAAATCCGGATGATTGATACAAAGAGCAACTGTTTGAATTTCAAGCGTTTTTTTAAAATACTTAAGTGCTTCATCGTAGTCGCCCATATTGTCGTATGCTGAACCATGCCAGGAGTAACATTGAGCTAAATCTGGATGATTGGGAGGGAGGGACTTTTGACGGATATCAAGTGCTTTTTTAAAACATAACAGTGCTTGATAATAATCACCCATATTATCGTACGCCGTACCCATGCTCATGTAAGAAAAAGCCAAATCAGGATGATTTGGAGAACAAATTTTTCCAATGATTTCATGTACTTTTTCAAAGTATGAAAGTGCTTTTGAATAATCAGTCATCTTGCAATAATTAGTACCAATATTAGTATAAGTGGTGATAAAATCCGGATGGTTCCGAGGAAGAGATTTTTGATAAATTTCAAGTGCTTTATCACAATACAAAAGAGCTTTTGAATATTCAGCGTTTTTCGAGTACACTATACTGATATTATTATAGGAACGAGCCAAATCAGGATGATTCGCAGGCAGAGCTTTTTGATCGATTTCAATTGCTTTTTCATAGTACAAAAGCGCTTTGGAATATTCATACAGTGTCTCGTACACCGCACCATAACTGGCGTAACAAGCAGCTAATCGTGGACCGTTAGGAGGAAGAATTTTGTGATAGATTTCAAGCGCCGTTTCGTAATTTGAAAGTGCTTTGGAATATTCACCCATATTCAAATAAGCTTGGCCAAATCCACAGGATGAAGTAGCCAACATGTCTGCAGGTAAAGATGGTAGTTTGTTACAAATGTCAAGTGCAGCTTGGAAAAATTTAGTTGCTTCCTCATATTGTCCTTGTTTATTCTTGATAACTCCTAGCATGTAATACAAATGATGTTTTTCTCCCTCATCAGTTGTCTGTTCAAGTAAGACGTTATACAATTCTTCAGCTTTATCATATTGACTTAGATTTACCATTAAATGACTAAGTCGAATCCAACCTGTATGTCCCTTTGTTTCTTCACGGATATAATCAGTTAAAGTGCTTAGTTCGCGATCATTATCATCAGTTAATGTTAAATCTACGTGGTAAGTTCGATCATTACTTTCGCTTTGTTTTATCTCCATAATACGGAAAATTGCATGCATAGAGAATAAGATTTCGTTCTCTTCTCTAAAATAACTGACACTTCTAACCTTGGCAAATGGCGTTGAAGATTTGGAAGGGTCAACATTCATACGAAAGAGAATACCTGTGAGCTGCGAATCGGCTGCGTTGCTTTCAGCATACATTTCAGCTATGTTTGAATTCATGCTCGTCGATAAGAAATTATTGAACGACATTAATCCACCTTTTGTTTTGATTAATTGTTCAAAGTCTTCTTTAGATAATCCTTGACCACGATATACAGTAAACGGATTGGAGCGACGACATTCAATGAACTGTTTTGAATGAAGTTCAGCAATTTGTTGGTGAACATCACGTATGAAAAAGCCCATTGTAACAATAAGACCAGCTTCCATCGTACGTAATGCTTGGTTAACCATCGGATATAGAAAACTATCAGATGTATACCACCATATTGGTGAATGCTTTGAGTATTCATTTTCAATCTTTGCAATTTTGGTCAACTCGGTATCGTTTCGGACGTATTCTTTGCGATAATAGTTCAGAAACTCCTTAAGATGTATCTGATCGAAAGGAATTGTAATTAAAATTTCCTTTAGTAACTGAGTATACATGAAGGATTGATCGAGTTGTTCAAGATTTGTTTTGGAAGTTTCATCAATTGAAATTGTTTTAATAAAACTCATAGGAATTGCATTTTGATTGTGATGAACGATGTTCTGTTTAAGAGCTTCACCTATTGATATAATATCTGTAAAAGTGCCTTTAACCTTGGAATATTTTTGTGTCCATTTTTCGTGTTCCGTCTTATTTGTACCAAAAATATAAATACAACTTATTTTATCAATGTTTTGAGCCACAGGAATAACAATTTGACTGAATAGTCCAGAAACGATCATGAATATTGTTTCTTCTTTAACATTGGTAACGAAATCTAGGCATTTATCGATAACAGTAAATGTATTGATATCAATCACTATTTCCTGTAATTGATTGATGATGTTGTGATAATCATAACTATTATTGCTTTCATCGATATTTTCATCCAGGAAAACAAGAAGGAAATTTTGGATTCTTCGAAACTTCGGCGATCGAAGTGCCTTTATTCGTGTACATTCCGTCGATGCAGGAATAGACGATAACTTTTCGTGTTGGTCCATAGTAAGTCAGTTATCTGAAATGCGATGTTCTCTTGTCAATGCACGTACTTAAGAGTCCAGCGATTCCAAGATAAGATGTCAATAGTTTATTGTTCGAATCTAAATTTGTACGTAATACCATACATCGCTATTCGATGACAACAACAAAATCCACTCGACTCAATTTATATTGTATTACCAATTGTAAAAGAAACCTGTATTTTTTTTCATCGACAAATATTGCACTATGCGAGAACAAGAACTTACATATTATCTTTCGTATACACTCACCCCTCCTCCCTTCTATTTTCGCTTTTCTTCAATTGCTTAGGTATTTGATTAAAGCATCAAAACACAAAAAAATAGTGCAGAATGAAGGGAAAAAAACAGAGAGCATACTTTTATGACGAGAGACAGACTCTGACATAATAAAAAGGGGCATAGTTGTTTTGAAACAAAATGCACGTTCTCTGCAAGATAAGCGACAATGCATTCGCCTGGATATAATATGAAAACATCGAAAGAAAAAATGAATGTTGATCATGTTGAAAAAATCGAAACTTCTAAATTATCGGCACTGTCATATATTGATACTCCTTTCCGTTTACATGTCACTTTCCTAAATGTCTCTCATAATCGCTGTTTCTAGTCTGTATTCTATCTCAATAAATCGATATCTGAATGAGCGTGTGGGCATCTACTTCCCATTCCTATACTTTCACCCTCAACATTGAAATGTAAATAATTATCAACAACGACCTGCAAAGTACTCACTGAAAATCATCTATATGATTTTGTTTTTTTTATATAAGTGATGTCAGACATGTAATATACATCGATGGGGGTTTCATATTATCTCAGCTTGAGGCATAATGTTTAATTATCAGCACAAAGCCTTTGTACTGTCGTAAGTGCACCTATTGCATTTTCTAGAAATGCATATCTTTTCCGAGTTCTATGTCTTTTCTTTAATTAGATGTCACGTTATTTTCTCCCTTTTTCCTTTGTATCTTTCTTATGAGATTAGACTTCATAACCCGTATATCAACATATCAAGTAGCAGGCATTCTTAAAGTTCAAATGTCATCGAACTCATCCGATGCGATATTGATTGCAAATCTAATTTCGATCTCAACTGAAATGAATCGTTATTTCTCGATTCTAATTTTTCTATTCGGTACCGTTGGTAATATTTTAAATTGTCTTGCATTATCTCAACGAACTCTCCGTTCAAATCCATGTGCGTCGTTCTTTCTGGCGTCATCGTTTAGTAATTTAATAACTTTAATTTCCGGTGTTGCTGTTCGTCTGTTAGCAGGTTGGAACGCTGATTTAACCGGCACGAATAACTGGATCTGTAAAATTCGTATTTTCGTTTTGTTTACTTCACGAACTGCTGCTTCATGGTTGATTACATTCGCAACAATCGATCGATGGCTTTCATCATCGGTTGATGTTCATTATCGACAATTGAGTACATTGAAAAATGCCCGACGTGGGATGATTTTTGTTGTACTTCTCTCCATTAGTACGTACGCACAATTATTGTATTGTTATCAAGCAAATCTAGTCAATGCGCCGTTAAAATGTTATTCGAAAACAATGATATGTCGTCTATTGTACGACTTTGAATTTATTGTGATAACTGTGTTTCTTCCAACATTGTTAATGACTGTGTTTGGATTGATGACAGTTTTCAATATTCAACAATCTAAACGACGTCGAATTCAACCATATTCAACAATGGTAAGAATGAATTATTTAGCCAGTACGAGAGAAGAAGTTCAACGATGGGGGAAAAAAGATCGTTCTCTTCTATTAATGCTTTTTATTCAAATCATTTTATTGACGATATTTTCACTTCCACAAGCAATTCAAAGTCTTTATGCAAATATAGTTCGTGAACAAACTCAATCGGCGATTGCGAATGCCATCAATAATTTTGTTTTAAACATATTCTTTCTCTTGACATACGTTACGAATGGAATGCCATTTTATATTTATACACTCACTGGTGGTTCACTTTTTCGCAAAGCATTGTTTACTTCACTACGAGAGCTCTGTCCAAAGTTCACTTGAAAGTTTGAGATTTTATCCACAAAATCTATATGAATTGATTGGTTTCTACCTGATTTCAGTTCTCTCATAAGAAAATAAACATCGAGTCCACGTTTTCTCCGGCAGTGCAAACCTAATTAGAAGATAGTTCACTCTTTTACTCCCTATGTGATCGAACATTGTGACCATCTGAATCGCCTTTGTCTACACGTGAACGTCATTGAAAGTCACTATTTCATTGCGAAAACGAAGATGAAAAGAATCTAGTCGGAAGTCTGGCTTGCAAAATGTTCATTTTTAAAAATGACAAGAAGAAATACACAAAGATGCCCCACGATAATGAAATATGCTCGCAAGAGCCAACAGTTGGTCTATACACAAATAAAAGATGATATTCACTAAATACTATTTTAAAGTTCATTAGTTTTCTTTTTTCCGTTGTCGGGAGCGTAACTCGGCATTTCTTAATATAAAAACCGATGTCGTGCATTTTTAAGCGGAAAACAATACAATGAAAACTTTTACTGCATTAGGTAAGACAGATGGTTATTGAACAAAATAAGAGAGAGAAACGTTCTCTTTAATCAAGTTTTCGACTATTTTTAACTGTGCAATTACCGAATATTTACTTCACAAGTAAAGGGTATATATTTGAACTTCTTTTGCAATAGTGGAAAGAATATTTTCTAAGCAAATGGATAAACTTAGACGAGTTAGNTATATCTTGGCGAATCACATGTAGCTCGGTCTGCATTGGACGTAAGAGTTCCAACAGATTATTTGCAATTGCCTTTTCATTAACAACGTAGCCATCAATTTCTTTGAAAACAATTCCACTTATAACCCAAATAAATATAAGAGAACAATACATTTTTGCGTTTACAGTCAATAAAAATGTTTAGAATAAAGATATGACAGGATTAACAACGCAAATGTATAAATGTCATCCCTTGGTCTTTGCTAAGATCTGTGCGCAAATATTCTCGATGGAAAAAGAGCAACTAACAAAAGGTACAAAGACACAACGATGTTTTGTTTTCAAACTCAGGGAAAGGGAAAATATGTTATAAGACAGAATATTTAAGATGAAATGTTCATTCAATAATCGAAGTATCAGTATGTACTGAAGATGAGCATATAGAACAAACTCTTTCATCTTCTCCTGCTCATCGAAAACGATTGAAAATCATCTAAAGTAGAATAAAACCTGTCTTGGTTTATCTGTAATCATTTTTGTTACAGATTTGTATAAGTATCGATAGAGTTGAAAGTACTGAGAATAGAATTGGAATATATTATTGAATGAATCGAATGTTGAGATACCCTCACCCTCTAAATATGAATTAACCGTGACAAAATTCCATATTAGTATATTTTGAGTTTTAATAATGAAGAAAATGATATATGATTCTAACTAATAGCAACAAGCTCGAAAAGAAATTATTTCAACTGTCAGTTAATTGCAATTTCTTTTTGATAGAATCAATATGCATCTGAAAAGCCAGAAGATCAGGATCATCCTGGGGCCTGGAATTTTGTAATATTTCGAAAATACGTTCAATATATGAAAGTTCTTTTGAATAATCTTTCATTTTGGAATATATGTCTGCAATGGTATAATAGGAAATAATCAGTTGAGGGTGATCCGAAGAAAGAACTTTTTGTCGAATTTCTAATGATTTTTCAAAATATGCCAACGATTTTGAATATTCGTTCATCATGTAATAAACTACTGCTATATTGTTGTAGGAAATATCAATATCAGGATGATCGCTACGAAGAGAGGCTTGCCGAATTTCAAGTGCTTTTTCAAGGTACGGAAGAGCTTCTGAATAATCACCTATCTTGTTATAAGTTGTTCCAATATTGTTGTATGTGTTACCCAAATCCGGATGATTGATACAAAGAGCAACTGTTTGAATTTCAAGCGTTTTTTTAAAGCACTCAAGTGCTTTATCGTAGTTGCCCATATTGTCGTATGCTGAACCGTGCCAGGAGTAACATTGAGCTAAATCTGGATGATTGGGAGAGAGGAACTTTTGACGGATATGAAGTGCTTTTTCAAAATATAACAGTGCTTCAGGATGATCACCCATATTATCGTACGCCGTACCCATGCTCATGTAAGAAAAAGCCAAATCAGGATGATTTGAAGAACAAATTTTTCCAATGATTTCATGTACTTTTTCAAAGTATGAAAGTGCTTTCGGATAATCAGTCATCTTGTGATAATTAGTACCAATATTAGCATAAGTGGTGATAAAATCCGGATGGTTCGGAGGAAGAGACTTTTGATAGATTTCAAGTGCTTTATCACAATACAAAAGAGCTTTTGAATATTCAGCGTTTTTCGAGTACACTATACTGATATTATTATAGGAACGAGCCAAATCAGGATGATTCGCAGGTAGAGTTTTTTGATCGATTTCAATTGCTTTTTCATAGTACGAAAGCGCTTTGGAATATTCATACAGTGTCTCGTACACCGCACCATAACTGGCGTAGCAAGCAGCTAATTTTGGATCGTTAGCAGGAGGAATTTTGTGATAGATTTCAAGCGCCGTTTCGTAATTTGAAAGTGCTTTGGAATATTCACCCATATTTACATAAGCTTGGCCAATTCCACAGGATGAAGTAGCTAACATGTCTGCAGGTAAAGATGGCAGTTTGTTACAAATGTCAAGTGCAGCTTGGAAAAATTTGATTGCTTCCTCATACTGTCCTTGTTTATTCTTGATAACCCCTAGCATGTAATACAAATGATGCTTTTCCCCCTCATCAGTTGTCTGTTCAAGTAAGACGTTATACAATTCTTCAGCTTTATCATATTGACTTAGATTTACCATTAAACGACTAAGTCGAATCCAGCCTGTACGTCCCTTTGTTTCTTCACGAATATAATCAGTTAAAGCGCTTAGTTCACGATCATTATCATCGGTTAATGTTAAATCTACGTGGTAAAGTCGATCATTACTTTCGTTTTTTTTTATCTCCATAATACGGAAAATTGCATGCATAGAGAATAAGATTTCGTTCTCTTCTCTAAAATAACTGACACTTCTAACCTTGGCAAATACCGTTGAAGATTTGGAAGGGTCAACATTCATACGAAAGAGAATACCTATCAGCTGCGAATCGGTGGCGTTGCTTTCAGCATACATTTCAGCTATGCTTGAATCCACGCTCGTCGATAAGAAATTATTGAACGACATTAATCCACCTTTTGTTTTGATTAATTGTTCAAAGTCTTCTTTAGATAATCCTTGACCACGATATACAGTAAACGGATTGGAGCAATGGCATTCAATGAACTGTTTTGAATGAAGTTCAGCAATTTGTTGGTGAACATCACGTATGAAAAAGCCCATTGTAACAATAAGACCAGCCTCCATCGTACGTAATGCTTGGTTAACCATCGGATATAGAAAGCTATCAGATGTATACCACCATATTGGTGAATGGTTCGAGTATTCATTTTCAATCTTTGCAATTTTGGTCAACTCGGTATCGTTTCGAACGAATTCTTTGCGATAATAGTCCAGAAACTTCTTAAGATGTATCTGATCGAAAGGAATTGTAATTAAAATTTCCTTTAGTAACTGCGTATACATGAAGGATTGATCGAGTTGTTCAAGATTTGTCTTGGAAGTTTCATCAATTGAAATTGTGTTAATAAAACTCATAGGAATTGCATTTTGATTGTGACGAACGATGTTCTGTTTAAGAGCTTCACCTATCGATGTGATATCTGTAAAAGCGCCTTTAACCTTAGAATATTCTTGTGACCATTTTTCGTGCTCGGTCTTATTTGTACAAAAAATATAAATACAACTTATTTTATCAATTTTTTGAACCACAGGAATAACAATTTGACTGAATAACCCAGAAACGATCATGAATACTGTTTCTTCTTCGACATTGGTAACGAAATCAAGGCATTTATCGATAACAGTAAATGTATTGATATTCATCACTATTTCCTGTAATTGATTGATGATGTTATGATAATCATAACTGTTGTTGCTTTCATCGATATTTTCATCCAGGAAAACAAGAAGGAAGTTTTGAATTCTTCGAAACTGCGGCGATCGATGTGCCTTTATTCGTGTACATTCCGTCGATGCAGAAATAGACGATAAATTTTCGTGTTTGTCCATAGTAAGTCAGTTATCTGAAATGCGATGTTCTCTTGTCAATGCACGTACTTAAGAGTCCAGCGATTCAAAGACAAGATGTCGATAGTTTATCGTTCGAATCCAAATTTGTACGTAATATTATACATCGCTGTTCGATGACAACAACAAAATCAACCTGACTCGCAGTTTATATTATATTACCAGTTGTAAAAGAATCCTGTGTTTTTTTCCATCGACAAATATTGCACTTTGTGAGAACAAGAACTTGCATATTATCTTTCTTATACCCTCGCCCCCGTTCTTTTTTCGCTTTTCTTCAATTGCTTAGATATTTCATTAAAGCATCAGAACACAAAAAAATAGTGCAGAATGAAGGGAAAAAAACCAGAGAGCATACTTTTATGACGAGAGACAGACTCTGACATAATAAAAAGGGGCATAGTTGTTTTGAAACAAAATGCACGTTCTCTGCAAGCGACAATGCATTCGCCTGGATATAATATGAAAACACCGCAAGAAAAAATGAATGTTGATCATGTTGAAAAAATCGAAACTTCTAAATTATCGGCACTGTCATATATTGATACTCTTTTGCGTTTATATGTCATTTTCCTAAATGTCTCTCATAATCGCTGTTTCTAGTCTGTATTCTATCTCAATAAATCGATATCTGAATGAGCGTGTGGGCATCTACTTCCCATTCCTATACTTTCATCCTCAACATTGAAATGTAAATAATTATCAACAACGACCTGCAAAGTACTCACTAAAAATCATCTATATGATTTTGTTTTTTTTATATAAGTGATGCCAGACATGTAATATGTATATCGATGCGGGTATCATATTATCTCAGCTTGAGGCATAATGTTTANGATTCCTAAAAGGACCTCTGTATCCTATTCATTCTAGTTCTAGTGTGTGACATAGTGCCATGATTCAGTTGAGCACTAGTAGCAATCGCAGTGTGTTTTTTCTCCTTCAAAGTCTCTGAATGTGTTCAGCATTAGGAAAAATCTTTCAGAAAAGGGTCAGCGAATCCAAAGGATGAGCGTTACTTGTAACGTTTAGTATATTTGAAAAATGTACCGAGAACAGCATGACAGCGGATAACTTCTCGATCTGCTATACCTTCAGATCTGGTATGTTAACGGCATTTTTTAAAAAAGGAGGAATAGGGAGGATTTTCATAGGAAACTTTCGTAGGATTTCGTATGAAAAAGGAGGGAAAGGAGGAATTTCATTGTGTCGCGAGAAAAGAGTTCTTTACAAGTTAAACTCATTAACATTCCGAAGGCACTTAAGTAAATACTTAACACAATTTGGACAATGTTTATTTATAAATATGATAAACCAGAGAAATAGAAAAGCAACTTCTATACTTATAGCAAAATCATAGTATATGTGAAACATCACACATACTTATCACAAAAAAACAATCTTATTTGACTATTCGATAACAAAAGCAAAATTATTTTACAAATTTGGTTGCATTCTCTTCTAACATTACTTGTTCGGCAGCCAATTTACGTTTCTCGTTTGACTGTTCGCGATCAGTATGAGCTCGCTTTTGCTGAATCATTGAAATATCTTTCATGATCTGTGACATATCTTCATCAATAATTTTCATCTTTTCAGTTCCAATCTTGTTTAATGCATAGGCAGCTTGTATGTCAGTAAAATTTCCTTTTCTTAACGAATTTCCAATACGTTGATTTCCTTCTTCCAACAGCAATTGAGCTGTTTTTTGTTCAGTTTGGAGCTTTTTTCTCAATCTCTGCCTTTTCTGACTTAAGGTGAGGTGACACTGCTGAAAATTCTAGGTGTCAATGTCGACATTTCGTTGAGCACGCAGTTTTCTACTTTTCAAATTTTTCATAGAAAAAAATCAAAAAATCACATAAAAGGAAAATCGTTATAACTCTTCAAGATAGAACCGCTGTCGGCCGAAACTCGTCTAGGGTGCGTACCATCTCGATGCCCTCTATCGACTAATACATGAGCCGAGACTAAAGGACGTGTACACCTAGGACTATTTCCTCGTTAGTACCCAGGTCGTTCATTCCGGCGACTGGATCCGTTGAAATCTAAGTCGGTTCCGGTACAGCTCTTCTCGATTCCGGCACAGTTTTCGCCGATTCCAGCAAATTCTGGCGGGTTCCTTGCCGCCGAATTCCGGCCGGAATTGCATAGGAAATATCCGATCAGTTCCTGACCGTTTCCAGCTCGAAGTTTGCAGGAAACGGTCGGAAAATGACTGGAACCTACGTTTGAACTTCCGGCCGGAATCCGGCGGCAAGGAAATGGTCGGAAAACGAACCTAACCGGCTGGAACCGACCGTACCATAATAACTTGGGTATACCCTATGGTTGAATATTATTTGGAAATACCCGAAGCTCAACCTACGATAACCTGCGTCAATTATGTGACGTACGCTAAAAAGGAAGTGATTTTATCTTTCTTTCTAATGAAGTTTTTTCACCTGTGTACTATATAAAAGGTCAATGAAAAAAGTACATTATGCCGTCAACGGTATGCATGTTTTTAGTGAAATGTTGATTTCTGGTTTTATTTATTCAAAAAATCAACTTAAACATTAATCATATCAATAAGATTTTGAGTTTCTTTTAGCATCAGATGCTTATTCGGATAGGTTTGCTTTTGTATCTCCAAAGTTTTCTTAAAGAATATTTTTGCTTGTTCATATAAATGTTTCTCCGCATAAAATTTTCCAATTAGTTTTAAACAATTGGCTGTTTGATCATAATTGTGATGGCGATTCTCTTCTAAAATTTCCAATGCTTTCTGCAAACAGTCAATTCTTTGATCTTCATTGACTTCATACAATTCAGCCAAAGTCATCAATAAATGAGCAATATTAGGATGATCTTCCGTTAAACAGTGTTCATAAAAATTCAATTCTCTCGAACAAAAATCAATTGCTTGTTGTTTCATATTCTGCTTTGCATACAAGTCAACTAACGATTTCACACAAACAATCCGCTGAAGATCACTGTCAAAAAGAGAGTTCTTGCTTAAATCAAATGCTGCAAAATAGAAATCTTTTGCTTGATCGAAATCATCTTGTGCAAAGTAAATATCTCCTATAATTCGATAACATCGAACAAGCCCACCGGGTGCTATCGAAGAGTGTTCATGAATAATCTCTCGTGCTTCTAAACATCGATCCAATGCTTTCGTATAATTTTTTTTTATTATATAAATCGAACTAATATTTAATAGAGTGATTGCTTTATCCACAGGATTAATTTGATAATCTAAAACTTTGAAATAATGTTTCAACGCTTGACAATGATCTCCAATAGATTTATAAAGATTTCCTAGGCTATTCAATGTTATTCCGATTGTTTGTCGGTAGGAATGGGATTTTTTCATTTTGATTTTATAAGATAATTGATAGTTTTTCAATGCTTCATTCCAGTTGGTGATATACATATTTAAGTCACCAATGTAATCGTAAACCAGCGGAACATCATAATGTGATTTAGGTAAAAGTTTTAAAATCATTTGAAAATATGAATTTGCTTTAACATATTGATTCATGTCGATTAATAAATGACCGAATAATAAATTATCATTTGTATTATGAAATTTTTCTTCCATATGTTTAATACGTTCGATAATTGAATCGATTCTTTCATCTGTTGCTTCCATTTCAACTCTCCACATGTTGTATTCGTCGCTGAAATAAACATTCTTTATTTGAAAAACAGATCCAACGTTAAATAGAACCTCGTCTTCGTCGATAAACGGATTTTGCGCTGGATTGTTTCCCAAAAATTCATTAATATCAACGAAAGTTGTGTTTTTCAAATTCGATGTATCGACGGTGATTTCAAATAAAACTCGCTGCTTACTCGATGCTTGTTCTATACCCCCTGCGAACGCTAAAGCTACATCGATCTGTTTTGATGTTGAAAAGAAAGCATTCGTTGAAATAAAACCGTTTATATTCGATTTCAAGCTTTCTATCTCCTCAGTCGAAATAAAAGCAACACCGCGATAAAGTTGGAGAATTCCTTGCCAATGTTGATTTTTATGCGCATTTTCTATTTGTTTACTTAAATCGCTAATATAAAAACGAAATTTATACCATAATGTGACATTTTCCGTTCGAAATGCTCGATTGGTTATAAAAAAAACGAATGAATTCTTTTTATACCACGCGATCGCTTGCTCTGATGTGTATGTCTTACGGAATAAATCAATTTCTTCCAACGTGTGGTTGTCAAGTCTAAAGTGGTGTTGACATCGGTCTAGCATAACATCTTTTGCTTGATCTGTTGAAGGAATGCGCTTTAAGAAGTTAACAAAGAGCATATATGAGAAACAAGCTTTATTATGTATTAGATTTGCTGCTGATGGTAATGAACGTGTGTAAAAGATTTTTTGATTTGCAAATAAATCGAATTTTAATAAGGGTAACTCGCGTTGGACAGAATTCTTTAACGTTTCGTGTTCGCTACAAATTTCGATAATATTTGAATGATCTTTCTTTAAATGTTGGTATTGATGATAGTTTGGACAGAAGATAAAGATTGAACATCTTTTCGCGTAAGGAAGAATTTCTTCCACAAATAAATCAGATACAATAATAAGCAATCGAACTTCGTCTTGCTTTAATTTCTGAATTTTCGTTGAACATAATTCAAGGTTATTATAAAAGTAACAAGGAATATCACTGTTTTCACGAAGTAATAGTTTTGTACGTAGGGAATAAATTGAATCATCTAATGCATCAGAATCTAACCAAATCAAAGCACACTGATTACTTGCCTCGTTGTGTAAAGTGCGAATACGAAGTTGAATTTTTGTTAAAATCGTGTTCCGTTCGATAGTACTCATTTTACACTTTTGTGTACTTTTCCTCTATAATAAATTGAAAATGAATATGTTTTTATGTTTATCATTACGCAGACACTTCACTTTGCATTATCATGCATGAAAGCGATGAATTAAGCGACTTTATAGGCGGTGTGCCTAATGCCCTTATATTACAAAATGAAAGATCAAATAATGATCAACCTGTTCATCCAGCGCAAAATTTGATTTATGCCAGTATTATTGGTCTAGGATTGTTTTTTATCATAATTTTCATATGTATGATATGGTTACGGCCGCGAAAACAGGATGAATCGATAGAGATGAATACATTTGTAATAGTATCGACAATGACAACAGCAACAACAACAACTGTGACAACTACTAAACTTGAATCGATTAGTAAGTAAATAAGACTTATTATAAGGCACGAAGAAAACAAAATGAGGCGTTAGAAAAACGGGAATGTTGTTTGTGTACGCATGAATGAATTTATAAATGAAGTAAAAGACAAATACAGATACATATCACGTCTTTACCTTTTAAAATTTTTTTTCCCAAATGGTTAATGACTGTTTATCGCAATCGCATGATACTTTACTCGAGAGTTCAAGTGGAGGAACTAATTCACCATCTCTATGTAAAAAGTATCGAATAACAATTTTTGGAATATGTTTATTGGTGCTTTTATTTTCGGTATCAATTTTCGGTATCATCTTTATAGTTACAAGACAGAAAACAACATCAGTTTTGACCAGCACAACGACGACAGAAACNCAATTTTCCTTTCCAACGTTTATTACCTATCATGCAAACAACGCCAAATAGACATTGTTTTGCCTTGATTTTTGAGTATATAAAGTGTTCTTAAACGAACAATTCCAGAATTATATTGTTGACATTCAAAGTCTAAAAAAATCGTAGCAAAACTGAATGGCGGATGCGGCCGAGAAACACTGGGTGAAAAGTGAAACCGGATCGGATGAAATCGGATTTTTGCCGGCTCATCATACTGAAGTTGATATTTGTTTTTTAAGTTTCTACCGAGAAAAACAATTTTGATTCGTTTCTGTCTCTTCAACTTTAGCGAGTTTTTTTTCCAAAATTGAGACTTGAAATGTACTGCAGCATGATTATGTAGGAAACTTTTCTTAAGTTTCACATCTTACTAATTCACACAGTTTTAAGCTATTTACAGGATCAATTCTTATCACTATTTTAGTAAACAAGTTATTGCATACATATGTAGCCTTACTGAATTTTTCAATTAAACATCAAGAATGGACTCGATGGAAAAAGTCGTTCGGTTCCAACTCTGATATGCATCGATATTTGGTGAATTTATTTGAGGTTTCTATCAAACCATACTAATATATACTATCTTTGTTCCTATAGATTCTATTTATATTTCCATCATTTTGAGTTACGTGTTCATAGTTACAATACTCATTTTCTCCTTTCTCAGAATTTGCCACCATTGAAATGTTTGTTTTTAGTTGTTTTTAATACATACAAAGTAAGTTGGCATTTTGCAAGAGGAGATAGGAAGAGATAGATGTTATTTTCTTTATTAACTGATTTATTTTTCACGACAAACTAATATTTGACATAGAAAAGTGTTATTACTAATATTATTTATTTGTCAAATATCATAGATTGGTCACTATGTTGTGTAAAGAAAATGTGGAATCAATTGAATAAGATTAAAATAGAAGGATGTTGCTAGAAGTTACGATAATATGGAAAATAATATTGACCAATTTATACGATAGAGTGCATCTTGAGAAATATTATTCGATGATTTTAACTTCATAATTAATATTGTGTTGTATCATTTTTTTCAAATTTTCATTAACTGTGAATAATATTATGAAGTTACAATTCTTATATTACATTCCTCGACCGATATTCTAGTCATGATATATGTCTTAATGCTCATAAATTTATATGAATTAATTTATTTTAATCACAATATAATATTCTTCATAAACTCTTTCTTTCTTTTCTTAGATAAGAAAATAATCAAATCTAAGCATTTATTTTCATACGAACACTTTAGCTAACATCGTTGACAACAAAACATTTGAAGTATATTCTTCAAAAGACGTTTTAGTTCTAAACGAAACGTTTTTGATACGATGGCGTTTGTATAACAACTAATACAATTCTCGATTGACGATGTGAAAATTGTTAATATCACTAAATTTTGTTCAATCAACTGTCGCTCTGGACTTTTTTCATTATACTCTGTAATTTCTTGATAGATATGGAAGATTACAATGGGATATTTGCAAAGAATATAAACCATAATTTCCATAAGTACCATTCGAATCAATTGTTGATCTTTTGTTTGAAGTATTTGTGGTCTCCCAGTAGTCACCACTGCTGTATTTGTCGTACGACCTGATTGTGTGGCGTGACGAACCCTACGAAGATTCTTCCATGTCCAAAAACCAAATGTCAGCATAAGACTAGGTAGAACTGCCCCGTGAATCATAAGTGTATAATACGATATAAAGGTTTCATATGCACCTGGGTTGAAATAACAAACAAAAATATTTGGTCCAAACTGAAGAATTTGCATACCAATCCACACATGAATATGAAAAATTGTCCAAAATACGCATACAGCAATAATGTTTATAACAGCCATTCGACATGTACTATGTCTTCTTGTTGCAGCATTTCGTGAAGTAATTAATGTTCGATCTACCGATGCTAAAATGAGACAAGATGGCTCATAAACTAATAAAATGAAGCCTATATAATAGCGAAATCGGCAAAAAAAGGTACTATATGTAGTAGGATCGATATTGTAGCCTGATGCAAGTATGAGCAAAAAAAAGGCCGAATAGATATAACTAAGATCAATAATATTGATAGCAATCAAGTATATGGTGCATGGATTTTTTCGTAAATTATTGCGAGTAAATACCATTAGATTTAATATGCAACTAATAGTACCAACAATAATAAGTGTAGAACCACCGTATTTGAATACATATTCGTGAAGATAATAGAGAAATGCTGCTGTTGACATCAGTGTAGTATGGAGAATTACTGAAATGAATGTGGAAGATTAAGAAATTTCAAAATTTTATATGCAGCACTGACGCAGATGGACGTTTTCAACGCTTAATAGGTAATGACATATTAAGTAATTACGCAAATCAAATGTCAAAATGCTGTGACGTGTGTATGCTAAGAAGATTTGATGAGCCTACAGTAGAGGCCTGCAGGGTATGACATTTTCATAACCTGCAACCTGCCCTGTTAAAATCTCAGTAACCTGCAACCTGCCCTGTCAAAATCTCAGTAACCTGCAACCTGCCCTGTCAAAATCTCAGTAACCTGCAACCTGCCCTATCAAAATCTCAGTAACCTGCAACCTGCCCTGTCAAAATCTCAGTAACCTGCAACCTGCCTGCCCTTGTATAGAAAGCAAAAACAATAAGGTTGAGGTTTTCGATGAATTTTACATGCCTTTTCATTACGTTTATTTTAATCATAGAGTAGATAAATAAATATCACGTATTTCGAAAATTTCAAACCATAAATATATCAAAAACAATGTTATACGTTTTGAAATTTTCAAATCCTAAATACATAAAAAATAATATCATATATTTTGGAAGTTTCTGATCATCAAAATATCACCTACAATATCAGGATCTAATGATTATCTTCTTTTTTCTAAAGTCCGGCCTGATGCACTGAACACACGCTCAGATGTAGCAGAGCTTGCTGGAACACCAAGTAATGACTTTGCTAGCAAGGAAAGTTGAGGAAATACCAAATAGTACTTTTCTCAACATCCCAATAATGATCCATCTTTCGAAAATGGAAGTTTGGTGTTAATATATCGATCGACTTCATCACAATCATCATCATCGTCTTCATCGATATTTCCTGCAAATTCTTCCATAACATTACCAGGTGGAATAAAATCTTTCTTCTTTTTCTTTCTTCCATTTTCCACAGTCTTTGTAGTTGTTGTTGTAGATGATGAAGATGATTGTTCTTCATGAATTCCAATCGTTTTCACAATTTTACGAGTATCATTATAGATTTCTTCACGTAATCTATTACTTAATGTCTAAAATAGAACTCCAAACATCAAAAGATATGTGGCATTGTAACATATTCTTACCAAAAACCTTTTTGCACTTGGGTAANAAAGATTAGTCCGGGTAGTATCACGCCATATAAAATCAGCTGATCATCAGCTGTGAGAAAAGGATTAGTACTGGTAAAAGTACAAAGGTGAGTACCGAGCATATGGCTCGATATGCTTCAGGTGTAGAAGCTAAGTGCAAAGAGAGTGGATGCTAACTGTGGATCGTCACACTCCCGGATGAAAACTAGACGCTCTCCTGAGCGTCTCAAGCAAGAAGGAGGTGAGAGAACGAGAGAGAGAAAAAAAACAGAAAAAGAAGGAAGAAAAAGAAAACAAAGTGTCAATGTTATGATGTGGTAGGGACAGTTGTTGAAGCTGGAACACGAAAGTAAACCGATGGTAAACGATGTCGGCGTAGAAAAAAACATAATGCTAATATGATTAATAGTGATATGATAATAATGAGGGTGGCTATATTGAGAATACCAATTGGATGTCGATGTAAATCGCGTAATGTAGGCATTGTCGGGACGATAGACGGTGGTGAAGAGCGTTGAGAAATGAAATTGATTACTGCTTGTAATTCGTTTGAGATAAATGGTATCTTCGGCCATCGAGTATGATTACGTAGGTAGTCGGACATATCAAATTTTTCGCCGTAGGTAAAATTGACTAAAGAAAAATCCCATAAAGAAACGGGTGGACCTGAAGCTTCGGGTGAAGCTGGTATATTAAATTGGTCGCATAAGAGCGTGGTTTTGGGTGGAATAGTGATTAATGTGACAGTAGATAATGTGCGGCCCGTGTTCTGAATGAGGTGTGGTGTGTTAACCGTATGAGCGGTGGCAAAATTGCATCGTTGCATTTGGGTTGTGGATATAATCCATTGTGATCCTATCTGCTGATAGAATATATCTTCATTGTAAGGTTCGGTACGGCAAGCCGATAAAATAGAATCGTTGAGTATTTGGTGTAAACAAGTATTTTTCCACTTTGTAATAATTGGTGGCGTTTCGCGGCAAACAGACATATCGTTAAAATTACAAGCTTGAAAATCGGATTCAGTCCATTTAATAAGTTGAAAGTTAGCGTAATCAATACCAATAGCTTTTGGTAAATTTGCTAAACGAATACGTTTTCCAAAATAATAAAAAGGTACTGAGAATAGTTCATATACGGCAAATGGAGTAACGCGTCGTTTAGTGTCGGCAAAAAAGGAAGAAATTGATAGTATTCCAAGGATCGACTCTGTTTGATTGGATGATGTTTTTGGTACAAAATGAATTGTTTGTTGGACTAGAAGACGACTAAGGAGTTCGATTAACGGTGGCCCTAGGTTTTCAGTGGTGAAGTTGACATTGGTGGACATTGCAATGTGTTTCGCCACTTTGTTTAAATCTCGATGATGTATGAAATTAAGGTTGAGCTTGTTGGCCAGTATATCCGTGATGGATGTGTGTAGGAAATGAGATTCCACAGAATGAATAAATGTTGACAGTCGGTTATCGAGATATTTTGCAAAAATGCCTAGGTGTTCAATAGCAATTCCATGATGGTTTATGATAGTAGTAGTGCGATTCAAGGCACTTTGTGTATGGTTAAGTACCAGCGCTAGTTTCAATTGACCAGTTTGAAGGTGAAGAAGTTCCGCTGATACTGAGTCAAGTTTAGTGAGTGCTTTGGTAATCGTTTCTATATCATGTTGAATTTGTGCTATTTGTGCATAGTTTATCGTTGACATTGTAAGTGCTGCGGATCCCATTCCAATTGCAACGAGTTCAGAGATAAAACGTTTGCGGCGTGTTGTATCGTTAGATGATAGTCCCGATGGGTCGTAACCACACTGTGGTATTTTATGTAGTGTGTGTAACGGAAGTAAGTAGCACATGTCCTGTGTTAGAGGTATGGCCATAGTAAATGAGATAATATCGTCAGCTGGAGCGTATTGTGCCAAGTACCGAAAAGCCAGGCCAGAAGTTGGGTGGACAACATTACCAAGTGGTAATGGTACTAATGATGAACCGATTGGTATAATAATGAGAAGTACGAAGAGTTTTGACATTCTTGTAAAAAGATTTAGCGTACAATACTAAAATATAAGGACAAGATTATGATTAGAGAAACTATTGCTAGTCATAAATATATATGTATATATGAATTTATTCATACGGGTGCGAATGTTTACGATTTCGTAAAAAATAGCGTCGGGCTGGAGGGGGAGAGGGGGAATTTTGAGTGGATAAGGCAGGAATGGTACTATCGTGGGGTTCGTAATATAATTTCATTCGATCGATATTGGTGGTGCCGATGTTAACATTGTCTTTGAGACGTAGCACATTAAATGTAGATGGTGAAAGTTGTTCAATCAGTCGGCATGGTCCTTGATATTTTGGTCGTAGTTTATGTGAAATGGTGGCATTGTCTATTTGAGGAGTAGGTATTTGGACCCATACTAAATCACCTACGCCAAGTTGTCGTTGTTTTGTGTGTTTGTCATACTTATTTTTTTGACTAATTTTTTGGACAAGAGAATGTTCACGAACCAGGTGGTAAGTATTTCGTAATGTTTGAATTAGTTCATTACGATATTTTTGTAGAAACTTGTGTTCGGGAGTAATCACTGCTGTATTAGTTGGTGAGTTGGTAAGAATGAGGTCCAGTGGTGTTATAGGATCTCGCCCGAAGTTTAGAAAAGCCGGTGTGTCACCTGTAGACTCGTTAATTGACGTTCGTATTGCAAATGCAAATTTTTGAAGTTGCTTATCCCATAACCCTGGGCTGTTTTGGGTATACATAGCAATTAAAGTTTTGAGATTTCGGTTTACTCGTTCTGTCATGTTTGTTTGTGGATGGTAATTGGCTGTGAACTTACGTGTAATACCTAAGCCTTTACAAACTTCGTTAAATAAGCTTGAGATGAACTGAGGACCATTGTCAGAGAGTATAAATATTGGGGCACCGTATCTGCAAATAATTTCATCGATGATTATATTGGCGATATGTGTGGCAGTAGTTTGTCGAAGTGCAAATAATTCTACCCATCTCGTAAAATAGTCCACAACGACTAACAGGAATCGTTTTTGTCGGAAGGTTGGTGGGAATGGTCCCATGATATCAATTCCTATCGTATGCCATGGTTGTAAAACAGTATGTAGTTGCATTGGGTGAGTTTTGGGTGAATTATCATATTTATATTGTTGACAAGTTAAACAGGTTTGTACGTATTTGAATACATCTTTTCTCATGGATGGCCAGTAAACGCGTGATGATAGACGGTACAAAGTTTTAAACCGTCCAGCATGCCCAGCAGTTGGGTGATCATGCGCGATTTGTAGAATTGGTTGTTGTAATGATTGCGGTATGACGAGAAGATGTTTGTTACCAAGGATTCGGTGGTCGGTGTATGTATTAAAATGACGTACCTTATATAACAAATTGTTGATTAATACATATGGTGCATGTTTGGTATTGAAAGGTTTAGCTGGTTGTGAAGTAATTGTTCTAATGAGCGATTGTAATCGTTGATCGTTTTCTTGTTCTTTTTGAATATTATCTAGCAGATTGGTACCTTCTAAGATATTGATGCTGTATTCAATGGAATTCAATTCCGTAGCTTCGACATCTGATGAATTTATCGGATATCGTGACATAAAATCTCCATTTGGATTCTTTGTGCCTGGTCGATGCTGTATAATGATGTTATATTGAGAAAGATTCATTGCCCACCTTGCTAATCGGCCAGTTGGATCTCGAGTATTTTTCAACCATTGTAGAGCCTTACAGTCAGAACGAACGATGGTTGGCCCTCCTTCAATATACTGTCTAAAATGTTTGGTTGCCCAGACTATAGCGAGAGCCTCGCGTTCGACGGCACTGTAGTTTCTTTCGGCCGTGTTGAGGGTTCGACTGGCGTATGCGATGACATATTTGCGTTTGTCAAATTCTTGAGTAAGGACGCATCCAATGCCGTATTCGCATGCGTCTAATTCTAGTATAAACGGATAAGAGAAGTTTGGGTGTTGCATAATTGGTGGTGATACTAATCGTTGTTTTAACGTATTAAATGCAGTTGTACAATCATCATTCCATTGTACCGGTGAACGTGTTGTTTTGGTTTGATTGGATCTTAGCAATTTCAGAAGGGGTTCTGAAATTTGAGCATAATTTTTAATAAAACGTCGATAATAACCGGTTAGTCCTAGAAAAGCTTGAACATCTTTAATCGTAATTGGTTGCTTACATTCGACGACAGTTTCGACAAGTGCTGGATCTGGTTTAATACCTTCAGATGTGACTAAGTGCCCTAAGTATTTGATTTCGGGAAGACAAAAATGACATTTCGTAGCTTTGAGCGTTAGATTCGCCTCAGATAAGGCAGTAAAAACTTTTCGTAAGTCATGTTGATGTTGTTCAAATGTTGCGGAGAATACAATAATGTCGTCTAGATATACTAAACAACATTGCCATTTAAGTCCTGCTAATACAATATCCATTAATCGTTGAAATGTAGCTGGTGCATTTGTAAGGCCAAACGGCATGACTGTACATTCGAAAAGACCTCTATGCGTAACAAATGCCGTGAGTGGTTTACTAGCTTCATCCATTTCCACTTGCCAGTAGCCTGAGCGGAGATCGAGCGTTGAGAAGAACTGAGCTTGTTGTAATGAATCTAAGGTATCATCGATACGGGGTAATGGATATGCATCACGTATTGTAAGATTGTTGAGTTTTCGATAATCGATACAGAAACGCATTGATCCATCTTTTTTAGGGGCTAATACTACTGGAGATGCCCATGAACTTTTAGATGGGGTAATAACACCTTCGTTTAACATCGTTTTGAGTTCTTCGTCGATGGCTTGACGACGAGCTGGGGCGTAACGATACGGAGGTGAGTTACATGGTTTGCTGCCAGGTTGTACTTCAATATGATGTTTTATAACATTTGTACGTCCTGGTACACTAGTGAACAGTTGTGGAAATGATTGAATAACATTAGCTAATTGTTGCTGTTGGTGTTCATTTAGTATAGAATTATGTAAATCGGGTTGTTCAGATGACTTTTCTTCATTTGAATGGGATATAACATGAATGTTGGACGAATTATGAGGTGAGTTTGTCGGTGAAGATTCGTGTTGAATAACAGAGTAATTTGTTTCGACTGATGAGTAGGGGAGAGTTCGATTATGTTGAGACGCATAATAAACACATTGACGTGCTCCATCAATGATAAGTTCGTGTGTATGTATGAAGTTGTTGCCGATAATACATGGTCGCCATAGGTTAGGTACCACGTATGCTGGATGCCAACGTGTAGTATGATTAAAAGTAAAAGGTAGAGTCACGACCCATTGAACAGTGAGTGGTGAATGATCAGCTAGACGTAAGGATAGTGCGGAAGGTGGCTTGTTTTTTGTTTGTGTTAGTCGTGGGTTGAGTTGGTTAAATATTTGAGAATTGATGAGGGTGAGGGTGGAACCAGTATCAATCAAGAAACTAATTGGTAGTGAACCAATCCGTCCATTGATTGATAGTGGTTGGTTTGGGAAAGAGTCTATAGTATTTATGTGTGATATTTTGTTGAATTGCGGGTTAAGATAATTGGAGTTTTGTGATCCCGCTGTTCGAAAACTCCTTAATTGTTTTTTTGACGTTGAGGTAATGGCGGTTGGTTATATTCATTCGAATCATAATTGCGACGAGTTTCGTTAAGGGGGCAGGTCGTAGCATAATGGCCAGTTTCATAGCAGCGCCAACAAGTCGGTAGATAAGAATTATTCGACGTAGTTGGTGCGTTTCGTGTTGAATATTGATTGGTTGTAGTTAATGTTGATACTGGTGTATTTACAGTTGGTTTTGGTCGCGGATTTGCACGTCGTCTAGCCTCTTTATTTCGTAAGTACAATATTTCTTCCACTTGCTGTGCTTCCGTAATAATGTTGGATAAAGATTGTGAGCGACTAGCGTTCATGAGTGTTAACATATCCGGTCTCATTTTGCAGAATAAATGTTTAATAAAATCAGTTTCAGTTTCTTCAGGTTTTTGTTCCAGCCAAAGCGAACGGAGACGGACAACAAATTCATTAATTGTTTCATTTTCCTGCTGTTTGCATTCGTCCCATTCATGTTCCTGTTGTGCGACACGAATTGGTGAATGAAATTGTGCGAGAAATTGTGTGGTGAAGTCGTTCCATGTTTCCGGTAGACTGTTGGCATTATAGAGTTGACAATACCATTCCAAAGCAGAATCTTTTAAAAATTGAGAAATTCCTTGTAATAATGTGTCGGTAGACCATTTATGAATAGTCCGAGCATATTCTGTTACACGTAATAAAAATTGTCGTGGTCTCTCAGTTGACTTTCCTGCAAATGTGGGAAGAGAAGAGACAGGGGGGACAACAATAGTTGGTGTGTTTGGCGTGGTTACTGGTATGTGATCATGAGGGGATACTGTTGTGTTAACAAAAAGACGTGTTGGTTGTGTGGGAGTTTGGCTGACGGCTTTGGTAGTAGTTGATGATTCCGTTTTTCCTGCTAAGAGATGATTCTGAAGTTCCATAATTGCTGCCTTTACTTCCTGTATATCAGTTTTCAGTTGTGTTTGAGTAGTTGATAATTCGTTTCGAAAGAGGTTATGACAGGCTTCCAGTTCTGTTCGTAGTTGTGGTTGCAAGGTATTGAAAGTTTCTTGTATTCTACGAATATCGTTCGCATGTTGAGTTAAGGTTTCTGCAGTAACTCGAGCAACTTCGTCGAGCGTTACTTTACTCTCGTGTGTAGAGGCCATAATAATTGAGAATATATATTATGTAACCGTTAGTGATGACAACTTACAGAAATAAGGTTCAAATCGACAGGGTCGCCAATTGTGACGGTTTCTGATGGAAGAGATGTGTATCCCGATGGAATCATGTCTTTCTTTATTTCTTCCTATCATCAATCGCCTCGTTCTAATACAGAACACACGTTTATATACCCCTCTCTCGATAGAAAAGAAGGAAGGATAATATCAAAGTCCACAAAAATGCACCGAAGTAGGGACAAATAGCATGCGTACAGCGCATGCGAAAAAGATTGTCACAATCATCTTTAAGTTCACACGAATTTTTCAATATCGTGAACCAAGGCACTACCAGATGGAGAGTTGGTGTTTTATCAGCAGACATTTCCTCACTTGCTACTTTGAATAAAGATAAAAATTTAACAAAATCCATTACTACTTTTCTATTAATATCGTTTAAATAAAATGTTTCATTTCGATCAAACAATAAATCTTCACATTGTTGAAAATTTAATGAAATAGATTCCAACATATCATGAATTGAATTCCAACGGGTATCGACATTCAACTTGAGACTAGTTGGTAATAAATGGTTCATTTCACATCGTTTGAAATAGGTGCTTACACTTTTACAAGGTTTAATTAATAATTCGAAACTACGACATAATGTAACACCATTTTCTAAAACCGAATTTAAACAATGACAAACACAACGAAGATGAACTTCTTCTTCTACGCACAGGAAAATGCCATAAAATGAAAGCTTGAGAAAAACAATACTTACTCAGACCACAAACAAGATTCGATCCATTATCAGTTATATATATAATATGAAATTCATTTGGGTCAATGCCATAACGTGATAAAGTAGGACAAATTTTATCTCGAGTATTGTCACCCGTCTTATTTCGATCAGAAATAAAAGAGAGATTCAAGCTCTATCTGAGCTCATCATCAGGAATTTTTATTACGAAAACAAAAAGAAAAAAGACAAAGAAAATCGAAAATGTGTTATTATCAGTTTTGCGTTTGTTTCATTGATGATAGTGATATTATTTATGCTGTTGATTATTATGATATTCTTATTTCCATTAGATATCGTTCCGTTTACTTTCTAATTCGAACAAAGAAAGAATGATATTATTTCCAATCAACATGCTTATCTACAAAGAAAATTGAATTATTAAATAAATGTCAGTTTGATATTAAATGACTGTTTTGTTATATATATTGATGTGGAGGGTGTCGACATTGATGTTAAGTGGATCACACCTCACAACATCAGCAAAATGTATTGATGAGAGAAATAGAATGTAAAGAAGAAATTTTAAAAGTGCAAAGCATCAGCGTGAGTAATGTCAACCTTGATGTTCGGTGGAATATTTCTGATTAAGTTCTCTTGCACTACTATTACTTTTCAGTCGACTATCTGGATGATATGTTTCGTTTCGTTAATCGATTTTCCTCGTGTTTTATTAGTTAATATGCTTTCTTTTATTACGCGTTTTCTCCAATCAGTCTCATGTAATAAAATGTTAGTATTGTCAAAGTCAAATTCATGTTTATGCTCTAGAATATGTTCAACTAATTTCGATTTTTCATTTAATGATCTAACATTTGATTTATGTTCTCTTATCCGTGTATCTTT